TGTCACACCTTGTCGGCTTCGCTCTCAAACTACGGAATCTCGGCGTTCCGGATCACGGTCTCATTCGTGAACTCAGCGGCCCTCTTGCCGGCAGCCTCTACACCGGCGATGGTCATTCTCGCTTGTACGACGATGAAGTTGTCTACTAGTAAGTTTCTAATTGAAATAATAAAAGGTCGACCTCTTCGCTAACTGATTTGCCCCATCTTAGCATGGCAATTCAATTTGCTCTCGAAACATCCAGTGTCCCAGATGCAACACTCAACATCAAACGATCTACTAGTCCCTTGGTTCCAGCAAACCCATACATCCTCCCCTTCGCCATGCGGGGTCTTCTCGAGGAGGAACATGTCCGGCGCCAACTACATGATGAAACAATGGAGCTTCTCCGCCAATTCGATGACTGGAAACCTTCCAGTAAGGTCTTGAAGGATGTCAAGTTCCGACTTGAGGGTATTAGATCGAAGCTGTAGGTAGGTAGCTTTGGGCATTCCTAGCTACCTACCTGCCAATTTAGGTAGGATTTCGTTTTTTTTCTTTGTTATTCTTTTTGATTGGTACGATATTCAGCGTTGGGGCAATTTAGCGAAACATTCTAGAGGAAATAAACAGATCCTTGCTTTTCATTTTCTCGATATATTTATTGGAAATCTTCAAGTTGGTTGCTTATGCTAAATGCTATGGGTAGAGGGGTAGTTTTCCCGATCGTATACCTACCTAGGTAGGTAGTACTTCAAGTCGTGTTTTTGCGTTATGTATATGTGCACTCCAGGTCTTGTCCTGTCTTGTGGTGGCGTTGTGAGGTACGTGTGCCAGTGCGTGTGTGAATGATATTAAAGAATTCCGGGATAGATACATGAAGTCATAAGCCTCGAAGAAGCCCCTGAAACAAGAGGATATTGCAAGCTATGCAGAGTGTCGATAATAGTCGATGTCGCTGAGTGAAGAGAGAGAAAAGAAGACGTTTTTCGCAGAAAATGCAACAGAGAAGAAGCGGAAAGTATTCCGATTAAATGGAAGCGAGAGGGAACGCCGTTTGATATGCACCTTGGATTTCATCTTGTGATAAGGGTTAGCGGTTTGGTTGATCAGTGCACTGAGGGGGCAGAAAAAGATACCTCTCATCCCATCTAACGCCTCGAAAGCATCGGAGTAATTTGATACAGCTGTTATGATCCGCTCCAGGCCATTCCGTAGTTCTTTGACGAGCTGATCGGTTGATTCGGCTGCGATTTCGCTTTCGGAATCGGGCGATATTTGCTTCGACACGCGGGCTTTGTAAAATATCATGAACATGGCGTAGCTACTTTGCATTAGACAGCAGGCGAAAGAAGGCATTGTGCGGGGGAGTGGGCGGTTCGACTGGTGCTCTTGCTGACGAGTCTCTGTTAGAGGTTGTGGATATGGAAGACCCTCGAACATGCGGGAGATGGTCAAAGCGGCTTGGAGGCATATCTTAGCGGAGTGTTGAGGGCTATATGGGAACCCTGTTGCGAAGGGGAATTGAGGGTACTGTGGGACTTCGGGGTGGATGTCGGAAGAGGTGGAGGAGTCGGATGGGGTCATGTATTCTGCCGACGAGGCACGCTGGAATTGGTCAAGGTTGCTGCAAGAGCAGCCAACGTTGTTGACTCCATTTCCTTGGTGTGGTGGAGAAATTTTGACCTCGTGTGGTGGATTGCTTGGATCGGCGGCGGTTAAATCGCAATGTCGTTTGATGAAGATGGGGATGTCGGAGAAAGCTCGTAATCGGTGTGCTTTGATTTGAGCACTGTAATGTATGGATTAGGGGCGCAATTAAAAAACTCGAAGGTTGTAATACATACCTCGAGAGTTTGATTCTTGATATTGATCGAATACTTTGGGCGGTAATTGTTTCGCGGCCATCGCCAAAGTCTGACTCTGGAGAGATCATGGGTGACATATCCATCTGGGCGAGAACGGATGTGGTCCAGGAGTCAAGCTGTTGCATCCTTTCATACATGTAGTGCATGCCTGATTGGGAATAGAGAGCCTTGTTGAGGTCAACAATGAATGAGGTGGCCGATACCAACACTTGTTGGGCTTGCATTAAGATAGACCATCCCTAAAGATGTAAGTTAGTCGATATGTTTGTGTAATAAATTAAATGGGGACGGAAGTCACAACGTACTTCAGCATCAGCAGCAAATCGAGGGTATGGCGTTGAGAATTGAGGATCATTGATGACTATTGTGGGTGGCTATTCTCATGTTAGCTAGTGGCGATACTTGGTAAGTAGCGGTGACATATACGTACAGTCGTACTGACTATAGACCCTTGGATGACACAGTAGTACTAAGATGGTGTTAGAACTCGACACAAATGGTAAAACGGGAATGGGAACAACGAACTGTCATCCACCATGCTCTCCGGCGGGCCTCGGAAAACCCATTGTCCTCTACGGAACAATGGAGTGACTTGTCCAGGGCAAGTGCTAGAGCTTGACCAGCACGGTACCTCATCTTTAACATATTCCCTCGCTGTGAATACTCATACACCGAAAGGACAAGTAGGGCAAGAACAGTTTCTAGATCTTCGGGGGTCCGAGGATGTAATCTCTCGCGATCGACAGAAGGACGTGCAGTGGACAAGGCTTGACCCGGGTCAGTTGATGAGATCTCAAGGTCACATTCTGACTCGATGATTGAGTTTGCGAGTTGCGCGAAAGCATGCGCGTAGGTCCGGCGCTGGAGAACTGATGCGGGGGAAGACGGTTCTGGATCCCGAGGATGAGGGATCAGAGCAAGAATTGCAGAAATAGCCATGCTCAATGGCGAGCGAGGCTTATACATCATGAGTGGCTCTGGTGACGAATTGGATGAAGATATGTTGAACTGCAACGGGCGATCTTGATATTGCGGTGATGCGCGTGGTGGTAAAATGGGGAAATAGCAATGAATGAAATCATAATAGGCATTCAATCTGACAATCGTTGTTAGATAGTTGTGGGTCAGAAGACGACCGGGGGAAAGCATACATTTCTGGTTCACTGCCGTAGGTTCTCACCAGACACTGGGTGGTACTTAATGGGGATGGAATCGGGCCCATGTGAACATGAGATGTGCTATCATCGCCCGTGAAGTAGCCTTGGAACATCGAGGCCACCTGTGGGAAATCTAGATGACGCAACCCTGCACCTGGCAGAGAGAGGACATCGATTTGGGTAAACATGCCCGGGGCTGCAGAGCCGTCAGTGGGTTGTGACATACTAGTAGTATAAGGTAAGACATATTAACATACACTCTTCGAGGTCCGCCGAGGATACATCCACATAGGACTCATCTCGTGGTAGTTCCTCGTCCGGTGAGGGCGATGGCGACAGCTTCTGCTTCTTTTTGCGTGGACCGCCTCTTTTACTGGGCAGGTAGCCACATTTGCGACCTTTGTCGAGGCACTAAACAAGCAAAGTTGGTTAGTAGATGGCCCCGCGCGAGTAGTGTAAACAAGCGAGCATCAAACGATTCCCAAAGGAGTCTAGAACGTGGAATGGGAGGGGGAAATACTAGGGATATACAAAAGAAATTCCAGTATGACATGGCATAGTGGAAACTTCAAGCGACTCACTCACATTTGAACAGCAAGGCTGCTGGCCACCGCATCGTGTTCTAGAAGCGCGACTAGAAAAATGGGGAAGGTTAGCAAACTTGAAGACCGGTAGTGAGAGGGTGACGAGATTGTATTACCAAGGCAAACAGGCGACTTTGACTGGGGGTTTGGCGAACTTCTTACGAACCGGTCGAGGCGCGGTCGAAGCAAGCCCCCCCTCGTGGTGAAAAGTGTCGGACATGGCGAATCACACGGCCGGAATGGAGATGACTGGAGAAGGAGTTGGAGATGAGCGATGGATCCCCCTCGAGGAGCAGACCAGTCTAGCTTTGCTCGGAATCGAGTTGGTAATTTAACCCTCGTTTTTCTTGTTCTTTTTTTCTTTAAAATGCTCGTAGGACTTGAAGGGACCCTGGAGCCAAGAAAACAATTCAAGATCGGCTCAGTCAGCGCGCGCTGAGGAAAGAAGAAGAGCTTTGATATACAGATGCGGTGCGCTGATTGCTCGATCGTTGAGGCAAATCCCGAGGCGTGGAGTTTCGGGATTTGCTCTGCGGTGATCCAGACGCCCGCAATTTGTCAACGTTTGATTATTCCTAATATGCCCACGAACCGCTGGGGATTGTCAAGCATTGGTATGCATGCAAGGTATGAATGGTCCTTATATGCTACCTCTTACCACTGACAGTAGATAGTGTGCCAGTGGTAATATGGATAATATTTCTTTGTTCCATAATGGCGGGACTCTCCAGGGCTGTTTCTACTTCTAGCAGCTTAGGTAATCTTACTAGTACTAGTATTTAATTTTAATTTCTTTTTTCTCTTTTGGGCTTCTCCGGTTTTACCGGATCACGTGGCATGGGTGGCACGATGGGAAAAACTCATGGTAATAAGATGTACTCCATAACTAGTCTAAGAATAAGCATGAATTAGAATGGTCATGCTGTCTCTGAACTCATCACAATACCTAGGTAATCGTCCAGGCTCAAGTGGAGCCCGCTAGGGATAGGAATATGCAGCAAATAGTACCAAGCACGGAATACGGTCCGAGTACATTTACAGAACTAGTCTGAGATACGATCAACTAGTGACTCAGCTATACACTAGTATACCTCGGTGCTCTAAGTATGGCATACATGAGCACCTACTATCATATGGATACTACTAGTAGTATCTAAATAGTTCAAGTGGCAATGGGTACTTATGCACTTCAAGTTCCAAGGTTGTAGTAGAGGATTACAGAAACTCGTTACAAGTATGGACTCATGAATATAGAAATTCATTATAAAATGTCAAATGATAATGTAGGATAGTAGGGTAGTAAATGTAAATGTAATTGTAATTGTAAACGTATGTATGTATGTATGTATGTCATTGCTCATTCCTTCCATCCTGCTCCGCCAAGGCGAACCTGCGCGTCACAGAACGAGGTTTCATGGGTAGGCCTTACTGCCAGTCGTCGTTAATCGAATGCCTGTCACATACCGCACACTGTCCCAAACACTCTCCGGTACTTTGGTTGGTAGTTTATGGCCCTTCAACAGCTGGTCGATCAACCACATTCCAACCACAAATTCTTCTTTCGTCAGCAACCCGATGCGCTGGTGATCCACGAGCTCCCACACTTGCTCCAGCATGGCGGGTGGCAAGCGGCTGCGCGACCAGATCTCCCGCACAACAAGGTTCAACACCATGTCCGCAGGTTGCGCTCGTCGTTCTCCGCCATTGCCCCACCCAGGAGGGATGAGCAACCCCTTGTTCGAGGCCCAAACCCCCTCATAGCGTTTACGTTCCTTCTCCGTCACCTCCCGACGCCATCGTTTCCGATCTCCTTCGTGATGTTTGTGCGGGTGTTTGTGGATCAAATGCATTCTAGACCGGTGGCGGTCTTCGGCTTCGTCGGCTTTCGGCATGCCGCGCAGAGTCTGTGGCATGCCCTTGGGTGGACTTGGCGTCCTTGAAAGATCGCTCTTCGGTGAAGGCGCTAGCTGCTGTAAGAGGGACCGAGATCGTGCCCGCCGCCGTTGTGGGGGAGGTGGTGGAGCCAATTTGGATACGGGGGATGCTCGAGCCGATGCCAAGGAGGATGCGACAATGGCATTGGATAGAGCTTCCTCGGTCATGCCGCCCGATTCATGTATCGCGCTCGAGTTACTGTTGTGTGATGCCACCGACATAGACCCCATACTTGGGGTGTTCGCGCGAACCAAGGATCCACCACCGGCCCCGACCGGCTTCTTTTTGATCGACCCGGCCACGGACACGATGGAGGACGCAGAGGAGAGACCGGTGGGGGTTCGCGGAGGAAGCGTTGGTTTGAAATCTTCGGTGGGCACAGCTGGGGACCGAGGCGTAATAGAAGGATGAGGGCTCGGGGCTGCGGAATATACACTGCTCGCTCTGGAGACACTGCTTGTTTTGGATTGGGCAGACAGCGGGCGCCGGATCGTAGATTCGAGACCGATGTTTGGAGGGTCATCCTGAAGCATACTATCCACAGGGCTTTTGATCGGAGGAGTAGGTCGAATTGGGGTTGGTGAGCGTAGCTCTCGTCGTTCTTCGGCGGGTCGGGATGGCGGCGCTGCTCTGCTGGCACTGCGCATCGCTCCGAGCCTTGCGGCAGCAGTGGCGGAGGATGCCTCCTGTCTCCTATCGGGTGATCGCGACGCAGCAAGACGGGCAGCGATCTGTTCGGGCCCGGGGGATAGTGATGATGGGGATGGGGATGTTCGTCCTCTCACGCGAGATTCGCTAGTTGGCGGGGATAGGGAATTTGTTGTCAACCTTCCAATCTTGTCGCGCACGGAGCCGACTTCAGGACCAGGGTCGGAATCCATATTTGAACGATTAGATTCTGCATGACGATTCCAGCTACTAGCCACGGCGGCAGCAGCAGCAGCAGATGGGGCTTTGTTCACGGTAGACGATGGACGGGACTGTTGAAAGGCGATGGAGGCGCCTTGTAGCGCGGAGGCATTTCGGGAGGACGGGGAAGATAACCGCGGATTCGCGGCGATCTCGCCATTCATGGAAGCAAGCTCCGCCAAAGACAATGTTTGAAGAGACCAAGTCACGCCACGGTGATGGGAGAGAAGAACAGGAGGGGGGCGTTGCAGTGCAGGAAAAGGACAAGGACAATGACGAGTTCTCCACCAGCGGCGCGTGCACGGGACTGCTGAGCGAGCTTTACTAGTTAGTACTGTACTTCTTTCTCGGTCTCTCTTCAATGGACAACCATACTCAGTGGATAATACGGAGACCAGAGACGAACCTTCTCGCCTTAATGACTCAGATACAGTTTATTTTTCAGGGCTTCCAGCTGCAACCTACTGAAACCTAAATCACATCTGGTAGCCCCACGATGATCCCGGCGGTTTTTGGTTAACCCCAGATTTCCCCTCGATCAAATTTAACCGAGCCGGCCCCGTTTAGATTGAAGACCCAATCGTGTGTGGTCCCAGCCTTTCCCAAGGGTTCTCCGCAGCGCTGCGCGTGGGTCGATTTATTATACCCTGTCCCCAGGACATTCCCCTGCTCTTCCCTCCTGCAAAGCCCTGCAAGGCAAAGAGGAGAAGATATGCTCTCACCGTTCTCATAATCCGGAAATGCTGATCTGCATGTGCTTCCTTGAGGCGATATGCTATCGGAGACTGACTATGTGGCGGGTAAGAATAAGCTCGCACATCATTCATAACGGTCCACACGGCGGCATCATGACTGACGATAATTGTGTGAGGTCTAGATGGACATCTCAGTGGTGGAGATCGGATAGAATCAACCGCTCCTGGTGTCCAATGCTCTGTTTGTAGCAGTACCTTCCGGCGACCAGAACATCTCAAGCGACATCTGCGCAGTCATACCAAGGAGAAACCTTTCGAGTGTGCCCAATGTGGCCGCCACTTCTCTCGAACGTAAGTTGCCATCTCCCAGGATACAGTGGCCGCTCGGATGAATTGACCGATGTGGGTTGTGCAGTGATACGCTACATCGACACGAATTGAGCCATCATACACAAGGAGGCGATGGGGGCAAGGACCGTACTCATCGAATTACTGTCAAGACCTTTCGGGCTTGCTATGGCTGTGCAATGGCCAGAGTGCGCTGTAGTGGTGGCAGTCCATGTGGAAGATGTGATACCCGCTCCCTTGAGTGTCAGTATCCCACTGAACGACGATCGAAAGCGAAGGCTCGAAATGGAACCTCTCGGCAGCTTTCCATAACGGAGGACAACGAACTACAAACCGCCGAGACCTTGTCACCTAAGCCCTACACAAACCACACAGACCCTGCACTGATGGAGGGTACAATGACATTCCAGCTAACACAGTTACCGGTTAACGATATGAATGATTCGCAACGGGCGCCTATTACTTCAGACCAGGACCATCCCACAAATACTCCATCCCAACCGACCGATTCAGATGGGAGAGATTCAGTAGCAGGTACCTCAAATGCTCAGCTTTATGCACCGTCTTCCAACAAAGTTTCAGATACACCACAGATACCACCGTCGGTCTACCAGAAGGATGGCTGCCCTCATCCATATAATGGGCTTGTCAACACTATCGTTCCGAGCCTAACAAGCATGAGCTCGGACTTGAGACAAACTCAACCAGGTCTACCCGATTCAGGAGCCGAGATGGAAATTGACATGTCCGGAAACTCAGAGATGGCGATGGAATTCGACCCCTCCTTTTTTGACCAGTCCATGCTCTCCACCATAAACTGGCTTCCCAACGAGCTTTTTACAACTAGAGATCAGAGCCAACGACCTGGAGCCCCTTCACAATATTGCCAGCCTCCCATTTCAAATTCCTATGCCGCTCGTACAACATGGCAGCCACCGGTGATCGATACAAGACAAATCAGCCCATCGTTGCCTGGGAATGCCCCCCCAAATTTCGTCGGAAAACATGTCACTCGGGCCGGGCTTGGAAAATCATCGACGACAGTCAAATGTCACTAGCGAGGCATCGGTAAATGTCGATTCGGTGGATTCAGCAAATCTATCCGGGCAGTATTATGTTGATGGCACTGGTGCTCGACTTCCTAAGTACAGAAAGAAGCAAACTTCGTGGTCCATATCCTCCATTGAAGCCCAAAATCCTGGGCATTCGTTGCCCGACTCGGAAGGGACTCCACGGAAATTCGGATTCCCAATTTTATGCGAAATTCGCGTGGAGAATATCTCACAAGATATATTACGATCATTGAGGCCAATCGACCCTTTTATATACGATAAAATATACGGCGAGTTTCTTCTACTATGCCGCAACGACAATCCATTCTTTGAAATGTTTGAGTCCACACACTTTCCAACTGCAGATGAATGCAATCGTTATATTGCTTTCTACTTTGAATCCTTCCAAACCGTTTACCCGATGCTCCACCTGCCTACCTTTGATCCAAACCAATGTCATTGGCTCTTGACCTTAGCAATCGTGGCGACTGGATGTCATTGTTCAGGTACCCCTGAGACCGACCAATGCGCTACTGCATTTCACGAACTGATACGCCGAGCTTTCTTGGCCGAGGTAAATAAATCATTAACACTCTCGCATCTTCAATTTACTCATCAATCTCCCTGAACAGAAGAACAAAAGTCGTATAAATCAATACGCTCTTGACCTTATCCAAGCAAAGCTGCTCAATTGCATTGGGCTTTTGCATAGTGGGAACGAAGGAGATCAGCGTTCTGCTATGAGTAGCTTCAGTGATCTGGTGGCGCTTTCGAACCTCGAAAGGCTACTAGCGTCTCGTTCGAAGAAGACACCGACGCCGAGAAGGACTTCAAATGACGCACAATGGAGCCAATGGGTCCAAGAAGAGGTCCGCAAACGAACTGGATACTGTATTTGGGTAAGGAGACCCCTCCGAGAGCAAAAATACTAGATACTAACGACTATCATTGAAGCTTTTGGACAGTACAATTGCATATGCCTTTGAAGAGCGTCCGCTCCTCTCACTAGACGACGGACAGGCTACCCTGCCCACACATGAGAAGCTGTGGCAAGCGAACTCTGCGGAGACATGGAAGCAGCAATGGGATAACTTGCCAGGTAATTTTCACCCATCTCTCCAGCTCATGATCTACTCTGACATGATTAGGCAATGAATCTCTCTATGATGCTGTACATATTTTGTACATTGAAAAGAGACTTGTTTCGGGGATTGGCGAATTCAGTCACATTCTTCTCATTCACGCCCTCTACCAACGGATGTGGGAAGTTGGCGATTACTTTCGTCGACCTCTTTCTTTCTGGAACCCCACTGCCAAAAAGCAATCTTGTGAAACCGCAATTCCCACAGGCTCTGTATGGCTACCAGGCATCCCCTCCTATTCCAAATGGCGCAATAGCGCATGCGATTGTCTAGATATTTTACATTGGACAGCCAACAGCACCATTGCAAAAGCTGCCGGCCTTGAGCATCCCACCGTGCTCCATCTTCACACTGCACGCCTCGTCCTACTGGCACCGTTCCGCGAAATTCGTTCTCTAGCGACTTCTCTGGCCACCGACCGATCAAAGTGGAGCAAACGACAACAGTCACTCGAGTGGCAATACATCTGGCGATGGGTGAAACACGACCAATATAAAGCCCGCTTGTCGATCATTCACGCCGGCGTGACCCTTTGGCACATCCGACGATATTCAACAAGTGCCTACCATGAACCTGTAGCAGCCTTCCTGGCGGTGTTGACCCTGTGGGCATATGGTTCTTGCCACACCAATGGTTCTCAGGATTCCAGCCCGCGTTCCGAGACGAATCGAGGGGATGTGTCGCAGGAGCCTAGTTTTATTCACTTAGACCGACCGTGCGATGATGAGCTCGTCCAGCTTTTTGTGCGAGAAGGATATGCGATGAGGGGTAATGTGACTGGCGTTGGGGATATTTGTTCGCCTGAGGGCCCAGAGCGGATTTTAAGAATGGGATGTGAGACGCTATCTGGTTTGACGGCGTGGGGTATATCGAAGAAGCTGATCGCGACCTTAACGCAGCTGGCGGATATCATATCGCATAATCGTGATCTAGAGCAGAGCCATGGCCATGGGGCTACTTTGGATGCTCGCTGATAGATAATTATTCCATGCTTTTTTGATTCAGATCCGGGTCTCGGTAGGGTCTGTACAATAATTCTCCCTAGAATATTAAGTTTTTTTTTTTTTCCGGGATAATATAACTACCATGGAGCCCTCAAGAAGCTCCGTGCAATCAGACGAGTGTTATTTCCCATGCCACTACGTCAACTCAAGACATACCTCGGCTTGACTGGTGCTTTCTGGATGACCTACACGAATGGGACACAGCTCTTCCCTACTAGTAGGACCACCGGATGCCTACCTATTCTAGCTCTAGGGCCAAATATTATTAGTTACTAAGATAGTACTGGTACATAGCCATTTACCTACCTGGCGGCGAGAAAGTAGAATTCTGGCCTCCCACTGTAGCTCGTGGTGATACACATACAGCAGATCGGGTGTTCAGATAGCCATAGAGGGTGTCCACTTATACCAAGCGGTATCATAATCTACAGCACCCCGGAAGGGGCTCAGAAGCTTAGCCGGGTTATTAACGCCTACGGTATTTGGTCTGACAACAATAAATCCTTTACCTTAAGGTAAGTAGACATGATGATCTACAACACGGACCAATCATGTCGCATGCCACCTAAGGTTGTTAGAGGCAGGCACCACTCCTTATCTTATCGTTGACGCTGCCTAGAGGGGACCACATCAAACCCGGGGATTTCCTTTCCTTCCTTTGAGCTTCATTTAAGCTTCATCCACCATGGATTCCGACGAGATTGTGCCAGATTATCCTCAAAATGTGGACGAAGATCTTGATGAAAAGTAGTTTCTACTCGATCGCTTGTCTGCACCCTGAAACTTACTAACTACTCAGCATAGGTATCCGAATCGGCCCCATAACCGTGCCCCAACGCTCCCATTTCACGAGCTGTATCTCAAGCTGTTCAACCCTCTCAGTGAAATCAAGAAGAAACCTGCACTCTCAAATCTAGCCCGTCGAAAGGCTGGGCCCCATGGGAAAGGAGCAGCGGGCCTCAGTCCGCACGAGCTTCGCCGTGATATTATCGTTCGCTTCATCGAACGCTGGCGTAAAGATGTCGGCGACGACATTTACCCCGCAATCCGACTCATTCTGCCAGAGAAAGACCGAGATCGTGGAATGTATGGCATGAAAGAAAAGGTCATCGGGAAAATGCTGGTGCAGATCATGAAGATCAACAAGGAATCAGAAGACGGCCAGAATCTTCTTAATTGGAAGTTACCAGGCCAGTCATCTGGGCGCATGGCGGGAGACTTTGCCGGGCGGTGTTATGAGGTTCTGGCAAAGCGGCCACTACGGACAGAGCCAGGCGACATGACTATCGAGGAGGTTAATGAAAAGCTGGACAAGCTCTCAATCGCCTCGAAAGAAGATGAGCAAATGCCTATTCTAACAGAGTTCTACAAAAAGATGAATCCGGAAGAGCTTACATGGCTTATTCGCATCATTCTGCGACAGATGAAGGTTGGAGCCACGGAGCGCACCCTGTTTAGAGCATGGCACTCAGATGCTGAGAGCTTATACAACATTTCCAGCAGCCTGAGGCGTGTATGCTGGGAGTTGCATGATCAGAATATCAGACTAGAGGGAGATGATTGTGGTATCGCTCTGATGCAATGTTTCCAGCCTCAGCTTGCCCAATTTCAAATGCACTCGTTTGACAAGATGATTGCGCGGATGCAGCCAACCGAGGAGGATCAAGTCTTCTGGATCGAGGAGAAGATGGATGGTGAACGCATGCAGCTCCATATGGCGCCTGATGACTCTATCCCTGGAGGTCGTAAATTTATATTTTGGTCCCGCAAAGCCAAAGATTATACCTATCTCTACGGGAATGGCCTCCATGATGAAAATGGTGCGCTCACGCGATATTTGAAGGATGCATTTTCGACTGGAGTGCGAAGTGTTATTCTTGACGGAGAGATGGTTATTTGGGATCCTGAGCAAAACGCTCTCGCCCCATTTGGTACTCTGAAGACCGCGGCGATATCTGAACAACGCAATCCCTTTTCGAAAGGGCCGCGACCCTTGTTCCGTATTTTTGATATCCTGCACCTAAATGGCGCAGATCTGACCAAATACACTCTTCGCGACCGTCGCAATGCATTGCAAAAAGCCATTCAGCCAGTTCATCGTCGGTTCGAGATTCTGCCTTACGAAGAAGCGACCACGGCAGCGGAGGTAGAAGCGTGTCTGCGCAAGGTCGTTGCAGAGGCGTCGGAAGGTCTTGTTCTCAAGAACCCTCGATCACCCTATCGTCTCAACGAGCGTCATGACGACTGGATGAAGGTGAAGCCAGATTACATGACCGAATTCGGCGAATCTCTTGACCTTATCGTGGTCGGAGGTTATTATGGCCAAGGTCACCGAGGTGGCTTTCTAGCGAGTTTTCTCTGCGCCTTGCGTGTGGACGAGAATCAATCTTCACAGAATGCGGATTTCCCAAAATTCCGGTCATTTTGCAAGGTTGGAGGAGGATTTACTGCTGCTGACTATCAGGAGGTCCGCCACCTTACAGATGGAAAATGGAACAAATGGGACCCCAAAAAGCCACCGACTAATTTGATAGAGCTGGCCGGGGGTGATTCCCAGCACGAACGACCTGATATGTGGATCAAACCAAGCGATTCTATTGTTGTTTGCGTGAAAGCAGCCTCTGTCACTGCAAGCGACTCGTTTCACATGGGGCAGACACTGCGTTTCCCACGCTTCAAGAGCCTCCGTAAGGACAAGGACTGGAAAACCGCTCTGTCGGTCCAGGAATTTTTGAATCTCAGAGCGAATGCGGAGCAGGAGAAGCAGGAGAAGCAATTTGATGTGGACAACTCTCGCAAAAAGCGTCTTAAGCGGACAACGAAAAAGCCATTGAAGATTGCAGGGTATGACGGAGACAGCAATGTACAATACTCAGGTCCCTCGGGCCATATGTTTGACAACTTGAACTTCTGTGAGCCTTGCAACGATCATTCTTCTAACATAAGCGATTACTGATCGCGCATTAGTTGTGATGACCGAATCAACTTTCCCCGAAAAGAAGTCCAAGGCGGAGTTGGAACAATTGATCAAAGCCAACGGAGGCAAAATCTACCAAACTAACACTGCCGCTTTAGATACAATCTGCATTGCAGAAAGAAGTATGTTTTTCGTGATATCTGGCTTCGAAATTTGTTCCTCGGAGCGCACTAACATATGCCGTAGGAACGGTCAAGGTGGCATCTTTGCAGAAAGTCGGCGATACCAACATTATCAGACCATCCTGGTTAATTGACTGCGTGAAGCAGAATGTCAAAGATGTTGGACTGCCAGATTTGATTCTTCCCTTCGAGCCAAGGTAAATCATCGCTTCTCAGGAAGGAGAAGAGTTGAAGTCTGACATCCATTATAGGCATATATTCTTTATCATGGAAGATCGGGATGAAGATTTCAACATCAATGCGGATCGTTTTGGTGACAGTTATGCCCGTGACACCAGTATCGAAGAGCTCCAGGAGGTATCTCAAGACATCCAATTTGCAAGGTCGATTGCATGACTCATATTTCTCTAACAAAAAAACTAGATTCTTAAGAAAATGGGAATCGTCAAACAAGAAGCGCCTGCTGTACTCGATGCATCCACATCACAAAGAATCGAGGCTCGAATCCAAGAAAAGGTCAACTCTGGGTACACAGCACCTTGCGGGTGGCTTTTCCGTGGTCTATCGTTTTTTTTCTTCTCGCCTGGCAATCAAGCAAATGGGGAGGAGAAGGGTAATACAACACTCGACCTACATCTCAACCTCTTACAAAATACCGCTCGATTTGCGGGAGCTAACAGCGCCACCTCCCTGGAAGCCCCCGGAATCACCCATATCATTGTCAACTCAGATACCGTTTCCTCGGCGGATGTCGCTTCTTTGCGACGGTCGATGGCTGCTCTGCCGGGTCGGAAAGTGCCGCATCTAGTCTCTTCCAAGTGGGTTGAGGAGAGCTGGAAAAATGGTACACTATTAAACGAAGAGCGTAAGTGACTCCTGTCCACTGCCCCCTATCCCCTACTTCTTCCATATCTTTATTTTTTTTGTTGAAAACGTAAGGTCTATGTCTAATCTCTGCGTTGTCGCGTCACACAGGGTTCCAGGTACTGCGTTGATCGACAGTATGAAAGAGCCGGGTAGCACGAACCATTCTGCATCTACTTTGCATTGCAACGTGCGGCGGGTGGAACGTTCCTCTTGTTTAGTCAATTTAGCGTACCAAGGCGTAGTGCTAGGCGTAATGCAATGGTCTTTGTATCCCTTTAAAACATCCGCTTCAAACTGTGCTGTCCCTAAGCACTACTGCCTGAAGGCGGGATGCCCAAATCATGTGATCGCGTCAATAGACTACAATTTAGGTACGTTTTGTAAATGCAGAGTATGCTATAACCTTCCCAATGAGGCACCGATCGAATAAAGTTTAAATGGATGACCATTGCATCCCATACCGCGAGGACGGGTGCCCGGACAGACCCTACAGCGTCAGCGTTCAGGCTGTCTGGCTGACAACAAGTTGAGAAGGGTCCAAGCACTGAAACCTCCTCAAGCACCAGATATAATGTCCATCCTATCGCGAAGGGTGATCTATCTGCAAAGACACGAGACTGGGTATGGCCAAGCTCGGCTGGGGGGTTGGTTTAGCGAATCGCTCATGCGGGGATCTAGGCTGACCGTGTGGGGATGATCTCATGGACGCGGCGTGATATCATCCCGCAGCCACCAAAGTAAATCGTTTCGACTCGATTGATCGAGGCCTTTTTTTACCGAGTATTTACCAGTATCACACTAGGAATATACACTAAGGGATAGCAGGAGCTGAGTGGATTCTGTCGATTTGATTTCATTGTTGGGATATCTTGGTATAGAGGTAAAGAGCAGAAGCAAGATAAATAGAGAAGATTGAAAGGGGTATGTTGCAAAGGAAGGAGCCGTGCCAGCCGGGGCACTGTCATGCTGGGAACGCCGCGCTTGTATGATAGGGGGTCGTAGAAAAGAGAGTTTGTATGTACTTGACAGCCGGTTCAACTGCGCTCTGCGCTAGTCCGGGAGTGTCGTTGATAGTGGCCTATTAGGCCGAGACGCCAACCCAGCGAGAAGGGACGGTGTCATTGTCTTCACCATCTTCGTATTCTCCTGTTAGACGATGCGGGTTATTTTTCCGCGGTGGAAGCCAGATGCGGGCCCGTGTCGGAATGTCCTCACGAAGCTTTCCCCGGCGGCGCATGTTCATCTCGAGCACGACCATGCGGAGGAAGTCGCTGTTTTCCCGGGGCTCGCGCTGGCGGGACATGGGAGGAACTTCTGGGTCGAAGGTGATGTATTGATCGCGATTCTTCGGGGCGACCACGTGGAAATGATTGCGCCGGTTACCCCGACCGCGGGAGCGGCGGTAAGTCTGCATTTGAATTGAGACCGGGCACGCATTTGCCGAATCGAGCTTATCGTGCGGGTGATCATGATAAACGTACATCTCTGCTGGGGAGATAGGGGTCGGGTTTAGATAACGCCTTAATGCGGGAGATGGTGGGTCTCTCGTGGGTGCTGGTCGGCGATCATCTGTGAGTTCGGGGGTAATTGTGAAGATGTTTCGAGTGAGAAAATCTTCCGGTTGAACCGACGGTGTAGCAAACGTCGAAACTGACTGTGCTGCAGATTTGATAGCTCGTAGCGAGGCAGTAAGGTTTGATTTGAATGAAGACCGTAAACGGGGGAAAGACCCAAGGGAGGCGGTACCCTTTGAACGGGCCCCTTCATGGATCATAGTTTCATCGTGAGGCACGAACTCTAGAAATTCGTCGTCTTCAATCTCGGTTTCAAGAAGGGGGTGGTCAAAAGCACAGTCCTCGGAGGGTGAATAACGCAGACAGCGACGCTCACACGGGCTCTTGTGGGAGTTGGGAGTTGCTGGAAGTATGGAGCTAGATGGCGAGGCCCCATCATGGTCGAGTGCTGGGATCGAGTCGCTTGATACCGACCCCAGAGAGAAAGGCGACTCGTGTTCGGACTCGTTGCCCGGCGATTCCTTGTCGTTTTCCTCGTCGGGCGGGCTGAGTAAAATGTCGAGAGGCGAATTAACAGCACTATTCATCAAGTCATCATCCTTTGACTTGATGTCTTCCTTCAGCATCCGACTAAATTCCTCCACATGGTTTCCTCGCGGAACCTTCCGAGGCCTCCGGGTGGACCACGACCGCCGCGGAACAGGGATAGCAGTCGCATTAAGCATTGAGGCGACGGAGATGGGGATGTTCCGATCATTTGACGAAGAAGACGACGACGAGCGACGAGACGATGCGGATGTTTTGGCTGAGGGACGAGAACGCGGGTCTCGATGGACCGAGGCGTGAGAGCCACGTTTTGGGGGGATGACCATAGGTACGGCACCGGCCAAGCCGTTTCCATGATTGTATGGAGGATAGAAGTCAGAGCGGTGCAAAGCTGGCCGCGAGGCTTCGTCCTTTGACCTATAAGGCTGCATGACTTTCTGGGGTTGAGCTGATGTGAACTGAAAGGCTCTTGGGACCATCATCTTATGTGAAATATCGAGTCATGCTAGTTTGGTATTTTGAAGCTAGGCGGTGGCCAGACGAGGCACTCTGGTCGAGGTTTTGGGCGAGATACATTGAACGGGGAAATGGTGATGGGATCTCCCGCCGCAGTGGGAGTAAGGCCAGCCGCTGAGTCAAGTTGAGCTGGTTATGTGTGGTGAGAGGGTAGGTGCTGAAAGACCCTTGGGAAAGAGTGGATGGGATCACTTGGGTATATATCGAGGGGAGAGAAGGAGAGGAAGAGGCAAAGGGGGAAGAGATATATGCTTTGAGGAAGAAAGGGAATAGAGGAGAGCGAGGAGAGAGAATGGGGAAGGAGCGAAGGCAGATAAGGAAAGTGGTGATCTCAGAGGGCTTTGATAAGAAGTCCGCATGTATTGGGCAGGTACGCGTGTGACGGTAATCATCGGAAAGGGTTACGCAGCACGCGGATGATTGGGCCGGGTATCCCCTTGGCTCCCTTTGGTCAAGGGTATTGTGTGCGTATGGTATTATGTATGGTTGCATTGGATTCTTCTCAATTGTCTTGCCGTACTCCGGACCCCGTCGTGTGGAATGTTCGCCCGGTGGATCCATCGATTCCATCAAAGCCCTGCGGCCCCCTCCTTTTTTAATTTTCCTTTTTCTCTTTCGGTTTTCGTCCGGCTCCATACTGTACTGTAGCGCTAGGATGTATCCAGATATGCAGGGACTGCTATTCGCCCTCCAACATGGAAGTTAGTCATGGTTTGTTTTTGATCCCACTCATCACATCCACTTTCGCTCTTAACATGAAAGAAAAAAATATAAAAAAAAAAATATGCATCACACACACAACACATACTACTAATATCAAACTTCATCGTCGGTCAATCCTTTTTCTGAAATTGGGTGGGTCGTTTAAGGTTGGGGTTTAGTGCCGTGCCTGCAGATAAAAACAACGCCGTTCGCAGCCAACACTCACTAGACTACCCCGTATTGTTTCCTTTTCCCTATGATTTCACTTGAAGTATTATGACTGCTGGTAATAGTTTTCCTCTTTTTCCCACTCGAAATCAAACATTGTAATAATGTAAAATAAGGCATTACCGGGGCTGATTTTCAAACAGCAAATTGTTTACAAATGCACCGTCGGGACCCGCCGGCATCGACCGATCGAACGGTCCAGTCGGGGCAACGGGTGGCTGCAGGCCCTCTGAAATGGTAAAGGCGATGAGAACGACGTGGCACAGTGGATCTCCCCTTAAGCGAGAGAAGGCGGCGGTGTATACAGGGCTTGTCGACCCAACCTCTCTTTACTTCTGTTCTATGGTATTGTTGAAATTAGGCTCGTAATATAGCCCAATATTGTTTTGTAGCGTACTTGTGTCGGTAAAACTAAAAACTGTTCATTCTTTGTTTAGTCTCTTGGCGGATTTTTTGTTTGTCTCTGTGGCGGTCAACATCAGGCGGTGTATAGTATACTCCATAGTGGCTCTTCAAGCCCCTGAGTCTCTGAGTCTCACCGGCTGATTGCGAACCGGTGACCCATGTGAAAAAGCCCTGTTTCGGTGTGTCAATTTCGGTCCATCTAAAAATGGTAGAATCTATACTTGGATACGTACGGAGAAGACGGACCCGAAACATCCAGTCTCATCCAGTCTCAGCTCATGTAAGATTATAGTCACGTGATATGATTCGTCACCTTGAGGCAGAGGCTATCTCCGTCTCGTCATTAGTCAGCCGCTTATCGCATCGTCCGGCCCGCGCGCGGGCGTTCCCCTCCCCGATTGGACTCCGATGTGACGCATCAGAGACCGGCGATAACCCCAACTCTGTTCGCAGCGTGTCCAATTAGTTGAACTGCATTTCGAACTGAGACCGCATCTAGATCGGCTAGGTGTGTCTCTGTCTCTCCAAAGTCCCCGCCTCCATTGTGGGTCGATCGGTCATCCCGCGGGGTCAACAGCTCCCCAACTTTCAGTAGTAGCCGCATGTGTTACTGATACCTAGATCTCAACTTGGGAAGGGCCTCGCTGACGGACTTTTGCATATCAACAACGTATGGCCTGGCTCTCTCTATCTAATTAGCACAGCTGGCCTCCCAGGCTGGCTGGCCTTCTTTGCTTCTGTGCACTGACATCCCTCCATAGCCCGTAGCCACCAGCGCGTGTTTCATCCTCCCGTCGTGGTCGGTCGCGAATCTCCTGCTCTCTTTGATGTTCATGAAAAATGGAAGCCTTTCGTATCGACCTCACTCAAAGTTGGACCATTGATCTGCGACCACGACGTTAAAGTACGGGATGACATTCCGCGGAGAAAGCACCCCCCCTCAGATCCTGAAGTCCCGGACCCCACCTCTTGCAGGACTCGATACAATGTCTGCAGAACCTGGTATGCCTAAAAGGCGCTGTGTCAGCACAGCCTGCATCGCCTGTCGTAGGCGAAAATCTAAGGTCCGTTCAGTTTTGTCAGGCTGAATATCAAGCGAGAGCGTCACTAATCCTTGGGTCTTCAGTGTGATGGGAATCTCCCCAGTTGTGCTGCATGCTCCTCAGTCTACCATACGCCATGTTTGTAGCTCTCTTCTCCCGTGCCCGAGAATCAGCTGTGCTGACTTGATATTAGGTGTCTATGACCCAAACTCTGATCACCGACGCAAAGGCGTTTATAAGAAGGACGCCGATACTTTACGAACTAAACACACCACGCTACAAACCCTGATTCAAGCCTTGTTGAACTATGATGAAGAAGACGCATTTGAACTTGTGCGCCAAATCAGATCTTGTGATGACCTCGAAGATGTCGCCCAATCTGTCCTCACACGAGATAGAGGGCTCCCAGCACCAACGATAGAAGCTGTGGGGGAAATGACCCAACATGAGAACGCGGCTGAAGTCGATCAATTTGAATCCGAACTATCGGGTAGAATGAGCGAACTCCTACTCGACGGTTCTCGAAAGTTCATTGGCGGCACGTCCAATCTCATCTTCCTTCCACCTGGCTCGGAATTACACGAGTTCACCACTACTCAAGAAGCCCCAATTGTTCCGGTTACCAATGATATGCTACCCGTGCGACGTTGGACACAGGCTACGGAAGATGACTCGCTCGTTAGTCATCTCTTGACGATGTATTTCACATGGCACTACCCATTCTTCACAATCCTGGCTAAGGACATGTTCTATCGGGATTATGTTCGTGGTGTGTCGAGTCCCTATTGCTCGGCCTTGCTGGTCAACGCCATGCTAGCCCTGGGGTGTCATTTCACTACATGGCGGGGAGCCTTTTCTGATCCTAACAATCTTGCAACTGCTGGTGATCATTTCTTTAAAGAAGCTAAGCGAATGGTTCTCGAGAATGATGAACATGAAAATGCAAAGCTTTGTACAGTTCAGGCATTTGCTCTCATGTCTGTGCGCGAGGCTGGATGTGGTCGTGAAGGCAAAGGCTGGGTTTATAGCGGGCTCAGCTTCCGCATGGCCTTTGATCTTGGCTTGAACGTCGATGCTGCAACCCCTGGCTCACACAACTTGACCGAAGAAGAGATTGATGCAAGGCGGATCACCTTCTGGGGCTGCTACCTCATTGATAAGTTAGTCTCCTGAGTTCTCTCCTCCGCATCCATCCCTTTCCCTATTTGATTCGAGCCTGCTCGTACACTCATGCGGCATTTTTCGAGCATTTCTAATGTATTTTAGGTGCTGGTCAAATTACCTTGGACGGCAGCCCCAGCTATCCTCGTCCAACACAAATATACCCAAATTTGAGGTCTTCCCAAGCGAGGAAACAGAACTTTGGGCGCCATATACAGACGCAGGTGCAGGCCAAGACCATAGTCAACCTTCGCGGACTCGAGCTGTTGCGCTACAAATATCGATCCTCTGTCAGATCAGTGGCGATCTTCTTGCATTTTTCTACCACCCGTCGGAGCTAGAGAAGTTACAACCAAAACAATCGGAGTTGAAAAAGCTTAGCGATGTTCATACTCGACTTGAAGCCTGGAAAAAGCAGTTACCACGAGAATTCGAGCCGAAGGAAGGACAGCTCCCCCAAGTCCTAGTCATGCAGTACGTCTACCAGAGCCTTGCTTCCTCTAAACTTAATACTCACAGTTCTACTAGCATGTTCAACCAACTACTACTCATTCACCTTTATCGTCCATTCTTAAAATACACCAAGACGAATACACCCCTGCCTTCACATGTTTCGCCACGCAAGATCTGCACACAGGCAGCATCGGCGATATCTAAACTTCTGCGGATGTACAAGCGCACTTATGGTCTGAAGCAGATTTGTAACGTTGTCGTTTACATTGCTCATACTGCTTGTACCATTCACCTTCTGAATCTTCCCGAGAAAAATGCTCAACGAGACATCGTTCATGGGCTGAGAAACCTCGAGGAAATGGCCGAATGTTGGCTGTGTGCGCGTCGGACATTGCGCATCCTCGACATCTCCGCCAACAAGTGGCACGTCCCGCTCCCTATCGAAGCCAGTGCTGTTTTCGAACGAACTCATACCAAGTGGGGGTCTTGGGGGCTTTGGGACCAAGCTACCTCACCTACGTCCGTATCAGATGAATCTCCGGCAACCTCTTTCAGCAACCTTAGCCCCTCCGTCAACAGCCCAGGGCGCTTCTCGCCTGGGGACAACAAGGCTCCTGCGGTACAGCGCCCGGAACCAGCTACAACCAACACAGCGACTTTGTCGAGGGTTTCCATGGCCCCTCAATACCCTCCCGCGACCACCATGCCACCTTCAGTTCCACCAATGCGTGTAGCACGCCGGGTATTTGGAGCCCAGGCCCAAAGACCGGAATTTCCACCACCAGAGCCGACGTATCTCCGGCCATTATCGCAAATGGACTACCAAGTACCTACTGGGTTTGCAGGTTCAAATCCATCCGCTCCTCCCATCCCAGGCGATTGGTACGATGCAAGCGGAACCCATGCAGAGACACAACCTACCCCATCCAGCCTGTCATCTGTGGCTAATTTTGGGGGGGCCCGAAAGCCTGGTCAGGGAGAGTCAAGGTTGGTGGTCTCGCAATGCTACCGCTATGGACATTGGTGTGGAAAACTGGAGTCCTTGGAGTCCTGAAATCTCGGCTCCAGTACCTCACCTTCAGTACGGCAATGGCCATGTCAACCTTGTGGCTATGGCGCCGCAGCCTAACACTGCAAACGGTCACCAAAACCAAGCCGAGGCATCCACGGGGATGCACAGTGCCAGTCTGTCGCCAGAGAATGGCACACCCAAATTTGACGGACCGTGGTCATGAATGATATTTTGCTACGTATATACTAACGACTAGAGTTTTTGCCATGGCTATTAGCATTGTACACAGAGTGAGGTATTGACGCTTTGGACTTTTTTGTATTTACTTTGTGTTTGTGTTCGATGATACCACAAATTGGGAGGAATTTTTGATTTTTATGGCGTTTAGATACTATATTTTATTGCATCTGGATTGGCCGCCTTGTAAGAGAAACGTTCCTCTCTTAATTCTAGTACATTGGCAAGTCGAGATTTACAGCTCGAGAAATGAAACTTCCCATCATGATCAATCATTAGTCACAACAAATACAAAAACACCAATTCACAAAATGCAGTTTCAACCCAAGAAGCATCCGAAAACCATATGGACGAGAGATAGCAGGGAAATGTATGCAAGGTATGGTATCACTAGATCGACTGTTAGCATCAATTCTTCAAGAGGAATTGGCGATAGTTAGGGGATAGGTTTCACTCACCAAGAAATAATCGGCGACGGGCTTCTTCGCAGGCATACCCCTAGTATCCTGGGCTGCAGCCTCAAACACGCGGTATCGTCGACCGGGACTGACAACGGTGCTTAAGGAATCCGCACCCATGACGCCGTTGCTTCGTCCATACTCTCCATTACTGCGGGCCACAGTGCCGCCACTGCTAGTATCTTCGCCTAGCTCCAAGATGGCAGCAACATTACCGCATCGGTAACAGTAGTTTGGAGCAGACCACACTGTAACAATACCGCCGTCGAACATCTCTTTGTATCCCTCCATAACAAGCTGATGGGCACGCGCAACAAGTGATAGACCGTTGAAATGGTTGAATTGTTTGACGATATCGCCGCCAAACAGGAAACCCGCACCTCGCGGGCTCAGGCCCCAACCTTCGATTTCGTCTGGGTCTGACCAGAGCAGATCGCACATGGCTCCCTCGTGGGGAACTTCTTGTTTGCGATCGATCAGTCGAATCTTGTCAACCGAGTCAATTAATGGTGAAAGACCACCATGTACACAGAGAACAGCGCCTGTGCGACTCCCAGGCGCGCTGCCGTTGCTATCCCCACCGGCACCTGTACCAGGTGCACCCGATCTTGTGGGCGCGCTTAGTTGACCAGGAGCAGCGGATATATCTCGTGGTGGGGAAATGTTTCGCGAGTCGGTGGAAGCGTCGGAAGAAGAACGCTGTCGCGCACGGTAGGTGCTCATAGTGACTTCACCGCGCGAGTTCAGCACCTCGGTCTCTAGCTCGGTATCATCTATTGGCATGGTGGACTGTGTTGTGTCGTTCGCGGAAGCTGTAGTTGGTTCCAGTTCTGAGCTTGCGCCTAAGACTATCGCGCCCAGAGCGAGATAGTCGAAGACTTCGCAGCAATACCGCCAGACGTTGGCGCTGCCGTACTTGCGGATACATTCGTCGTAGAATCCATAGACGGTTGTGATCTGGCGCGATTCGTGATTACCACGGATCAGGGTCATGCGATCGGGATATCGAACTTTGAGGCAGAGGAGGAGGAGGAAGGATTCAAGTGAGTAAAAGCCGCGATCAACGAAGTCACCCATGAAGAGGTAGTTAGTGTCGGGAACATCGCCGCCCACGCGGAATAGCTCCATCAAGTCGTGAAATTGGCCATGAATATCGCCGCAAATTGTGACTGGCGCATCGACAGAAACGACATTGCCTTCTTCGATCAAGAGCTCGCGAGCCTTGTAGCAGAGTTCGCGGACCTGTGATTCGGGTATGAGTCGGCAAGCCCGCAGCTGCTCGATCGCGCTGTACAGGAAATACGGTCAGTCATCAGTCAAACTGAAGGGGATAAGACAATGGCGATCGATACCGGTCAAGGTCACTCATGGTGGCTGTTAAGAGGAGGGTGGATGAGGGAGGATGAGGCGGATAGCGAAAGGGGAGGCGGGGGTGCAAACAAGACCCTCAGAGGCGGCAGTAATAGACAGTCAGTCTCCTTCGCGCGAAAAATCTAGATTCATTGTTGCGCCATATCCCAACGAAGAAGATCAAAGCAGGGCAGGGCAGGGCAAGGGCAAAGGGTCGGGCAGAAGCAGAGCAATGCGAGACACGGAGAGCGGCAGAACCGGGCTGGGCGAGGGCGTATCTACGTGACTGAGGCTGCGGCCAATCATGCTGAGGGCAGATAAGATTAGATGCCACCAGAGCCTTTCAACCTCCTCGTCTCCCGCCGTCGCGATCGTCAACTACCCCCGGATCGCCCTTAACAGCCCTGTCAGACCCTGTCAACTACTGTGGGCTTGTGGGAATACCCCAATTGGCCTCTACCGCGACTCTTCTACCTTCCCATCTCATCCAGCTTCGTGCTTCCACCTCACCCTGAACCGTCCGATGGCCTGAGCCCGAAAAAAAGTCGAAGACGTCGACTACGCTTTTCCTCCACTTGAATTCACATCACACATTGATCAATTCTCTCTCACACACACAATGCCGCCGCATCTCCACCCCCGCTCGCGGTCTACCACCGGCCTTTTCGCCGGCACTCTCCTCGCAGGCCTCCTGGTCGTTGGCATGCCACACGTCTTCCCTTGCCCGGCCCCTCGACGCACATTCGCCGACTCAGAGATGACAATCACACCTGACGGTCAACAATTACCACGCATTCGCCGTCGGAGGCGGAAAGATGTCGAAATGGACGCGGAATCTGCCCACCCTGTTCTCCCGACTTCCTCCGGCCCCATGCCCGTGGATGAGGAGGTCACTACGTTCTTCCAGATGGAAGCGGAGGCGCAGAAGTTGACACAAGCGAATCACGAATGTCCTATCCCGAAACCAAAGGGCATGATCGGCGAACTGCTGGGATTCCGCAATGCTCAGGGAGACCAGCAGCGCTAGACAACCGGGCCACCCGTGGGAAATCACCACAGGCACACACAGACACACACCTGAAGACAACCCCTGGCTCTGGGTTTTCTCCTTTTGTCTCTCATTCGATTTTGCATAATCTCTCTTTTCGTCACTTGTTTAATGATACCATGGATTTGGAATTGTGGAGGTATAAGGCCTCGCACAGTGGTTGTTCGAATATTACGGGTATTGGGGCTGGAGATACCACAGCGAAAGCTACACTTGATGTGTACCTGTATAAATTGTACAACAGAAAATAGATGAAAAAGAAGATTCAACATACCCATTTACCGAGGTGGTATTCCATGATTGTATTTAAGCAATTTAGGTACGTGGCTGGTAGCCCAAGTCTCAAAGATCCTCTATTGATCATCACACTCCTACTCCGAGTGGTACCTATGTAGCATGATGTCCATTTTGGTTCTTAGAATGTAACTGAATTCCGCCATTTCAAGCAAGCACAAAAGCACCTGGGCAATCGACAGCTCCGAGGCTATTTGTTTGAAATATAACTAGAACTGTGGTAGTATAGTGTACCTCAAATCCTGCCATAGCCCTGGTAAACTTAAAAGGGAGGCTGTCATGCTGAAAACTATCACTAAATCCAATATCTTCAGCGGTCTATAAGACAATCAATATCAATCAATTTCTCCATGACCCCATCGACCAACGCCATTTCACCTAAAAATTAGGGTAAAAAGGGCCAGGAGAAATAGTTCCAATGAACGAATCTAGAAGTCTCGTCGAGCTTCTCGATGATTTCGTCATGAGTTGGTTCAAGTACACTTCGCTCGGGATCGTATACAAGACTATATACGTAATCATCGAAGGTGTCTTTCACTTTTTCTACCCATTCTTCGGTCCGTGATGTCTCGCAGGGCTCATAGATGTAGTGTCTTTGGCTTGTTTCTGAAATCTCGAATGTCGTGTAGACTTCGTTAGATCCATCAACCTTCGTAGGATTATCCATTTTGAAGATATGTAGCCTTGTTTGATTGAGCGCATCTGGATCTTCCAATACTGCGGCTCGAAGCTCGGCAGGCAAGGTATAGTGCCAGTTGGTGAGGCTACTAGTAGTAAATGGCAGGATGAGGACGTTATAATCTGTCAAAGGGCACCATTGTGTGTCTTGTGTGTCTTCTGTGCTTTCAAATTCTGTGTCCAAACTTTCAAGTTCAAGTTGGAGACGGTGAATATCTTTTCTAGGAGATCCGTCTTCAACCCAATGCTTCACGAAACTTACATGGACGTATGGAGGAATCGGTAGTCTCTCCACAAATTCCACAACTTTGTTGACCATCGCCCATTGCGTGAAGATCGAACCTTTCCCCGGATACTTTGCACCGCGGATTTCAATTTCAAAATGTGGCGTCGAAATTGTTGAAAAGGGGAAGGTAGAGTGAAATTTGTCCATATCCCGCGCGCTGTCAAATCTCCAGTCAATCTGCAATGTTTTGGACGTTGCCTGGAATTTGACCCGGCGTTGATTGATTATGAATCTGAACTCGAGATTTCGGTAAAGCAGGGTTCTAATTTCATGATAGAGGAAACGGCTGCTGTGTAGGATGTTCGCTATTTTAGTCGGAGGCACAGGTCTGCGATATTTGCGAGGAGGCTGTGGTTTTCTTGAATCAGGAAAAAGAGCTTCCCATATCATGAGGCGAATCTCTGTTGGTAGCTTTGAGAAAGCCCCCAGCTGAGAGAGGCACTGGCTTTGAGTCTCGGGGTGTTTCACAAATATGGTGGCCATTTGCATTGTTTGATACCTGAAATCAAAAGGGACGGGCGAGCTAGTTCTGCGTAGTACTAACGATGCTTGTCGATCGTTTGATATATTGGCGAACGCGGAAGATATTTTATGTTAGAGATGACTATTCTAAGGTTATTTCAGAAGAGAGACAATATCGAAGAAATTAGAAGGAAAAAGAGAAAAATAAAAGTATTTGTACTCACTCCATGGTTGTAAATGATGTATTGTATCCATTTTTGGAAGGTCCGACACCATAATAGTCGCGGCGCCTAGTAGGCCGGTACCTGCTTCCATGGTTTCGATTAATCCCGACATCAGATTTTTGCATTTTCTTATATTTTGATGACTTATGACCGTCCAAGTTGTTTGGAGTTTCCCGATTTGATTTCGGTACTTTGTTCGTTGTATTAGTATGTCATTCTCTGCCTCAGTGTCTGACTTAGTTTCCATGAAAAATAATTAGTCAATATAATGAATATATCCTTAAAGTACTAAATCTAAAATCTCAGAAGAAAAGTACAAAGTAATGATTAATCTAGAGTCTTAGAAGAGGGAGGTAATTTTGTCCTATACCGTCAAGTCGACAAGCGGGTCTTTGGTAGAGCTGAGGCTAACCACGGAGGTCGCACTCCACCACGTTTAAAGTCCCGATCAAGCCACCTTGGAACATTCCGCTTCAATCACTTGCATCGCAATGGGCCCCTGGTCGCGCTTCATATGCAATGTGCTAACTCACCCAAGGCACACAAAATGGATCGCGCCCTTACTTATCCTAGGCGATGCAGTGCTGTGCGCACTCGTCATTTGGAAGATCTCCTGTGAGTGCGCGTCTCATCCCGTCGCGTGGCGGACAAGGCCAAGCTAACCGTACCCACGACCACAGATACCGAGATTGACTGGACGACCTACATGCAGCAAGTGAAGCTATACCTCGATGGTGAACGCAACTATCCCTCCATCGAGGGCTCGACCGGCCCCCTCGTCTATCCCGCCGGCCACGTCTACATTTATGCTCTTCTCTACCACCTCACCGATCAGGGACGGGATATCCTCCTAGGACAGATTATCTTCGCGGCGATCTACTTGGCGACTCTGATCATCGTCATTGCCTGCTATAGGCAGGTTCATGCGCCGCCATATCTGCTCCCACTCCTGGTCTTGTCCAAGCGACTTCATAGCATCTACATGCTCCGCATGTTCAATGATGGCATCGCCGCCTTCTTTATGTGGCTTGCAATTTATGCATGGATGAGAAAGAAGCCCTTGTTTGGAATCACAGCATGGTCCCTTGGTGTCTCTGTCAAAATGACACTGGTTTTGCTCGCACCAGCCATTGCCGTCCTCGGTGCATTTGATAACGGTCTGCGTGGCTGCGTGGTTCAGGCGATTGTAGCCTTCCAGCCCCAGGTGAGTTAAGATTCCTAGAAATTCCATAACTGTGGCCGCAAATTAATGCAATCTACAGATGTTGCTCGCAAGGCCGTTCACTCGCAAAAATTACATGGGCTACATTTCTCGGGCTTTTGAGCTAACCCGGCAGTTTATGTTCAAGTGGACCGTCAACTGGAGGTTCGTCGGGGAGGAGACTTTCCTCTCAAAGGAGTTTTCGTTGGGTCTGCTGGCTTTGCATGTTTCCCTCTTGGGGCTTTTCTCAACCATTTGGGTAAAGCCATCAGGCATGAACATTTTTAGCTTTGCCCGTGACCTTCTCGGTGGATGGAAACCTCGCATCGCCATATCCAAAACGTTGACTATGAACATGATGCTGACTTCATTGGCCATCGGCATGCTTTGCGCCAGATCATTGCATTACCAGTTCTTCGCATATCTGGCTTGGGCCTCCCCTTTCCTCCTGTGGCAGGCCAATTTCCACCCCGTTCTGATTTATATTCTGTGGGCTGTTCAAGAATGGGCCTGGAACGTTTACCCAAGTACCAACGCCAGTTCGGCAGCGGTGGTACTGTCCCTTGCCGTTCAAGTATTTGGCGTGTTCATCAGCGGGCTCGGGGAGGTGGATGGCGGCGAGCGTGGAAAAGCACCCGTTTCCAATAGATGATAGGCATTGAATCCTCAATTCGAATTTGAAGTGTTGTTTCAGGCATCAGAGTCCTCATCAGAAGAAGGCATTTTCCCCACGCGAGATTCCTCCTCGGAGTCGGAGTCGGAGTTGGCGTTGGCAGTCGCAATTGGCTGTTTCACGAATTCCTTGGGCCTGTAGGGAGAGTTGGTTAATTTAAACTCGATCGATCGTAAAAGCCGGCGTAGCAGAGAGAATAATATCATACCAGAAAGGGGATTTGCGCCAGGCCTTTTCATCCCGCACAATGTTGATAATTTCAGCGCCAATTTTGTTGTCCCGTTCCTCCTGTGCCTTGGTGTCGACGAGAAGATATGAACCACGCTTAATCCAGAAGGTCGATCGAAATCTCGCTGGCAGCTCTGCCAGCATTTGTGTTTTGTCTGGGAATTCAATTTGGTAGATGTTGTTGCCAGTGCCCTTGATTCCTCGCACGATGTGGTGGGTTTCGGCCAGTTCATTCGGTGGGAACATGGTTTCCTCGGCCGTAGCCAGGACCTTTCGACGAGGAGGCGCCATTGTGATTTAATTGGCGAGGATTGGCGATTAGAACCGAGCTGCAGGAATAAGGTATGTCGAGCTCTTTGGAGGTGGGGGAGAAATTTCCTCGGGCTTATCAGCGGGGCTTCCGCTCGATGACAAACTGCCCACAAGTTCCCCTCCAAAGAAGACCGCGGAGTCGGCCCCCCGCCTAATGGAGAAAGTCCCCGACTTACTAGGAGGATGTATCGCCAAAGCTGGTCAACTAATGCACTTCTGCAGATTGGAATCACTTGACCCAAAGGGATTTTTTCCCCCACGTTGAGTCAAGTCAAGTCCAACTGCCCTTTCTTTTCTTCTCCTTCTACATACCACTTCGTTAAGTCTCTGAGCTATTGTTAGTTTGATATAACGCCTTTACAGTGCTGCTTGGCCCAGAAAACTGGTTGAATATGGCAGCCTCCAGTCTAGGAGCTTTTCTAAAGATCGAGAGTTCTTCGCAGATCTCCACTCCCCCGCCTGCAGTGCGGAAGGATAAGCAAGGCGTCACGCAGCCTCCGTCGGATTATGAACTCAATGAGCTACTGCCACAAAAAGGCTCGACTCGAGTGACTGCTGAGCCAGTATCTTCGTCACCAACAGGCGCATCCGCACCAGCGCCTACCCCAAGCGTATTAGAAAGCCGTCTGCCAACCCCAGACGATGAAGCCACAGAGTGGGCCCCAGATCGAACCAATCCTTCATGGAAAACCAAATGGCGGCTGTTGAGCGTTAGTTTCATCAATTTCGGCAATGGAATGAACGATAGTGCTCCCGGTGCCTTGATTCCCTACATCGAGAAACACTATGGCATCGGATACGCTGTCGTATCGCTGATTTTTGTGACCAATGCCCTCGGGTTCATCTCGGCGGCGCCAGTCACACATGCCCTGGAGGTCAAGCTAGGCCGTTCGAAGAGCTATATGCTTGCGATGGCTTGTCTGGCGGTCAGTTATGTGGTCATCATCTGCCAACCGCCTTTCCTAGTGGTCGTAACCTGCTTTTTCTTTCTCGGGTTCGGGATGGCTCTCAGTCTGGCTCTTAGCAATGTGTACTGCGCAAATCTAGCCAATGCAACTACAGCCCTAGGCTGTTTTCATGGATCATATGGTATTGGAGGAACGGTCGCACCGCTTTTTGCGACTGCTATGGTGTCGAGTGGGATCCGCTGGTCGATCTTCTATTCTATTACCTTAGCTTTCTGTCTGCTCAATCTTGCGTTCTCTTCGTGGGCATTCTTCAACTATGAGAAAGACACCCCGGCAGAGCCGCAACGACCTCTTCACCAGACAACTTCTCGCCCCACAAGTATTACTGGCGAAACCATGACCCGAGCACAGATTCTCAAAAAGTCCATCAAGAACCGGACTACCCTGCTTGGTGCCTTATTCATCTTCGCTTACCAAGGAGCTGAGGTTTCCGTTTCTGGATGGGTGGTTTCTTTCCTGATCAGTTATCGAAATGGCGACCCCTCGCGGGTTGGATACGTCAGCGCAGGATTTTGGGCTGGAATAACGGCTGGCAGGTTTCTGCTCACTCATCCGGCAGCGAGACTAGGCGAAAAGACAGCCGTAGTCCTGATGGTAGCCGGTGCTGTAGCTTTTCAGCTGCTGACTTGGCTCATCCCCAATGTTATCGGGGAAGCTGTCACGGTTGCAATTTTGGGCGTCTTGCTTGGAGCTGTGTATCCGTGTGCCACGGTGGTTTTTACGAGGCTGCTGCCGCGAAGTATGCACATGTCTAGTCTAAGCTTCATCAGTGCCCTTGGCAGCAGCGGTGGAGCGGTCTCGCCCTTCTTTACCGGTATTCTCGCGCAGAAGGTGGGTACTATGGTCCTGCATCCGATTTGTATCGGTCTGTATGGGGTGATGGCTACGAGTTGGTTGTTGCTGCCGAAGATTTCGAAGAGATCCGAGTAAGGGTCTTTCTGAACTCAGATGTGGCTGTGCATAATTTGATATAATGGCCGGGCTTGGATGTATCCGGGACTGTCTGCCACTAGCTCGAGAGTAATTCGCGATCATTGAGATGTTAGGGGTGATGCGATGCGTGTATTCTCGTTTGGACCGGCTTATGAAATTGGGTACAGCAGTACATAACTGGCTGAGTCTTGCTACTTTCCAGGTTATCAACAAAGCATGAATAAGGGAACTGATGATAAAAGTTGAATAGAGTCGAATAAAAAAAGTCATTGGTTTTGGAATGAAAATTGGTATTGATTTGGGAGCTGCTCCGCGAGAAATAGGCAGTATAATAATGCTCATCTTTACACTTCCTTGGGAGGTCCACTCTACCCAACGTATTGGCAGCCTTGGAGGTTGACGAGTGAGATGGATGACTCTACGATTTGGGATCAGGCCATTTCAAGGTTTTACGGCCACAAAGAAACGAATGATATCGAGACAGGTGGACAATACCATTGTGCGAAGAATGTGTGCAATGTAACCGAGTCGAGTCAAGTCGAGTAAAGTCGAGTCGATGGGACTTGCCCATGTACGCGGCAAGGAGAGTGAACGGTCGCACGCTTCAGGCGATCAGCGTGCGGTGACGAGTCGCAGGCATCGTCGTTCCATTCATTTCTTTCCACTCTGTACGACCGACGGCATCGCCGCCATGCTGAGACATTCTGGGCCCGATATCTACCAATCACGACCCCGCGGGCTCGGCTGGGGCTGTGGTCATCGATTCGAAGTTTGGGTGGGTGTTTTCTGGTTGTGAATCGTCAAAGGCTCCTTTAATGGTACATTAGTAACTTTTTGTTTGTGTGGTATTTTTTTTTGGTTTGGTCATTGAATTTCACTGGATGGACTGGGGACCAGGTTGTCTCGGAGGAGAATGGTCCTCCACATGGAGGGGGAAAGATGGCCCAAAGTCTCACGTGTAGATGTCACGGTTTTCGCCACAATGTATTGAATTCGCGCCTAACACTACTGGGATTACTTGACGTAGCTCGTGTTTTTGTAGTTTCCCTATGATCTACTAAAATTCACTTTCAGCTGGCCCTTATCGCGACGATCCCCGCCTTGTTGCATGTCGCTACATTTTCCGAAGTGGCATTATCCTTACCGTCGTCCTTTTACCTTTACCCCCCCCTGTCAACAAGAGCCCCGCGAATCCCTTCTCCCACCTACACCTCCCCCCGCCCCCCACGGTCCGGCGCAACAACCCAGTTTTGATCCCTCGGACCTCCCATAATGGATGGTGACGAGCTTATTGCCTCGGTCTATCGCAAGATAGAGCGGGAGAAGGCCCTCATCGCCGCTGCGAGTAACATGCGGCAGTCGACCGACAACCCCCCTCGTGCAACAGAGAGTCGACGTCAACATCCGCGATGGCCGTAAGAATATCGCCTACCTCGAGGAGAAGATGCGAGAGCTTCAGATTCGTCGGATCGAGCAAGAAGGTGGTGGTTCGCCAGGTCAGCGAGGCGGGCCCGCGCCGCCGCCAAAGGACGGCGGATACTTTGGTGAAGATGAAGCTGGTTATCCTCAGGGTGGCTCCGGTTCGATGCCATCGGGTGCCCCCTTTTCCGACCCCCGCCCATATGCACCCATCCCCAAGGCGCGCCCTAATTACACCAAGCTCGGTACGTCGCTTTGCTCGAATCCTACCCCTCCATATCTTACCCAAAACCTGGGGAAATTTATCAGTCGACGATCGTCTTTCTGGGAACCCTTGGAATGCTGACTTGACGGATGTTTCAGATCTCATCAAATATGATACCGCTTATCTCGGACCGAAGATTCAGCTCATGCTGTCCCAGCTTGAGTTCAAGCTGAGTGTGGAGAAGCAATACAAGGCGGGTATCGAAAAGATGGTTCGGCTTTATCAAGACGAGGGCGATCGGAAGAGTCGCGCGGATGCCGAAAGCCGACGCATCGAGAGTAACCAGAAGATCCAGCTGCTAAAGCAGGCCTTGAAGCGATACGAGGATCTTCACGTCGATATTGAGTCGAACGATGCTGCCGATGGTATGTCACGCGTTTCAAATAGCACTTGTTGAATTGTGTGCTTTGACGGCTAACAATGGTACAGACGAGAGTCTCAGCAGTCCCAACATGCGCAAGCCATTGACTGGTCTTCTTACGATGCGGATCCACGCTGTCAATGATGTGGATCACGCCGCAAGCTCCAGATTCTCACGTGGCCCTGAAACCTATATCGTTGTCAAGGTGGAAGATACAATCAAGGCTAGGACGAAACCCAGCCGGATCGACAAATGGGTGGACGAGGCTTTCTCGATCGACATTGACAAGGCGAATGAAATTGAGCTTACGGTTTACGATAAGTCGGGAGATCGCCCCACGCCCATTGGTATGTTGTGGGTGCGTATCTCAGACATTGCGGAGGAGATGCGTCGCAAGAAGATTGAATCCGAACTCAATAACTCCGGGTGGGTTTCTGCGGACAGAATGGCTGGTGATTCCGGTACACCTCAATCCAACCATCCAGGCTCACCCCAGGGCTCTTCTCACGGCAACGGCCCGGGTAGCTTTGGTAACATGGCTATTCCCCAGGGGGCGATGCCTGAGAACCCGAATGCGCCTCCTACAGTGATGATTGACTCATGGTTTGCTTTGGAACCGTTCGGTCGGATCCATCTCTCGATGAGCTTCGGTAAGCCTTGTTTTATTTCCTATGACTACAAGATGCTAATGCTTCAATATAGCCAAACAATTGAAGGACCGCCGTCCTTTCGATATTGGTCTCAACCGTCAAGGTGCCGTTCGTCAAAAGAAGGAGGAGGTCCACGAGAAGCAGGGTCACAAGTTCGTCACCCAGCAGTTCTACAACATCATGCGCTGTGCGCTGTGTGGAGAATTTCTCAAGTATGCTGCGGGTATGCAATGTGCCGACTGCAAGTACACATGTCACAAAAAGTGCTACTCGAAGGTTGTCACCAAGTGTATTAGCAAGGCCAACTACGAAACCGACCCCGACGAAGAGAAGATCAACCACCGTATTCCTCATCGCTTCGAAGGCTTCTCCAATCTTTCCGCCAACTGGTGTTGCCACTGTGGTTATCTTCTTCCATTTGGACGCAAAAATGCAAAACGCTGCAGTGGTATGTTGACGATTATGAGAACTAATTCTTGACAAAGCTAACCTTTTCCCTGCAGAATGTGGTCTTACTTCCCACGCTCACTGCACGCATCTGGTCCCTGATTTCTGCGGCATGTCTATGGAAGCGGCGAATCAAATCCTAGAAACTCTTATTCGTGCCAAGACTCACAACAAGTCTACTTCTGTCAGTTCCGGTCTCAGCGGTCGTACCCTCCGACCAAGCGGTCCACCGCACCCCCCTCAAGACAACATCCGTCTTTCTTATCCCCCAAAGCCTGCTGAGGGCCCCTACGGGGCAATGCCCAGAAAAGCCTCGGCTGAAGCGGTAAGCGCTGCGACTAACTCCTATATGACTCCACAGTCACCAACAGCTGCTGCACAGAATGCTCAGCGCCAACCACTGCCGCCGAAGTCGCCTACCGCCGGGTCCGCTGCCCAGGCTGCTGCCGCTGCCGCGGCAAGTCTGCGTAGTCCTCAGCAAACGCCTAGTATGCATTCACTTTTACTGTCTCTTTTTAATCTCGCCTTGTGCTAACACTAGCTTCAGCTGAAATGACCCGGCCTCCAGTGCAGCCTCCTCAGCAACAGCAACAACAACAACCTCCTCCTCATGCTCACTATGACCCATCTGTCTATGCCAATTTCCAACATCCACCCGCGGCCCAGGCGGTTTCGAAGCCTGCCCCTGTTTCGTCGCCTTACGGAATGCCCGCGCCACCGCAACAACAGCAGCAGCAGCAGCAGATGCAGCCCCCTATGCAAGCCATGCAGCCCGCATCGCAACCTATTTCCACGGCAGCAGATGACATTGCCCCTCCTCAATCGAAGTCTCGCATTGGGCTGGATCACTTCAATTTCCTTGCTGTTCTTGGAAAGGGTAACTTTGGAAAGGTCATGTTGGCTGAGACGAAGAGCTCGCGGAAGCTATATGCCATTAAGGTTCTGAAGAAGGAGTTCATCATTGAGAACGATGAAGTTGAGAGCACCAAGTCTGAAAAGCGTGTTTTCTTGATTGCCAACAAGGAACGCCACCCATTCCTGTTGAACTTGCACGCCTGTTTCCAGACCGAGACCCGAGTTTATTTCGTGATGGAGTATATCAGCGGTGGTGATCTTATGCTGCACATTCAGCGCGGTCAATTTGGATTGAAGAGGGCACAGTACGTTCACATAGTTGCACACTATTGCAAATTAACTTTCGACATTCTAACTTGACATTCTAGGTTCTATGCCGCGGAAGTCTGCTTGGCTCTCAAGTACTTCCACGAGAACGGAGTCATTTACCGTGATCTAAAGCTTGACAATATCTTGTTGACATTGGATGGTCATATCAAGATTGCTGATTACGGTCTTTGCAAGGAGAACATGTGGTACGGCTGCACCACTAGCACCTTCTGTGGTACCCCCGAATTCATGGGACCTGAAGTAAGTTCAACTCCTAAGAAGTATACTCTTTTCAAAGTTGCCATATACTAACTGTGCTGTGCAGATTTTGTTGGACAAGAAGTACGGAAGAGCGGTCGACTGGTGGGCCTTTGGTGTCCTCATTTACCAGATGCTTCTCCAGCAGTCTCCGTTCCGTGGTGAGGATGAGGATGAAATCTACGATGCTATTCTTGCAGACGAACCCCTCTACCCCATTCACATGCCTCGCGACTCTGTTTCCATTTTGCAAAAGCTCTTGACTCGTGAGCCTGAGCTACGACTTGGCTCTGGACCCACCGATGCCCAGGAAGTTATGTCTCACGCTTTCTTCCGCAACATCAACTGGGATGACATCTACCACAAGCGCGTTCCTCCGCCCTTCATCCCCACCATCAGCAGCCCTACGGATACCAGTAACTTCGACCAGGAGTTCACCAGTGTGACTCCAGTCCTGACTCCTGTTCAATCTGGTAAGAATATATTCTGGTTTCAACATTTGAGATAAATTAGCTAATCTTTCTCTTCTCTATTCAGTGCTCTCCCAGGCTATGCAGGAAGAGTTCCGGGGCTTCTCCTACACCGCCGACTTTGCTTAATACCGGGTGGTTTTTCAGTCCGCGAAAATTGACTTTTTTTTTTCATCGAGGACCTAGCGCCGTGTCGTGTCTACTCGACACTGACTCGGTGCGCCATGGTCTGACGCCGTCACGACCGAGTTCTTCTGAGCTTCACGCTTGCGCTTCTCTTCAGCTTGCTTTACATACCCATCGCAGCTGTGTTTTTGATCGAAAGTCGGCGTAGACGCTGACCGCAAATCGTTTCGCCAAGTATGCTTCGTTGTGCCGAATGATATGAGTAATGGGGCAACTATGTTGCTATTGCTTTTCCCATTTTATTTTCTCTTTCCTGTCCTGCGTATCTAAATTGTTCCTTTTTTGCGTATTTTTTTCAACGGGCGAGTTCGGTTTCTATCTCTTGTGGAGCTGGTCGGTTGACGACTGTTCTAGGCCATGCCGGGTCATGGCTGTTCGGGGTTGCTGGTAGCATACGACCACACGAAGGGGATGATGACGAAGGTTGGGGGTGTTTTTCAACAAAAAAAAACTGTGTTGGCTGGGGAATGAATCGAAAGTGTTTAGAAAGACTACGGTCCGTGTGGTTCACGGTGGAACTGGCGCCGTGTCTGTGGGAAATAGTTCGCAGTCATATCACTGATGAGTATCTGGTTCCCATGGCTCTGGGCAGGAAATGCAAATACGAACTAATAAATCCTGCACTCTTTCCCATTTCCCTAACTCAGATGACCGTCCTGTCGAGTTGCCTTCATTGACTAGCTTCAGCCATCAAACTCTTTGTCCATCGTATTCAAGAATAGAAGGCTACGTTTGGACACTTTCCTCTTCTCTTTGTGTGAAATTCCGCTTGGCTTGATGAATTGCCGATTTAGTTCTTTGGTTTAGTCTTTCTTTCACCTCGTTCGGCCAATCCAATAGAACATCTCCAATACTGGCGCCTCCCGACTCCGCATACACAATGGACTCCAGCCCGAGTCCTTTTCCATCTCACCCCTATCCCCATCCCCATCCCCATCTACCTTTTACCCTTCACCACACTCATACTTCCTTGAACATCAGGATATTCACCTCTTGACTTAACCTCTATTCGCTAGTTGATGGTTTTGCAATCCACTAATTCTCCAGCTCTGTCCTCAACCCATCCAGCAAAGAGAGTTAGGACCTCCTCCAGCGCACTCCTCCCTCGCCTCGTTGCTGCGAAGGTCATCCAACCCAATCAACTTGAACGTGCGACCCTTTGTCATTCTCGTTCTCGGAACTTGACAACTCACTCCGCCTCTCATAACAGCCCCCTCTCATCTTCAAACTCTGCTCGGACCACCATGAGTTCCAAACGAAGCACCCCTCCAAATCTGATTCCGACTCCGTCGAGGTTTCGTGGAGGCCCGCTGAAACGTGGCAGAGCTGTGAGCAGTCCGAATTCAAGCAAGCGCCAGAGGATCGAGGAAGGACTCAAAAGACCTAGCAAGCCGAGAGAAAAACTAGGCTCAGACAAGAGGTTGCCCTTAGCAGGTCCGTCCCGCGCGCGTGAGACGACCCAAATACGATCCAATTCCGTCAAGACCGAAAGCAAAAGCCTCTCTCCTCGAGTCGGGTATTCCACTAGTTCTCGAAGAACGGATGCATCGGACTCTACCGGGCACTCTTCGGACTCCTATGATGAGGATGGAAATCGCAAAAAGAGACAGAAAGGAGAAGATGACGATATCTATCGAGACTATGGATCGCCAGACGACGACTTTGAAATCGAAGCACAATTCGACAAAGAACATGCTAAAGCCCAGGCAGGGGTTGAACGAAGAAATCTCGTCAACGAGATTACACAGGAGAAAGCTAGGCGTATGGCTAAAGCTGTACGAGTTCCGGCAAATTCAAAGATGGGAGAGGGGGAAAGAAACCTGTACCTTGAGCTTGCTCTGCGTGGCTGCAAACCGGTGATGTATCACCACTGGAAAACAGACTTCTCGACGCTACCCGAGTCACTCTTCTCTTCGGAAAAACCGCCTGCCAACGAGTTAGATGAAATCATCTTCAAAACCAAGACCCGATCTGAGTTCCATGCGATCAAAGCTATGAAAGAACTCTTGGATTTGGGTGGACAGGTCAGAGACTGCGGTATATTGACTGCGGTTTATCCACCAGAGGTGATAAGGAAGGCGATTGCAAAGTACATTCGCTGGGCTATCGACGATGCTGGGCTCAAAACTAACGCCGATACTCTCCCGTTCCACATCATATACGCTCAACAGATCGGACAGCCCACCCTCGAGACTGTCACGAAAGTAGTCAAGAAACTCACTAAACTGGCACTTCAGCACCGAGGCGCATATCAAGGTGCGGAGAATGTATACTGGCCTACCTTGGTCGGATATGTTGTTTGCGGGCCCATTGCCACGATCCTGTCACTCGATTCGAACCCTCTCTCTCCCGCCTGGAGTGGACCTGTTGACAAACGAGTGAAATATATGGGTCAGTTCGATCTCACTGAGCCTGACCAGGATGTCTGGAACTCTCTCGCCATAGCCATTTCGGTGATTCACGTGCGGGAGTCTATGCTGAAGCTTGCTGCTACGTATTCCGGCCCTCGAGCACCTTTCTTCCGCGGCCAAAACGGTGATTTTAGTGATGATGACTGATTTTGGTGAATGGTTTCTCAATAGTCACTATGAGGAAGAAAAGTTCAATCTGCTGTCTTTTCGGGGTGATTTGGCGTTATGTTTAGTCTCCAAGGAGTCATTAGTCGTTCGGTTTCGGTCAAATGAGCTGTCAATTCACTACTTTTCAACGTCAAGGTGTAGAAATTATTTTACCGTTATTCCATAGAAGCTTTTTAATTTCTGTTTTTATTTTTATCTACTACCTAAGTAGTAGCTTCAATTAATTTGTTTCCATGGTTTTCTAGTTAGATGAGATTATTTATAGAGGTGGAATTGATCTGGAGTCCTGCCAGTGGAGACTGCCAGTGTTCAAATAAGTTCTTGAAGTTCCAATATTCCAGGGTTTCAATTTCAACCTTGGAAGTTTGAACCTCCAGGACTTCCAAGGTTGGAACTTGAATTTGGCTGCTATCTACTAGTAGGTAGTACAGACCTCTGAGGTATCTACTAGTGCTACCTATATGGGCAGGTACTCGTAATATATATCCGCATTGTCTCCAGCTCGAGCACAACCTTCTAAAGTTGGAACTTGAAGATCAAATCTGACACCCGAGGACATAAAAATTCAAGTGTAGGAAAGATTGCCTAGGTAGTTTATGTTTTAATCCATGAACAGAATATTCATACATGAACAAGAGCCCCGGAGAGGATTGTTCACCCTTTTTTGGTAGCAGACTGATTCTGGGCAAACCCGAGTCACATGACCCCATCCGACATTGACGCTTTTCACAACATTCACCCCAAACCATCAGCCATATTTAGTTCGCCACAATGGATGCAGCAGAGGACCGTGATGTCAAACTCCAGCGGGCATCCAGTGATCTAGTCTCGGAGTTCTCGGCCAAGCTACCATCGTTGTTGTGGAAATCTCAAAATGGTGCCCCTCACCGTACCCCACGCAAATGGACACAAGAGTCGAAGACTGAGAAGCTTGTCAGCCTCGTAAGAATCCCGGGCATCATCGATTCATATTGGATCCCCCGCAACTAACATGGATGACAGCTTGAGCCCTTTCAAGAATGGCCGCAGCTTCTAGACCCGCACCTCCAGAAGCTACTGCCTCCTTTAGTGGATGCATTCCTGGCTTATTTGATCAAGCATCGGGGCCAATACAACGCGCAAGTCGCGAGTGATGCACAGGGTGCTTCTTTATACCCACTTCCGCGTGCTATATGCAGATTGCTTTATACCTTTTGCAAGGTACGTGGAGTCAAGGTAATCAGCCGGTTCCTGAACAATGAGCCGAAATACCTCGAATCCATGCTACGGGCTTTCATCCAGTGGGATGAAGCTCAGCCCTCAAATTCGATGGATGATTTCCCTGGAGCTGACTCACAGAGCATGAAATGGGAAGAACGTTATGTGATGCTTGTCTGGCTTTCGCATTTACTTCTCGCCCCGTTTGATCTTTCCTCACTATCATCTGACGATATCCCGATCCCCTATGATAATCTGCAACAACTTGGTGATCTTTTACCTCATACGCCAGTGGCTGCAAAATCTCTTTTGTCAGTCGCGCTGCAGTATATCAACGCCCCGGGCAAGGAGCGTGAGGCTGCAACCGCCCTCCTCGCTCGACTCGTCTTGCGTGGAGATATGCAGGCACTGGGACTACTGAAGGGCCTCAAAGAATGGGCCTTTGCTACTATTCTACCAGTTGGAAACGCGGAGCCACCTTCTGTCTACTCCTGCATCGGGGTGCTTTCTTTCATTGCTCGCCTGTGTGGCTCGGGCCAAGTGGAAGATCTCGCTCCTTTGCTACAGAGTATGTTTGAACAAATACTCCGGGTGGCGCAGGACAACTCTGATATATCTGCAACAATAAAGTCCTCTGCGCTGGCCAAGAAGACCGTTGTCAAGATCCTTCGCAACGTAACCGTGATGGCATTGTCTCTAAGTGAGAGAGGAGACAGTCGGATCAGAGACGACCAGTTGTCAACCATTCTGGAAGAGGCTATCGATCACTTCCTCGTAGCATTGGCAGACAAAGACACTCCCGTTCGTTTTGCGGCAAGCAAAGCTCTCAGTGTCATTACCTTGAAGTTGGACTCGGAGATGGGTACCGAGGTCATCGAGGCCGTGATTGGCTCTCTGGGGGAAAATATTCTCTTCGAGAAAGATGATGGCACATTGGTGACTCCATTTGAAGCAAGAAAGATCGAGACGCATAGGCTGAGGCGAAATCTGAGTGCCGTGGATGCCCAGCGGTGGCAGGGCTTGATGCTCACATTATCACATTTGCTTTTTCGACGTGCGCCTCCCATCACGCAACTTCCCGAAATTCTCCAATCCCTCGTGTCTGGCCTCGACTTTGAGCAGAGGTCCTCTACGGGCAGTTCAATGGGAACGGGTGTTCGAGATGCCGCATGTTTCGGTATCTGGGCGTTGTCACGGAAATACGCAACATCGGAGTTGCAAGCGTTGCAACAACAAGTCATACCTTCAATGTCCGGAACAGACGAAGTGGATGTCTTGCAAAAGCTTGCTGTTGAGCTCGTTTGCTCGGCTTGTGTAGATCCTTCAGGAAACATTCGACGAGGTGCCTCTGCTGCTTTACAAGAATTGATCGGCCGCCACCCAAACACCATCACAGAGGGAATTCCTCTTGTGCAGGTTGTGGACTACCATGCTGTTGCACGGCGATCTCGTGCCATGATTGACGTTGCTAAAGCCACCGCTTCACTGGATCCTATGTACTGGAGCCCTTTGTTGGAAGCATTGATCCAATGGAGAGGCATTGGATCCCCGGATGCTGAGTCTAGAAGGCAAGCAGCAAAGTCTATTGGAGTTTTGAGTACGCAGCAAAAATTCAAAACCATGACTACGGTGTTCGAACGCCTCCTGCAGAAACTCCCACGCATTCCTCGAAGTGACGTTGAGGCGCGCCACGGATGCTTTTTGTCGATTGCTACCACGGTAGATGCCTATATCAGTGAATGGCAAGCTGCCCCAGAGATGAGGGATGCACCTGAAGCAAGGAATCTTGCCTCCCAGGTGAACGGGCTCTGGGAGATTCTGGCGTCATCATTGGGCCCTGCTGATAAGGATCTGACTCAACAAAATTCCCGGCCTGAGCTGACCGCAGAAGCATCTGCTTGCTTGATCGCTTCACTTTCGCGGTCTATCGTGTCTACTGGAATTACTGCGCCACCCGATGCTCTGCTCGAACGATCACTCCAGATTCTTTCACTCTGCGTTTCCCGAAGCGATGATATTTCCATTGAAACTTCATCAAATGCGTTGTCCGCGTTGTTTCCACTGTTGTCTTCGACTAAACAGGAAAAAACGGTGGAATTGTGGTTCTCTCACCTACGCGCTTCAGCAAGCTTACCGAGTGGACGCGGTCAGATTTTAGCCCTAGGAGCTGTTTTCAAGAAACTTGAAGGACATGAGCATCTACGCCAGAGTATTATCACGGAGTTGCTTCGGTATGCGAGAATAGAGGAGCCTATTCAAAAGCGAGTGGCTTCTGTGAGATGTCTCGCCATCAAAGTCCTGCCAAACACAGGTATGCAGCCCCCTGACATGGCGGGTGGGAAATAATCCCGAACTAACAACATCATAGTTGCGTCTACGGAAATTGCGAGCAATGTCCTAGGCTTCCTGAATGATTATACTACTGACAGAAGGGGCGATATTGGGTCACTTATCCGAGTTGAAGCGATTCAAGCAACAGAAGTTCTTTTGAAGCAAACTGCGGGAGTATCACCACGCTCGCAGACTACCCAAGACTTGGTCGGATGTCTCTGCCGGCTTGCATCTGAAAAGCTTGACAAGGTTCGATTACAGGCTTGGCTATGCCTCCAAGGCTATTGGGAATCATCCGATTTTCCCGAATTGCAAAGGTGACTTTGCCTCCAGTGACCCTATCAGATTGATGAGTGCTAACTGTGAAGTAGTAAATATGAGCACTTCAGTCAAGTATCTTCTCAGAACTACTTTGATCAGTTATTCACTCTATTTTCCATTGATTGGTTACGCCTGCCTTTCTTGAAGGGATTGGCTACATCAGCAGTGGCAGGCTCAGACGGTTTAGTGCGAGCAACCAGATCAGCTCTGATTCAGTTTGTCAATTCCCACGGGCCTAGCGAACGCCAAAATGTCTTGATCACGATACTGCAAGATTTGGCGACTGTTTTGACGGAGAACCTTCAAGATGATCGCTATGCTCTTCCGGCAGTCGATTTCATTTCATTTCTAATTGACAGCTATGCGATTCACAGCTCAGAGCAACTGGACCCCATCTTTAGACGGGTCTTTATTCTGGTTCAGAAGTCCCATTTCCGCTCCTCCAATATTTCCCGCATCGAAGCTGCGGTGAAGGTATACGCTGCTTTGTCCAGACTGGAGCCATTGCAGCTAGAGACCTTAAAAAAGTTGACCGGGCTGCTGCTTCATCCTTTCCCAAGGGTAAGTGTGTCTTTCCACAAGTGTTTGTGTTTATACTTACAAATTTCTGTGCCTAGGTTCGATCGACTGCTGCGGAATATCTCTTCATTTTGACCGACTCCGAGACAGTCAGATATGAGAATTGGTCAGAGCAGCCGAAGCAGTTAAAAGAGAAAGTAGAAAGTTTGAGGGTCGAACTATTGCCTGTGAAATAGGTCTAGCAACTTGAACACAAGAATAATTTACTGCATGGCATCTAGATGTATCTTTTCTCTGACGGAATAAGCAGGGCTAAACTTACTCCAGTGGCTCCATTCTAGTAAATTGTATCAAAAAACAAAAGGAATAGAAAAAAAGAAGATATAGAACAGCTGATAGTTTAAAAAGTATCATGGACAAAAAAGAATGCATCATCCGTGAATCGAACACGGGCCTCGTCGATGGCAACGACGAATTCTACCACTAGACCAATGATGCTAGTTATTGAAATCATTGTCTGGATTAGTAATTATGAGCCTACAAAGCCTTAGCCTATCGCAACCTCCGCCCAAGGAAATCAGAGCTCAACCGCGCTCACAGCTTCCGGAGCTCATCTTTGTCGCAACCATGGCGGCCGAGGGTATATCTACAGGTGGCATTCCGCCGAATTCTACGTGAGTCTCCTGTCATTACTACTCTTTTTGATATCCACTAACATGCTCTCGCAGTGTCTACGTATGCAGTCCATCCCTCCTCCTCACCCACCATTCCCCGATCCCCTCGCCCGCCGCGGACCATTGACTGACTTTCCTGAACATACAGATCCGGAATTTGGAGGAGTCAATCAAGGTCGATCAACTAAAAGAGGCTCTTGAAGAGATCTTTTCGGAGTTTGGTAATGTGCTCGAGATTGTCGCGAAGGCCAACCTGAAGGCCAAGGGCCAGGCCTTCATCGTTTATGACAGCGTCGAAGCGGCAACCCGCGCCATCGATGAAGCCAATGGGTTTGATCTATTCGAAAAGCCCATGGTCCTGGACTACGCGAAGACCCGAAGCGATGCCACTGTAATGCGCGAGGGTGGCTCGGACGAGTTGGAGGCTCACAAGCGGAAACGCCTCGCTGAGAAAGGTGAATCACTGCCCTCGCCTGAATCTGTTCTCTTCATTACAATAGAAGTATACGCTGACTCTCGGTTTTTCTACTACTAAGAGCGCCGACAAGCCCATGATGCGCTCGAAGCACAGAAGAAGCTCAAGCGCCCCGCCGCCGCCGCAGTTCCCGACAACGCACGCCCAGCCAAAACCGCAAAGGGCGCTGGTCTCAAGCCTACATCTGGCGCTACAGCTGCTGTTGTGCCAGATGAATATCTTCCTCCCAACAAGATTCTGTTCCTGCGGGATCTGCCAGATGACGCTAGCCAAGAGGGTCTCTCGGCGGTGTTCGGTCGTTTCGAGGGATTCCAGGAAGTCAGATTGGTGCCAGGTCGCAAGGGTATTGCTTTCGTCGAGTACGATGCCGAAGCTGGTGCTATTAGTGCAAAGGAGGCTACCACGAACATGCCTATGGGAGAACAAGGCAAGCCAATCCGCGTTACCTACCAACGACAGTGATCGCTTCTGTGATACATACGCCCCAAAACAACCTCATACTATTCTTTTTTGGCGTTTGGAGAGTTCTGCCTATCACTTATGTATTTGCAATACGGAAGAACTGAATTACTGTCTACATGAATTGCTGCCCGCATCATTTGGGCCCCACTTTCAATGAAGTCAAGAATATGTATTTCCGGAAATAAAGCCAAGTAGCTAAAGCACATAAAACACAGGTTGGTAGTCGAAAGAATTGTTACAGATGCGAAGACATATGCCAGTGTGGACGATAGTCCAAAACAGATGAGAGAGAGAAATCAGGGCAAGGGGGTAAGACTAGAAAATAACATCATTGTCTTCCTGCTCGCCAAGAACATCAGTCGTCTCAGGCTCAGGCTCCTTGGATTCTGCAACTGGCGGCGTTCCGTTTTGTGCTGCCTTCTCGGCCGCCCTTTCTCTGGCAGCTAGAATTTCCGCATCTGCAGCGGCGTTATCTCTCTGTTTCTTGTTTGAGACCTTCTTCAAACGGTAGAATTCTTCTCGGTCAAGCTCGTCAAGCTCGGAGTTGATGTCTTGATATGTATTAGCAAGGTCCTGTTCGATACGGTAGGGAAGATTGCAAACATTTGATGGTGTTCTCTGTTCGAGGAATGATAACATGCTCGCTTCGTAAACGTTAGTTGATTCTGCCATGCGCCTTGAACATTATTAGGTCAATGATAGCTTACATAGCGTTGACTAAGATGGACAAGGATTAGTTATCATGCTGGCCACAGTAATTTGGAGCAAACTTACCTCGACGATTGACGACCTTGATAACCTCATCAAGAATCAAGAAGGCAGTCTGGAGGGGTTAGCATAACTCATATTCAAACGGTTGCCAACTGTGAATACCTGTAGACTGGCCAACTCCACCAATGTCTCCACGGCCCGCGCGTATGTCTCCCGGCAGCGTTGAATTTGCTGACCACCCTTACCAAGACCGGTCAGGCCAAAGTCGTTAACACCTTCTTCCGTGTAGCTCTCAAATTGAGGAAGGTAAACACCCGAGACGTTCTCGTTCTTCGCCCGTACACGGAAGCGAGCTTGCTTGGCCGATTCCTGGATCTGGTAACCGATATCTCCACCAACAGCGTAGCTAACTTCGGCTAGGGAAAAGGCTGCAATTTGCATGACCCGTCCCATCTTTTGTTTGGCTTCATCAATGCGGCGTGTGATCTCTGTGCTCCATGATTAGCAGGTGTGGGGTGTGGGGGTTCTCGGGTTGAGCTGAACGGGATGTCGTACCTCGGAAACGTCTGTTGAAAACACGAGATGTTAGTTATAGAGAAAAGTCCAGTTGGAGAACAATGTACATACTTTGTCAGTGCTTCACTTTTCCGCTTTAGCAAGCTGTGGCCGACCTCCGCCCCCTTCAACTTGGCTTTCATCAACCCCAGCGACTGGCGAGTCGGAAAGACTGGCTCTCGGCCCTATGAATAGATTGTCAGCAAACAAAGAGAGACTTCAAATGTATGAGACATACAACAGCACCCGACATGACGGCTTTGAATTCCTGGCGTTTGCGATTAGCTCCTGTCCTAAGGTATGCGGCCACGCATTGATATGACGCCGATAAAGCTCCACCGCCCACTCGAAGCGGAGGGTTATGGTCACGTGAATGCAATAGGACTTCATCGTTTCATCCTTCACAGCGACGCGCCGACTTGTGTTTCTCCGCTCCGTGCCACTGTCTTATGCTGAACTATTGCTGTGCGATCTGATCCCGCTCGAATAGAGTGGCGCAATGCCAGGGACTCTCCTGCCCCCGAGATCAAGCCGGCAGCACGCACAGATGGATCGAACATCGGCGTCCCGGCCGGACTTTTACCTGATTGTATGCATCCATTGAACCTCCTCGAGACAAAGCCTTTACTGACAACTGGTTCACTCAAAGACCGACCAGGATACCGTTTACGAACAAGACCTGCTCCGCGATGCGGGTAGTGTCAAGCCATGGCTCGCATATATCGAATTCAAACAGCAACATGGCACCCTCTATGAGCAAGCTTTTGTACGTCGACACCCAAATATTAGAGTATCTGGTGATAGATTCTAACATACTCTTTTTTTAGACCATGGAGCGCGCCTGCCGACAATTACCGCGATCTTACAAATTGTGGAAGATGGTGAGACTTTAATGCCTTTGAAAGAATTGTCCAACTTTATAAATAGTTGACTAACTGTTCCTTTTTATAGTATCTTGAGTTCCGAACGAAGCATTTAAAAGGCCGAAACCCTACCGTCTACCGCGCCGAATTTCAGAAGGTCAATGCTCTGTTCGAACGAGCATTGATTCTTCTGAATAAAATGCCTAGGATCTGGGAGATGTATCTGTCATTTCTTCTTCTACAGCCCTTGGTGACCCTCACCCGGCGAACATTTGACGGAGCTTTGCGCGCACTTCCAGTGACCCAACACAACCGCATCTGGAGACTTTACAAGGCCTTTGCGCGGTCGGCATCCGGACAAACAGCCGTGAAGATTTGGGCTCGGTATATGCAGATTCACCCTGAGAATGCAGAAGAATACATCGAGCTCCTGATTGAAATGAAAGAATATACGGAGGCCGTCAAGGTGTTCCTGCGAGTGCTCGATAACCCGCGATTCCAATCCAAGAAGGGCAAGAGTAGCTTCCAGCTATGGACCGAGATGGTTGACTTGTTGGTATCGAAAGCAAAGAAGATTGAGACTGGTCCTCAAGTTGGAATTGATGTTGACGCCATTCTTCATAGCGGTATTGATAGGTTTGCTGACCAGCGTGGAAAGCTCTGGGCTGGTTTGGCCACATACTGGATTACCAAGGGAAACTTTGAGAAGGCAAGGGACGTCTTTGAAGAAGGAATCACAACCGTGATGACCGTTCGCGATTTCACAATGATCTTCGACTCCTATGTCGAATTTGAAGAGTCCATCATCGGAAACCTGATGGAAGCGGCAGCTGTGCGCTCGGAGAAGGGCAAACTCGACGAGGATTCCGATTTCGACTTGGACCTTCGCATGCTTCGCTTTGAACAGTTAATGGATCGACGTCCGTTCTTGGTCAATGATGTTCTCTTACGGCAGAACCCTCACAACGTTATTGAATGGGAGAAGCGAGTGGCACTATGGGGTGCTAATAAACAAGAAGCTGTTAACACCTACACAGCTGCTATTGCATCAATCAACCCTAAGAAGGCCCACGGCAAGTTTTCAGAGCTTTGGGTCAATTACGCCAGGCTTTATGAGAACGGTGGAGATCTGGATACTGCCAGAGTCATCTTCGACAAAGCCGTGAAAGTCCCGTTCAAATCAGTGGCAGAGCTTGCGGAAACATGGTGTGAATGGGCTGAGATGGAACTTCGCAGCGAGAACTTTGACCGGGCTGTCGACATCATGGCCAAAGCAACGCAAGCACCTAAGAAATCCATCGTCGACTATTTCGACGAGACCTTGTCGCCCCAGCAGCGTGTGCATAAGAGCTGGAAGCTGTGGAGTTTCTACGTGGACCTCGTGGAGAGTGTTTCTTCTCTTGAGGAAACGAGGAAGGTCTATGAACGAATTTTCGAGCTCAGAATTGCCACGCCTCAAACTGTTGTCAATTTCGCAAACCTCTTAGAAGAGAGCAAATACTTCGAAGACTCTTTCAAGGTCTACGAGCGTGGTCTGGATCTTTTCAGTTACCCAGTAGCCTTTGAGCTTTGGAACCTGTATCTGACCAAGGCTGTTGACCGCAAGATCGGAATTGAGAGACTACGAGATCTCTTTGAGCAGGCTCTTGATGAATGTCCACCCAAATTCGCCAAGCCGCTTTACCTGATGTATGGCAACCTGGAAGAAGAACGTGGACTTGCGCGCCACGCAATGCGCATCTACGAGCGTGCCACTCGAGCCGTTTCCGACGAAGACAGGTTCGAGATGTTCGAGTTCTACATCACCAAATCCGCATCCAACTTCGGCCTCACCTCCACACGGCCTATCTATGAGCGGGCCATCGCCGCGTTGCCCGACCAAGAGGCCAAGGAAATGTGCCTCAAGTTTGCTGAAATGGAGCGTAGGCTTGGCGAGATTGACCGTGCTCGCGCTATCTATGGTCACGCTTCGCAATTCTGCGATCCTCGCACAAACGCCCCCTTCTGGCAGAAGTGGGAGTCCTTCGAGGTGCAGCACGGCAACGAAGACACCTTCAAGGAGATGCTTCGCATCAAGAGAAGTGTCCAGGCTCAATACAAGTATGATAACAACCCTTTCTCAATGCATAAAGAGTCTTTTACTAACATTTTCACAGCACCGACGTCAACTTCATTGCCTCGCAAGCCATCGCTCGCAGTCAACAGCAAGCCCAAGAGGGTGGGGAGGGCCAGGCTGGCGACGATAACGCCGACCAGGTCGACGCTATGGCAGCGATCGAACGCCAGGTCCGTGCCCCCGTCGGCTTCGTCGCTGCAAGTAGCGGCCCAGAGGGTGGTAACCGCCCTCCACCTGCGGGTCAAGCAGCACCATCGGCCCCAGCCAATCCCGATGCTATCGATCTTGACGATGATATGGACGCCGAGTAAGAAAGAATTTCAGTCAGGTGTCCTTGCGTGTCCATTTGATCCTCAGAGGCTATCAAGTCATGTGCGACTGAACACTCCTCGCCAATTCCATTCATCAACATGTGTGTCTAGTATTATTTTTCTCCCCTCGTATAAGTACCATTGCGCTGGACATCATTTCAATTCTATTTTTTTTTCTTCATTTGGCGTTGTTCCTTGTCATAACTGCCTGGTTCTCACTGGCTTCTCTTTTGTTGGGGTGAATCCCTCAGATTCACAAGAAATGAATTGAACTTCTTGAAAAGACACTTATTATTGTTCTGAATGCGGTACTCGCTGTCTTTCTTCAACCCTTCCCTTCGTAACTTAGAGTATCTTCCCGTATTTCCTTTGTCCATTACCTCCTTGATTGCCAATAGTCAAATCGAAGGGTCCTTGAGCTTCCTCATCTGATAGTCAACTGAGAGTACAATCTCTGTAGTCTCCTTGCTTTTCATTTGGGCATCCATGGATGAAGATGAGCAGAATCGCAATCTCCTCACCCAATGATACCATGCTCTTCCCCCCTCCCAGCCGTTCAAAGTCCGAAATATGTCCGAACATGAATTCTTAGACTTCATACGGAATCGCCTCTGCACAGCTTCGCCTTCTCACCGATATTCCGATAACCTTCAATGGACGAATTTGTCCTCTTTAGGATCACCGGTATGAGAAAGCTACTGACGGAGAGTTTGGACCGATGTACAAGAGATGTACTTTCCTGAAATGGTTAGGAATGCAGCATTCTAGTGAGGTGTTCATGCCACGGATGGTACTTGTGCAACCTTCAAATTGCGGCTAGAGTATACTTCTCCTCTGCAACTAAGAGTTCAAATTTGTAAGTATACTCTTAATCCTCTTCTACTGGTTGATCGACCTGGATCTTAATTCCTATACTCTACATGCCGCATGTACACGATCCCAGTAACCCGAATTAGCCTCCACGAGTCTGCAGCTAGTAGGGTTGTGTGGGTATCCGAAGGGATATACGTGGGTTACACAAAAGTTGACTATCTTCCTCAAGAACATGCACAACATCGGCCGATCCCCAGCAGCAGCGTGAGGCAGGGTAGCGATGACTCCAATGATACAACCGGGGCTGCTGTCGCCACTTTGATTAGCGAAATGATTCGTGGACAAGCGCCTAATCACCTCCTATCTCGTTTACAAAAATGCAACTGGTTGGTCACCATGACGCAGTCCTTTTCCGATGGTAAATTGTAATTGACTTGCAGAATATTGCAACAAATGAAGCGGTGATGTCGCGGAACGTGAATTGTTCGAAATTTACAGGCGAGCATATTCTAATTGACAAAATACTATATATACTCCTCCCATTTCTCGCCTGGGCAGTGGAAGCTCGATTTTTCCAACAAGAAACCACACTCACATTCAGCTTCAAGATATCAATTCCCAGAGCTCGCAACATGGCAACACTCATCTCTACAAAGCAAAAGCAAAGGCCAACAATTTATCGAATTGCCTCTTGTCCCACGAATAATGCGATAAACGAGATCGACCGCTTCATCTTTCACCATCCGCTAACGGTAGCCTTACGACGAAATCCTCAATATCGGGAGTCACGGCCACATCTGGACACCCCAGCAAGACTGCGAAGCGAGAACCTTTTAACAGGTGCGCTCGCCGGGCATCAAAAGATAACTGTCCCGCCATATGTTTTTGAGGACAGAGGCAAGAGCATGATCATGATAATGCATCTTGGTGGGGATGTTTGCAGCTACTCAGGGATCGTTCATGGAGGACTACTAGCCACTATAATGGACGAGTGCCTAACCCGCTGTTGCTGTCCGGCATTCGAAAAGAAGGTTGGCGTGACGGCAAGTCTCAACATCGATTACCGGAGTCCAGCGAAGGCAAACTCGTTCTATGTTCTGAAAGCGGATGTGACGGAGTTTCAAGGACGCAAGGCCTGGGTAACAGGTCGGATTGAGACTTTGCCTGTTCCTGGTAAAAAGACAACTCTCATCGCTGAGGCAAAGAGTCTTTTTTTGGAGCCTAGAGAAACTGAAGTGAGTTTTGACTCCATAGATGCTCACTATGTTATCCCAAAGAGCCTTGTTTTTGACTGACTATCTGCAGGGCCTCGATGGTCTTTACAAACAGACCTAACCTGGTAGATTCAGGACATGAAGAGGCGTTAAGGAGATGTGACCTTTTCAGCGAGCGAAACTTTGGTTTTCTTATTATTTTGGATTTAAATTGATTTTTGTCAGTAAAATCGTGAACCTCGTATTCAGACCGTAGACTTCATGAGTCTTGTAATATTTAACTGATACTTCAACCTACTGAACGTCCAAGCAACATAGAAAGGCAGTGTTCGATTCGTGAACTAGTTGACTGATCGATATTCTTTTATTTTTATTGTACACAGAGCCGGTTTATGACCATCCAATTATCTACATAGGCCCAGGCAGCATCATAAGAGCGAAAGAGAAGACTATTGGGACACGTCCAAAACCGTATCCTATTCGCTATTCTATATGTGAATGCAAAAGAGAAAAGGAAGAGATAGAAGTTAGGAGTGAACTGTAGAGCCGAATATGCTCCTTAAGATGAAGTATCTTCCTGCGAGGGCGATTTGGTCTCGGCACCATCTTCCTCCTTAGATTCTTCGGCGTCATTAGATGTGATAGCTGCCTCTTCGGGCTTCGATTCAACATCGGCGTTTGGCTGTGGAGATGATACAGCAGAGGCCGGCTGTGACTTCTCCGGTTCCTTGCCTGCGTCAGGGAAAATTTCACCGAAGAGGTCAGGCAGGAAACGACCCAGGCGCTTGCGAGTCTCATTCCACATTTCCTCTTTGCTTGGGTCCTGGTCTGGCGAAACCAGATAACCACCATCAGCCATGACCAGCAAAATGTTTTTCAAGCTTTCCGGGATCGCCTCTTCCAGGCTGTCTGTTTGACCGCTGTTCATCATGCGGTCGAGAATATCGAGGATCCTCAACCAGAGAGGAAGCATGCCCTCTCTGTTGGGCAGTTGGTCAAGGAAGCGCAGGAATATCTTGCAGACCAATGTAGCTGCTTGAACGCGGGTCTCGCTCATTCCGATGGGGTCAGAGTGGTAGACCTCTGGCTTGAGAAGATGCAGAACAAGTGGGAAAAGGACCTCGTCGAAAATACTAGTCCACTCCTTGCCGTCACTGGATATTAATTCAGCCGACAAAAGAGATCGCTGCAGTGTGGAAACGGCGTGGTGCCGAATGTCGCGGCAAGGATTGGTGCACTGACTTCTCAGAGACTGAAAGATGGGGGACCAGTAGGCAGCCCATGCTGATGACTACATTAGAAGCTGTTCGGAGGGCCCTGGAAAGTTCGGGGTTGTTTACCTTCGCGTTCCTCAAGATGAGACTGTTTGATGAGCGTGGGGACTCGCCCAGTTAAGTGATAGATTAGGCCAATAGCCTTGACACCACGGGCAACGATTTGGTTCTCACTGATTGCCTGTTAGTTTTTCGACCAAGAGAAAAGAAAAAAAAGATACCACCATACCTAGACTTAGGCTTCTTGACACCTTTGATTCGGCGTCCTTGGGCATCTCTCTGTCGCTCGTCATGAGAGCCTACATGGCCGGCACTGACAAAGTCATTGGCGAGGCTGACAGTAAACTCATAGTTATCGGCTGTCACAATATCTGGCATGGAACTCATGATGCTCTGAAGCAGATCAAAAACCATAGGACCAGCATCTTCGTGTTGGTGCAGTCTTTGCAAGATAGACCAGAAATCTGGAGAGATAGTGATCTCGTTTCTCAGGTGTCCTGGATGCGCGATGCAACGTGAAAGTCCCTTGACAGTCGGTACAGCAACAATTTCAAGGACATCTTGGTCATATCCGGAGATAGCATGGAGGACAACAGGAACCCGCATGAAGTGTTGATCCTGGATATGCTGTTAGTTTCTAATGAGGTTAGGTATCAAAACGGTATGCAGCTTACATGACTCAGTCGTAGAAGGTTGAGCAAATACGACACGATGCGGGAAACGGTCAGTGGGTGCAAGTTCTTTGCATCGCGGATCAGGGTCTGGAGAGTGGTCGCCAATGTTTCGCCGAGAGCTTCCAGCGTATTCTCATCACGAAGAGTAAGAACAGTCACCAATTCCAAGATGAAGATCATCGCCGGATCGTACTTCGGCTGGTTGGGATCGGCGCGCGTATTCGAATTTCTAGACACGGGACGGGGCCGCTCTGGCTTGACCACGATTACAGCAGGTGTGTTATCTTCAGGTAGCTGGGACATCAATGCTTCCACAAGGACCTGTAAGGAGGATATAGGGAGTGATCTTGGAAGCTATTAGCATTAAGTAGCAGGCCCAGCATGTCAGTCAGTACTCACTTGATGTTGGTCAGAATTTCGGGAATCGAGCAAGCAGTAACACAATCGACTGTGGAAAGGGTATTGTCCAGTTCTTCATCAGAAGGCTCAGGGGGGGTCATCAGCGGCGTAGCTTGAGAGATATGATGTGAATGCGGATAACAAGCCGCTTTCATTACCACGTCCATCCCGGTCGACAACCTGTGACGGGGGTTGAAGAGGAATAGGAGAGACGTCGAGCTCTGCCGTAAGCTGAGGGTCGAGCGGTGGGATGAGGGAATTGATGAAAAGGTTGCTTAGGATGCGGGTAATATTTTCCCACCCTTGTTTGGGAGTTGACTCGTTGCCTGTCAGGATTCGGAAAAGGACTACAGTGGCCAACTGCGCACGGAAATCTCTTCCAAACTTCACAGCCAGCTCGCTCACCATAACACTCTTTTTGCCTGCTTGCACCTCGGTATTCAATGCAGTGCTTGGTGGCTTGGTAGTCGCCAATGTACTGATTGATGACAGCGAGGAAACAATGCGGTCAAAGGCGTCTGTCAGGCCGTATCGAGCAGAGATTTGAGCACATTGATCAAAGCCGTTGACGACTCGGCTGTAAACTGCATCATCGGAAGCGGACATGAAAACGTATGACAGCGTAGCGACAACAGGGCGCCACGTTGCCTCGAACATTTCGGCATCATAAACGTTCGTCTCTCCAACAACCATCTCGCCCGAACTAGACGACTTCAAAAGCATCTCTTTCCATGCGTAGTCAAACGCATGCTTATTCTCATGTTCGTCGGGTAGAATGATCTCGTTGTCTTTAATAGAGTCATAGATCTCCTGGAGAAACTCCTCCGTAAAGTCACCACCTCCGTTCACTCCTCGCAGGTTCCTAGCAAAGGCAGGGAATGACATGCGGTTCTGGGGCTTGACATTGGGGTTGTAAAGATCCGTATTCAGCATGATGATAGCATATGTCAGGATGTAAACAGCATCCTTGTCCGCAATTTCTTCTGGTTTCGCTTTTTCCATGTAGTGTTCCGAGAAAATCGTGACAATTCTTTCAATCAAAGGTGACTCTCCTGGCAGACGGAAAGAACTGAGTAGTTCACGGAGGGCTTCAACCACATTACTGCCGTAGAAGTCCAAGAGGTCCACGAAGGCACCCAGTAGGTCTTCGTTGCCACGCTTAGAGATGAATTCACCCAGGACCTTCTTCGACAGGCGACTTGTCCCTTTCAAGAAACCTGCGACTAAGGTAGGGTTTTTCGGGTCTTCGATAATCCCATGCTCAGCAAGATAGGCAATACCAGCTTTGGGACTTTCATTGAACATCGAAGCACCTTTGATGATCAGTTTCTTAGTTTTCCGCTGTTTGCGGAGAAGTTCCTGTGGAGGGTAATCTCCTTGTACAGCCTCGTCATCCAAACGATCGTAAATGAATTGAATGTATCCGAGAAGGGAGTCGAGACACAGAGGTGGGACATTAGTTGTGCTCCAGGTCGCTGAGTCCGGGAAGGCATTTCGAGAAAGCAGTCCTATCATGTCTTCGCAAAGATCCGCGCGGTCAATCTCACAATCATAATTAACGAAAAGTTCAACCATGAAGCTAGGGATCCGCGATAAGACTCCAATGCTTTCGACCATTGCCTCTCTAGCCTCAGGCTTTCGCGAACCACCTTCGAGCCCCAACTTTTGCCGATCTTTGACGGGGACCGGTGTTGACCTGCCGCTGTTTGCTTGTGAAGCGGGCTGCTTCACTAGGCTCGGTGCTTGTGGGACTCCTTCGTAAAGAGACGGATCGATGCCAGGTTCTCGGGGGGATTTCCACGCGAGGATGAAGACATGCCACTAGGTACGAGAGATAAAGTTCTTGCTGGAGTTTCAGTACAGGGCGACACGTCGACAACAATGTACCGGTGACTCTGAGGGAGCCTGTGAGAATGGCCAAGTGTTCTGAGCGGACCAGTTGAAAGAGATAACGACAGAGATCGTCTCTCGCCAAAGCCGCGAGGCTGGGATGCCGAGCGATAGACGGACCGGCGACTTCCAAGGCGACATCGATAATACGGAGAGCCATGACTCTCATCGTATCGGTGTGTTGGCCGTTATGTGGATCGAGCAAATCAATTAATACTCGGAATAGTTCTCTGATCGACGGCAGGGAGTATGGTTGCACCTCGCCCTCGGAATCATCCTGAGGGGTTGGCGGGGCTGCAGCAGCGACGCCTCCGTTACTTGATTGTTCAGGAGTGCCCTCTCGACTTGAGCTATTCCGTTCGCTTGTTGCGGTATCTGCGCTGATAGCGGATCGGTGTTGTGAAGTCACGGTATTCCCATTAACAGAAGGGTCCATCTTGATAGTTGCGGTATCTTTGTCGAGGGCTGAGGCCGCAAAAGGGACCGGCCCTTGCGGTAATTGATCCAGGTGTGTCAATCGCATGAATATGACTTGACACATCTTTACCATGGCCATCTCTGCAGACCGCCGCAGCACCTCGGACAGGCGACCTTGACAGCACATACTCAAGCCTGTCTCCATCATCTCACAAACACTTTCATCGCCCAACAATTCTCCCTCGGGACGAGAAAGCATGCCCTCCATCAACTTCAAGATTCTCAGCAACACAATCTCATCGGCCGAGGAGTCACTAGCTTCGAATCGGCAGTGTGTAATTGCAGCCGAGAGAAGCTGCATTGCCATGGACAGTCGCGGCGAGTCACGATTGATGATGTTGTAGGAAAAGAATTTGGTAATAGCGAGTAACGCGAGGGAGGTAATGGCGGCCGAGGTCGAGGATGAACGAACGACTTGAAGGAATGGATGGAGGAGGGCGGGCATATCGAATGTTCGAATATCCTTGCAACCCTTAAGGTCATTCCGTAGACGAGTAAAGGCCGATATCAACGGGTTGTCTTGCATGCTCTTACCCTTCTTCCCCGCAGACCCCATCGGTTGGCCAGGGCGTGATCGTCATCCCCGCGAGACGATTGACCACTCTTACGTGGACTGGGGGGCGCTGAGGTATCCCGATCGTAGACTCGAGTTGCTCCAGTGCCACCTAGAATCGCAGAAACGGAGGAGTGTGCCCAGCGGGCATGCTTCCGCATGGAGGAGGTGACGGTGATACATTCGGTGGTCACCAGGGCCACAGGGTCGATGGCGATGGGTAAAGGGTCCGACATGGTAGAATCGGGCATCTCGAGCGGGAGATGCGCTCGTGGTGTCACCTTGCACGGTGTTGGAATTGAAGAACACCTTGGAGATACTAGTACAGCTGGTCTCTCGATGGGCTGCAGGTTACCTCATCCGGATTAGCGGTGTTTCTGCCCGCTCACCGCCTTGGTCAGGGGTCGGCACACTCCGATACAGGAAGTCCGGTATTTAACAGCTTTTATTAGTGGAAGCAGGTATATTACAGTAATGCCATGACTGTTCCATCACCCTCATTGTTGACACTCGTCTCTATCCACATGCCCAATAAATATTCCGAGGTTAGCCTGCCCAGGTGGCATTAATAAGACTTTTCTTCAAGTTGTCAATTACTACATTATAGTATATACCTAGGTGGCCTATGCTCCAGATCCCAGTCTAGGTAACCAAGGTGGAAAGTACGAATTAGAAGTTGTGCAGCAACCTTGGAACTCCTTGTTTATATTGATGTATACCTACCTGATAGCCTAGTACTAATTTTAGTATCCGAGACACCGGCTTTCCTCCCACTTTACCTAAGTAACATTACTAGTAACCATAGAACCTCAAATTACTAATATAGTGCCCGCTTGTATACCTTGATAATTGCTTTGTCTTTCATTCTTCGAAGGTTCTATAGTGAACTTTATATCCATCCCACGTGAATCCTCGATCCTCGATCATACAGTCCACGGGTGGCAGTGGCACTGATACTAGTAAGGTCCATGGATACTACCAGTACTAGTAGTACTAGATCCATGTTGTCTAGGTGCCTATGTAGGAACTGAATATAACTATGTAGGGAGCTCAGGCGATGTCACAATAATGCTCGCTCAATGTGACTCGTCTACTGGACCTTGCAGCTGGTTGGGGCGAGCAACGCGTTGTCCCGCCAAACATAAACAAGGGCGATCGCCCCGAGGCGCTAAGCCCCGGTATCGCGCTATCGCGATAATAGAATGAAGTGAGGGTCGGGCCCATATCATCCTATCCGATCACTTGTCATCCCCGCGCCAAAACATTCACCTTCTCTACTACCTCCCCTCCCTACGTACCTAGGTAGCTCGCCTCTGTGAGTGAGAGGTGCTGCTCCGTTTCGATTCTTTCATGGAGGGGATCCGTTCAAGTTCTTCCTGATTCTTTCTATTGCGCATCGTCCACTCGCTTCTGTATCGCAACCCGTTCGACCTGATGACCACCGCCGCTTCCCCTCCAGCCTCACCCTCATCCTCACCCTCACCCTCACCGTGAACCTCCGAGTCTGCGCCTTCATCTTCCCCACTGTCGCTCCTTCTCGCTTGATCTTTCCTCCATATTTCTTCGCCTATCGCGCAAACACATCTCTTATCTTACAACATTCTGGTCGGAAAGTACAACCGGACTTGCGATGGCGGTCAGCACTGTCAACACGGCCACCACGGCTGGTGCAGTGGCACCCCCCCACGACATTTGCAGACCTTCCGCTGGAATATCTCAGTCTTTACCATACAGTGGATACATACCTCTCTTCTATTCTCGTTTTCTATGGCCCTGTGGCCACTGCCAATGCGACTGTGAGCAGTTCGCGCATTCAGGCGCATATCTTCACCCCCGCCGGATTTCAGACTTATAATCGCATTACAATTTCTCCTGCCGCACCGCTATATGCTGCCGTCAACCACCTTCCTCGCGAAAGACAAGGCGATCAAGTCTGTCGAGGACTTGCTGTTAGTATGCTGAAGTACTTCTCCGAGTTGTCAGATCCGCTCAAACATCGCCTATCGGAGTCCCCCCCAGGATGGTCGTCAAAGTACAAGACCCCCCCAAATTATTCGACGAGATGCATGCGGCCGATCTTGCAAACAGAATGATTAAAGTGGAGGACTCGTCGGAAATTGTTCGCGACCTTCGCAGCGCATTCCAGGAGCGCAGCGTTCCGTGGACCGATATCGATGTTGTACTGCCGGCAGGCACCATTAAGCCTCCATCAAGACGTGAGAGCTCCGACTTTGATGCGGAGGATGCGGAATCGACCCAATATGGCCCGTACACGCCTCTTATAATGGCCTTGGGGGATCCTATGTTCCTGCCGACATCAAGATTGAAGCGTGCCCCCTCCCAGCCAACAAATGTCAGCAAGTCGAGGACTTTTGCACGCAGCCAAAAGGAAGCCCTTCGACTGACAATGTGTGAGTTGGTGGATACCGAGGAGCGATACGTTGCTAAACTCTACTCACTTGTGCACGAGGTAGCAGATGAGTTTCGAGAAAAAGCCCAGAGCAGAGGGCCATCAAGTACTAGCCCGAGCGAGAAGCAATTAGCAGAATTGTTCCCCCCCTGCCTGAACGAGATACTAGAAGTCAATCTTGGTTTCTTGGATGACGTTCGCCAGGTCCTCGACGGGACAGAGAAAGACGCCTTGACCGATATCAGCCAAGATACAGAACTTCCACACCGCAGCTCCAGAGAAGCAAGAGACTCAATTGGTGCCGTTTCATTTGCAAAAGCACTGCTTAGTTGGCTGCCACGTTTCTCACAGCCCTATGCCGACTACATGCGGGCGCATACCGGTTTCGCACAGATTCTCAATTCGTTCATGAAAGACAAGAATTCCAGTTTTTCGAAGCGGGTGTATGAGACTGGCGAACAAAGATTGCGTTCGTTACTGATGGAACCCGTACAAAGACTTCCTCGATACAGCCTGTTGATCGATACGATGACAGGAAGTCTGCCGCTAGTTCACCCTGCGGTTCGGCCATTGCTGAAAGCTAGAGACATCGTGAAAGATATCTGTGCACTCGACGATGCTTCACCTTCCAGTCACGCACAAAGTCTCAGGCGACTTAGAGAGCTTGTGGATGCGTGGCCAGCGAAGACTTTTCCCGATGGGCGTTTGATTACGGCAGTCGACGTGAATGAAGTTACACCCCCGTATCAACTGGACCAGCAGCCCTCGAATTCTGGAGCCGGGATTTTGCTCGTCTTTAAAAACTGTCTCGTCATTCTATCAAAACCCGCAGAAAGCCGAACGACCGCGCGGGGACTGCTGGCCGACATCGATAATGCGGCATCCCCTACCAATGACATGTCCGTGTCCCTACCTTCTGCAGAGCTTAAAGTCGTTCAGATATTGGAGCTCCATGTCGTGCGCTGTATGCAGTCGGCATGTGGCCGAATGTTATTCGTTGTCCCCGCAGCATACAAATCTCATCCCGGCGCCTTGGACAGCAGTGCTGATCTTCTTGCTTTGGAGCTCACTGGTATGTATGAAGGAAGAGCAAGTCGGTTGATTGAGGAGATCACAAAAGCAAAGATTGAGGGCCGCTTTTCTGAGAAAGAGCGAGAGGGTAGCAAGTGGACCTTGCGCAGCCCTGCTGGAACCGCAGGGTGTACCAGCATCCTGGCCTGCGTTTGCGAAGAAGGAGAAACATCTGCCCTTGATAAAATTCGATCATCTTCCATCCGAATTGTTTTCGACACATCGAGGGCGATCTGCTCCCAGATTCTTGCTCGGGACAACCTGGATATTGTATTATCTCTTTCGCCACCGAATGGCGACCAGTTCCGACTGGATATTGAAACTGTGATAGGCACATCATCCACGGACTCCGTTTCGGTGGATACCTTTGTGGCTACTCTTGCCAGAAGATGTAAGCGTACCTGACCCAATTCCTAAGCTTCTACTCACTAAATATCTGGCAGTGCAAAATCTGATATCCCCCTTACACAGCCCGCGGAACCCGAGTTTGATGAAGCCATTGGTGCAGTCAAACTTTGCTATCATCCGTTACATCGCCAGCAACTTGATCACGCAAGTCAAATCTTCAAGGGGATTTCGGCCGCCTTCGCCAACTAAGTTACTCTCAAACCTGCTAGGTGGCAGTCGCGAGAATGTGCCCACTTTGAAAGGGCCGAGTTCGGCCACTATACTTGGTGAATTCCCAAAAATGCCTCCCCCGCGACCTCAACATTCAAGATCCAATACTCTCCCATCAGTCTTCCCTGGGAAAGACAAAGATAAGCAGAAAGAAGAGACCCCGACCAAGATCTCAGTAGTCGGCACATCCGATAGCCAAGCACCAGAAAGCCAGCTTGGATATCTGGAACAAACGTTTGCAGCATATGTGTTGTCATTGCAATCCCGAAGTGGGAACATCCTGGGACGTATGCTCCGATCCAGAGACAACGCAGACCGCTCCCCAGTTAACGAACTTTACAACATTTTGTTGGAAAATCCGACCAAACTGCAAGCTGCTGCTGAGGTACCCGTCGACACTTTATTCGTCGCCTTCGAGACTTTCATGAAAAACGCGTGGAAGAATAGCATGGGCGCGGTCTTGGACGTTCCATCCTTAAGAACGCTTCAGAACCAATTTGACACAATGTTTCCTCGCGACTTCGACGAGGAATTCAGGAAGTTTCTGGCAGAGACAAGCCCACAAAACCGTCGTGCTTTGGCCGCCATAATTCGACTTCTTGCCGAGCTGCTTGACGCGTCCGGCAACGATGGTGATCGAGGAGCGTTAACAATGGCGTTTGCGGAGGTCCTAACCGAAGAAGGTGATCCAGTCCATCATGTTTCACTTTTGGACCGTTTGGTTGAAGATTTCGATGGTCTTTTCGAAGAATTTATCCCAGGAGGGGCTTCAGTTGAAGGAACCCTGAGCTGCGACCAGACCAAGAATCCTTCACATACAAATACTGGCTCAGTGAGCTCCAATAACTCATCATTCCGGAAGCGCTTTGGGTTCGGTCTACATAAAGATATCCAGAAGAGTGAGAAGAGTGAAGGAGAGAGCAAAGTTGCATCTATTCTGCGAACATTGAGCAAGCGACAAAGCCCGGCCGACTCGGAACCGAACACACCCAAGGGATCTTTGATAAGGTCAAAGTCAACCGATATCGACACTCGTTTAGGTTTCCTTCGACCTGCATCTCGCGATCGCCCGAGTGGTTTTGCGTCCGAAGAGCAAATTTCTCGGCCCGGCACCGGCCATGGGCAACCGCCCTCCTTATCCTCTGTTCGAGGCATATCGCATGATGGTGTCGTGAAAATTCGCAGAAAAAGAAGAAGCTCACTTTCCGATTTCCGCCCACCAACAGCTTCTTCTGATGCATCCAATGTCTCTCCAGGCAACCCCTTACGCCCTGTCACTCCCTCCAGTCGTCCGCGCGGTGAAGTAACAACACCAAACAGCCAATCACGACCACAAAGCAGCTACTTTGCAGTTTCTCCAGCAAGGGGTACGTCTCCAGCCAAGGCAACTTCTCCAGCCCGGCTTGGATCACCCATTCGAAGAATGTCACCCCCGCGTCCTTCCACCCCGAGCAGGAAAGAGAATATTGACCCGAAAGTGCACACGGCGGAGCGGTCTACTAAGAGCAAGGCCGAGCTCTCAGACCCTTCAACACAAGAAGGTAGAAGACAGTCACGGACGACGGGCATCCCCCAGCGCACTCCAGGACTTCGTGAACGTTCGACTGTTAATGGGGCGGAGAGTAAGAGACCACAGTCTTCTTCATCACCCCAAAAGACGCAGAAGTTGCGAATGCAGAGCCCACAAAAGCTTCGTGATCGTGTTCAACATGACAAGCGGACCCATGCCACCTCTCAAGACGACATGCGAGACGAATTACGGGCACTTGGCGATGAGTTACAGAACCTGAGGCTCAGTCCGACCAAGCAATCTAGTCCGGAACGAACTATAGGGAGTTCAGATTCCTCGAGACCTTCGAGCGCGCGATCGTTACTCGAGGCTCGCCTGCGCAGTCTTGAGGGGCGATTCGAAAACTTTGCTGGTGAATACAACAGCCGCATTTCTGCCCTTGAAAAAGATCTTGAGTCATCACTGGCACTCAGTGAGAGGCGCGTGAAGAAACTGGATGACCTTTATCGAGAGGCCAGTGCCGAAAACGAGGCATTGTATGGTCGATTCAATTCAGAACTCAGCAAGATCGCTAAGGACGTTCGAGCCGGCAACGGAGAAGGGGCTTTGAAATCCCAGCTTGAGATCGCGATGGAAGAGATTGGTCGGCTCAAGAAAGAAAATCTGCGTCTCAAGAGAGAAGTCGGCGGATTCCGAGCCCAGCAAGCAGGGGCCGCATTGCTCAAAGCGAGCGAGTAATAGTCATTATGGTTGACAGTCGGCGATACACAGCCGGTCAATCCACGTCTTCACCATACCTTTCCTTTTTCATCACCTTTACTTATCGCTGATACCATACAACCTTCCTTTCTTTTGTTCATTCCTTGAGCCTATCTGCGCCAAGACTTGTCATTCCCATTACTGGGGCTTTCCTTTCTTTTCTTTCTTGTCATTTTCGAGTCCCATGTACGGCACATATGGCTCTGGACCATGCATAGCACCGGTGATCATGTTTACAGGGCTTTCTCTTTGTTCAGATGATACAATTATTATTATTATTATTATTATTACTATTACTGTACATTAGCCGACTATCTTATTTTCAGCTTTCAGTGGCCCGCCCATAAGGCGCACTGTTTCAGTGTCAATCTCTTTGTACATCCATTCCCATTTTACCGTCAAAACCGTACCCCCATGTTGAAACTCCATCTCGCTGGGACGGTCTGATCGTGTTCTTCGACCAGAAAGCAGCACATCAAATGTTGGCAAGGCTAATAGATGCTCGACTTCCTCGTTGTCGCCTTTCGAACCGGATTTGGATGGGAACCTCACTGCCAGAACCGGGACTGTATATCGTACATCTCCAGGAGCATCCCCTAGGAGCTTGTCTTGGAAAGACCTGTAAGTTAAACCGCGCTTCCCGGGCCAAAATTCTTGCGGACTTGCTGCAAGTCGTCCGTTTGTAATGGCCTCGATACAAAAGAAACTGGGTTCGCGGGGTCGTTCACTTTCGTCTTATTCAAAGAGAACGAGACTCTGAACCAGAACCGATCGTCCCACAATGTCCATTCTGTTCGGGAGTGCTTGGTCATGTTAGACCTAGCACGGATAGGGGCGGAAGACTGAGCGGACATCTCTAGGTTTGTGACTGGAGCCCGATTCTTAAAAAATGGCTGGCGCGACAGTAGCCATAAACCACCTTTTCTAGGGTTTACTCCTGGAAGGGCTGCCGGGCCTGAAGAGGGCGGGCTAGGTGTCACGTCCAAAGGCATGAATTTGACTCCACCTAGAGTAAAGGCATGTCTCGGTTGATCGTCCTTTGGTGAGAACACCCTGGAAATAAATGGTTCGAAACTTCGCAATGAGAATTGATTTGCAGGGCAAGAGGATATTAGCTCCGTGATGCGACGGAGGGCAAGACATTCGATCTCGGTGGCTCGATTTTCGGACAGGTTAGATCGGAATGAGTCCAGGAACGCAGGGAGTTCGAGGAACTGTACAACCAGCATCCCAGATTTGAGATTTAGATCGATGATCCGACATTTTGACGAAAGTAATTGGTCCGCAAGTTGGTTTGAGGTTTGGAGGATGTTGTCGCTTGCTTTGATAAGGGAGAGGATTGAGGGTGATTGTAATGCGCGAGGGAGGGCCCCAGAGCTAATTAAGCTGCGAACAGCGTTGCGCGGGGTCAGAGTAGGGTCGAAGTTGGTCGGGTCAGTGACATAAGGGATTTCGAATTTCCTGCATGTTTTGAGAATATTTTCCTTGGGGAACCCGAGAAACGGTCGACAGAGATAAACGCCTCCGGTTGCAATAGAAACTGCTGCGGGGGCCGCTGATTGATTGTTGTCGTTGGGGACGAATGTCACCGTGGCTCTGCCCTTGTTGTTTGCACGAACCTGCGCTTCAACAGAGGTATTGCGTTGCCTTCCGGGGAGGACGATGGAAGATCCACTCTCAGAAACCCCAAAGAGGCCCCGGCATTCTGGAATCCTTGCTACTCCTTGAATACCTGCAAGACCTGCGCCTCGCATCCCAGTACTTAGCCGCCAAATGGTGGTCTCGACGGTATCATCCTGATGGTGACCCAGAAGCAGGGTTTCGATTTCGCGATCCCGACAGGCTTTTCCAAGCGCCTGAAATCGTAATCGACGAGCATGAGTCTCAAAAGCGGTTGGTATTGCAGCCTTTGAATCACTGTTCTGGGGATTCTCCCTGTTGTCCAATGATGGAGACCAATCTAACTCTAGAATTTCCGTTTCCAAGCCTTATTGATATTAGTATGACGATCTGATGGATCGAAGATTCGACCAATTTTAATCTGAAAACAGAGGAAAGTGAAAGATATGATACATACCCATATCCCGTAACCAGCCCGCCACAGTCTTTGCTTCGTGGTTACTTTCTTGGCGGGCTTTATGGTCAACCACAAACGCGGTGACTGAAATGGATCCATGGACACCAAGTTGCTCCAACCTCTGACATAAAAACGCCAAGCACATAGAATCGGCGCCGCCACTTACAGCAAGGCCTGGAAAAACATTAGCAATGTATTGGGATCCGACAGGAATCGAAGGAAGATGATACCGATCCTGCGCGGCAATTGGATGAGGTCATTTTGATCTCTCCGGTCATAGCGAAGTGTGCCCCGAGCACCAAGCCATGCCCGCCGAAAATGCTCGGCGAAAAGGGCTGGGGTGATGATTTTCGACATCGAGGCCGGATGGTTGAAACAGCCAGTTGATGCTGGGCTCAAGATCGGCCCGTCGGCTGCTTGAGTCACGTGATTGATATTGCATGTTCGTAAGTATATGTAGTATTTGGTTTCATGCTTAGCTTTTTCATTTCGATTGCATGCCCTAGAATATTCAATATTAAATCTGAAGAGACAATATTTTCATTCAAAGCCATGGCTGTGTTTAATCAAGATTCAAGGCCGGCGTGGCAAATGACCTTTCCGCCCGAACACCTCAAAAATTCCATTCTTGGAACATAATATTTAGAATTCGTGTTTAAGCTATTACTTAGGTATGAGATCGCATATACTATACTTCAATCAAGCAAAAACCTCTTTTTTCTCGCGGCAATAAATGAACACGGCTGTAGTAGACAGCTCGATTAAACTGTACCTAGGTACAGTAGGACTCAACGTTTGCTCTCGCAGATTTATTCCCCAGTAGATATAAGCCTTTCAGGCAGATGCTGGTAGTATTTTTACTTCAGGCAAGAGAGTTATTGCTCCAGAAATAACTATATTCTTGAATAGGAGACTCCGTGGGCCACTCGGATCTTTATAAAGCTGCCAAAGAACTAGTACCAATTTTCCTCCATTCATGCCACGGACTTACATCGTTAATCAATACTAGTATACTATTTCGGACAAAAATTTCGAAACTACAACTTGAAAGACACCGAATATATCGGCAAAGAAATACCGAAATTGAAAAAGACTCAGTGTATTGTCTATTAATTGATTCCAGTTTAAGACCTCGGGATTAGTTCTCGGAAATGATGTCTTCCAGTAGATATGCGTTCTGATCCTGTGTGTCTGGGGTGGATCCGGGTGGACTTTAATCAAGACGTGCTCTTCAGCGGCATTTCAAGCGGCAGTGCGCATATCCACCCGGTCTTTTAATGATCGGGACTCCGAGATATCGATAAATCCACTGTTTCAGGGCTAATGGTAACCGGGGCAGTGGTTTCATGAGGAGTGGAGTAAGAAACGCAGAGGATGAAGAAAAAAGGGTGGGAAAGTGGCACTAGGGAAATAGCATGTTTTGCCAATAACAAAGTTATCATGTGCCAAGTAAGGCTGGGGATTTGCCATAAACCAATAAAATAATTCTCGCCTTGTATACTATGTGGTGAGTCGAGCTACCTTACCATGCAGGGCTGCCGATCCTTACTCATATAAGCCAAAAACCGCAGCGAAGTCATGCAGGAGCTTTGATAATGTCAAGTCGGGTTAGATCAGGAAGCCATATTCGGGTTTTGACAAATCTGGCTTAGCTGCAGTACAGTAGATATATTGAGTGGTTCTAATTAGACCGTCCTCCTGAGCTTTTGCTACCTGGACCATGGTTCTACTTAATTTGGGGTAGTATATCTCCAACGTAATAAATCACAGCAATAAATTTACATATACTACTGGTAGTAAAACATCGAGATAATGCAGGACAAAGGTACTGATATACCTTGGCATTCTTCAAAACACCTCGGCACTTATTAGATATGCTCCGAGACCTCGTGCCCTGTTGCTTGGGCTCCTGTGCGGAATAAGCCTTCTCGCAGTAGCTCCCTAGTCAAAACGCTTCACCATATATTCGGACTACCGACGGGCAAAGAGTCGCAATCGATCTAAAAAGCAGTCGCCAAGATTCACAATCCCACCTTCTCCGCTGGAATCTTCTGCCCGAAGATTAAATTCCTCAACGGCTACATGATCCCTAGAGCCCGCAATCCGCTGTGGTTACCTCCTATGATAGCCATCTGGGACTAGGCTTGCTATAGACAATCGCTATTTCTGCAGATCTTGCGTTGGCGATGGGAGTGTTACAATCGTAATTGCTTGGCACCTTGGCATTTCCTTGGTCACTTAATCAAAGAAAGATCGTTGGCTAAAGCGATGAGCTAGTCTGTTTAATCTACTTATTCTCCGTCGGGGTTGAGGATATCTCATCATTCTCATCCTCAAGTTGTGATCATAGAGATGGAGTGGAGACCGGAATACCGGCGGTGATGAGTATCTCTCCAAACTCTCTGTATATATAAAAAAGACCTCTTTGTCCCGAAATTGAGGATTATATCAAACATCTTCCTGGGGTATAAAACCATCTTATTCAGATCTCTATCATTTCAAACTACAATTTGAATCATGGGTTTCCTCAAGGTCCTCGTCACGTCCCTTGTGACTCTAGCAGTCGTCGATGCCGGTACTCTTCTAACCGCCAGTAATACCGACGCAGTCATTCCTAGCTCCTACATTGTTGTCATGAACGATGACGTTAGTACTGCCGAGTTCAAAACGCATCGTGACTGGGCTGCGAATGTTCATGCTCGGCTTTCTCGCCGTAAGAATGGCGAGACTGGACCAGGAAAGCATTTCGAAATCAATGGCTTGAAAGGATACAGCGCTAGCTTTGACGAGGATACCGTCAAGGATATTGCTAATGACCCGGCGGTATGCTTTTTCATTACCAATTTTGACTCCTCAGGAGCCTTTTGCAATCTGACCCGTGGAAATATAGGTCAAGTACATTGAACCAGACATGATTGTGAACGCAACCGCGAACGTGGTTCAATCTAATGCTCCTTCATGGGGTCTTGCTCGCATATCTAGCAAGAAGTCCGGTGCTACCGACTATGTGTATGATTCCACTGCCGGCGAGGGCGTCGTGATCTACGGCGTCGACACCGGGATTGATATCTCGCATTCCGACTTCGGGGGCCGCGCTAAGTGGGGTACCAACACTGTTGATAATGATAATACCGATGGCAATGGCCATGGTACCCACACTGCATCCACTGCAGCCGGTAGTAAGTACGGTGTTGCAAAGAAGGCCTCTCTCGTTGCAGTCAAGGTCCTTGGTGCCGATGGTTCTGGCACTAATTCGGGTGTCATCTCTGGCATGGACTGGGCTGTTAAAGATGCAAAGTCTCGCGGGATCACTGGAAAGGCTGTTATGAATATGTCTCTTGGTGGCGAATTTTCCAAGGCCATGAATGACGCTGCTGCCAATGTTGTAAAGTCCGGTGTTTTCCTCGCTGTTGCTGCCGGAAATGAAGCCGAGAATGCGAGCAACAGCTCCCCTGCTTCTGCCTCGGAAGTATGCACTATCGCGGCCTCTACCAGCTCAGACGGCAGTGCTTCATTCACTAACTTCGGATCCCTTGGTAAGAGCTCTACCCTCACTTGTTTTGAAAAACCTTTCTAGCGAAAGCAGCGTACTGATGGTACTACTACAGTTGACCTCTATGCTCCTGGGCAGGGTATCACAGCTGCATACCCTGGTGGTGGCTCAAAGACCCTGTCTGGAACCTCCATGGCCGCTCCACACGTTGCTGGTGCTGCTGCATACCTGATTGCTCTCGAGGGTGTGACAGCTGGTAACGCTTGTGCACGTCTTGTCGAGCTTGCTACTTCGTCTATCTCCAGGGCTCCTTCTGGCACCACGAGCAAGCTTCTATACAACGGTATCAACGTCTAGTGAATGACCTCATAGCGTGACGGATGATTAAATTATGGCACCATTGATGGCTATGTTTATGTTCTTAGGCGGAATTTAGCAAAGCCAATGTGGCCATATTTATGCGTGTTAAACGTCACGGTCTGTTGAATGATACAACTTATCTTACTCTTACTAGTATTGAAACTTGCGGAGATAATTTATGATATGGTATTCTTCGTAGCATTGGCTGCTTGCTCATGGGCAAGCCTGCCATGTCAATTCTTGTTGGAAATATGCCCGATGATATGAAGTTCCACGGTGGTAGCAGCACTGGATACGGCATGTTCATAACTACATGTGGTAACTAATGGCCGCCACACTCAAGGACATGCTTTCCAATTATTCAGTTTGTAGTGAATAATTCAGGTATGTGTTAACTGAATATGATATTAGATGGTCCCGAAAGTCTAATACAGTGTTAGAAAAACCAAGGCTGCTCTAGCTCAGGTTTTCGACAAAGGCGAAATAGGGCAGACTAGCATTTGAATATTGTCAGCCAATTTGAAATATGCGATGACTTGCGCTGAGTTAGCTTGAAATTACTTACGGGACAAATGTACACTTGGAGATAAGCCACCAGAATTCCAAGGTTCGCCTTTCGTATGGAGTTAGTGGCAAAGGGGCCCCTCGGCTGATTTCCCCTTTTGGGAACGACCGATGGCCGGGTCGGTTTGTGAATCCAATTAATGGGATGAATAGCAGTTCAAAATTACTTATTTATTATGAATATCGTAAATACTTGCCATTCTCAGTCAACTTTCAGGAACAAACTCTCGTTCAAGTTACAATTATCAATATGGGCTCCATTCAGTCACCGTATCCCCCAGGCATTCACGTTCCTTGCCTGACATGGTTCAAGCCGGACAGCACACAATCCATCGACTGGGAGCTTCAAGAGAAGCACCTTGAATTTCTTGTTCGCAGTGGCATTCACGGAATTGTGATCGCTGGCACAAATGGTGAAGCTGCTACTTTGACACCGGCGGAGAAATCCAAGCTCGTGTCCCTCACTCGGGCCACTGCCCAGAAACTCGACCGACCCAGTCTGCCAATTACCTGTGGTACCTTTGGTGGATCTACACAGGCGATTATTGAAGATACAAAGTTGGCTGCCGATGCAGGTGCCGATTATGCTCTCGTTCTTGTGCCATCGTATTTCCATTTCGCTCTTGATGCGGTTGCCATTGTCGGATTCTTCGAGGAGGTGGCTTCGGCATCGCCTATTCCTGTCATGATTTATAACTTCCCTGGCGTGGCTGCCGGTCTGAACGTCACCTCAGAGATGCTCGAGACCCTGGGCGAGCACCCGAATATTGTCGCAGTGAAGTTGACCTGCGGAACAATTGCCTCGGTGGCTAGATCAGTGGCTAAGTTCGGACGGGCTGTTGACAACCCCAAGTTCGTCGCTCTTGCAGGCCAAAGCGACTGGCTGGTTCCCTGTCTGAGTATTGGTGGTGCTGGATCTGTTACAGGACTCGCTAACCTGTACCCAAAGGTGATTAATAACCTCAAGGACCCTAAAGTGATAATTTGCTGATAGTTATTCAATAGGCATGCATGGAGATTTTCGACCTGTACAATGCTGGAAAAACAGCAGAGGCTGAGAAGCTACAAATTAAATTGGCTGTTGTCGAATGGGGGTTTGGCAAGGGTGGTATCAACGGCACAAAGTGGGTTGTCGCCAAATATCTGGGCTACCCAGAGGAGAGTGCTTGGTGCCGTCGACCTTATCCCAAGTTTCTTGATGAAGAGAAGCGTGCTTGGATCACCAAGCAGGTCAAGGGACTGGAAGCTGTGGAAAAGGGACTTTGAATCTGAAACGAAAATCATGACGTTCATAGACTGCATTGTATCATTACACATAAACCCTCATATTATTTATACAATAGCAAAGACCCGATCGAAAGTATCGTGCATCACTTTTCTGATATCCATCCTCTGCTTCGTTTCATCTTGTTGCCGGATTACTTCATTTAGTACCTCGGCTGTCATTCTTGCATTGGAGGCAACTTTCTCCATTCCTTTTACGCAAGAGATAATCCAGGCCCGTTCCTCGGCGTCCTCGCTTTCGACACCCAGCATTAAAAGAGGCCATAGCATATTCACTGGGAGGCACGCACCGACCCCATTTGAGGTGGCTGGTGAGCTAACTACTGATGTTTCCGGGGGAGAATATGTCCATGGGGTATTCAAAATGAGTCGCGTCACTTGACGAATTTCATCCATAGCATCGAGAACGTCGGTCGTTCGTGGGAGATCTTGGACTCTCGTTAGATTTAAGAATTCCAAAAATAGGATCAATTCTTACTCTTATATGAAACTCGATGCAAGTGAATGAAGCTGGCGTAATAATTTGCATGATACACCCTCATGGTTCGTGTGACGGTCTCGGCCAGCGCAGGGGAGAGAAGCGGTGCAAGCGTGCCAGCAACGGCATGATCCATGAGAGGTGGTCGTTGCTGCCAAAGCGATTTGATGTCTCGACTAATGGCTGCAGATATCAGCATGACCTCTGTTTCATCCTCAACCGTGCCACGGCGTCGATGCCAAGGATCAATTTTCGATATTCGACCCATAAAGAGTTGCACCTTTTGAAAGAAGAAGAATGCGGGTCGCATGATATAATCTTCCAATGCTGCCTCCGCGTCGTCTAGACCGGAGTCGATCTCTGTAATCGCACTATCGGGAGATCGGAGATCAGTGTTGATAGCACTGTCCTCTTCTGTCAAGAACAGGCCCTCACCCCCAGCGCTGACTGCACGTGCGTCCAAAAGTCGTAGCCAAGAAAGTAGGCGCTTTTCTGCACGATGAAGATATTAGATGTTGAAGATGAAAGCTGGGATTGTGACAACTCATTACCTGTGACACTAAGAGATTCCATTTCCACCATCTGGAGGGTATTGAAGCCTTCTCGTAAATTTGCATGCGCATTTGACACATCCTTTGTAAGTAGATCGATATAGGACAGCAGAAAAAGGACGGCCAGAATATGCCGAAGCTGCGATAGGATTATCTTCCGATCCTGACAGATTTCCTTGAGGCACTCCTGCAGTTTTGCCTTCGCAGTCTGGTAATATTGGGTATAGGTCGAAGGTTCCAGTGTGCCCGATGACTCGAGTTCCAGAGCAACGAATGCGATCACACCATATTTGACCATTCTGGATGATGAGGTCATTGATGTCAGCTCTTTTCGCATCCAAAGCCAGCGTGAGCTTGTCTCCACTGTTGCAAGAATTGGAGGTGCGGCTGAGCGAGCAAAATAATCGGCCAGCTGAGACTCGCTCCACCCCATTGCGACATGCGATGAGCCCATCGGGGAAGGAATTGTTGCCTTGGACGGACGTTCAATCAATGCCGTGGAGTTCACGATCGAAGTAGGAAAATTTAGATCCAGTGGAGATGATACTGCAAGAGATGCATCAGACCATGGGAGTAGATCCTGTGACGAGCCCAAATCGAGAGTGTCCCAAGTGGGAGAGAGATTAGGTGGATAGTCATCCCACATGAAACTCGCATAGTTGAAAATTTGATTAAACGACGAGTCATCCGCCGGTTGAGTTCCATGACTGTCTTTTGCTGCGACTGAGGCCGATGCGATTTCGATAGCCGGCTGGGTTTGTTCGGATTGAAGCTTTTGACGGTGTCTGATTTTCTTCGTTCGGATTCCGAACCTGGGACCATCTTCCTGCTGCCAAGAGCAGTCTAGTTGTAATCGACTGCAGTGCCCGCACTCAGGCCGCTTCTCATCGCAGCGAACTTTGCGTCGCCTGCTAGGATGTTAGCCTCGAGAGATTGACCCCAAACAAGAGAACAGAGCTCTTACCTGCAGGTCAGACAGCCATTACGCGTGCGTGGACGATTGCGCCGGTCTACATGTGGATGTTGTTCCCATTGATGAAACATGGTGAATATTTGAGGAAGTTAGCGATCGACCGTCAGCATTCGGCGAAGAAGCCGTGCTTTTCCTGCTGCTCTCCCCAACTTCGGTTGGCTGATGTCGGGCTCGGCAACTCTCCGGGATCGAGTCACGCAGAAACCGGGGCAAAATGGAGAAGCCTCCACTTCTTCCCCGCCATCGGTCTCGGCTAAATGCCTCTTTGGGAACTTTCCGATGGCTCATCCATGGCGACTGGAGAACTTCGAACTCTCCCCCTCGAGCTAGACTAGGACCATTTTGCCGTGGAGGTGCGGGGAAGGGGATGCGTGGATGCATGAATGTATACAAAACTAGGAGGGTGTTGATTTTCTTGTCTACTATTGAATCCTTTTGTAACTTTGGAACCTTTGGAATATTATTTGTTACTTACTGAACCTACTATTATCAGGCCACCCTAATGGCATCTACAAAGCCGATTGTTCTCCACCTTGGAGACCCTATTGAGTTTAATAAAGACTTATATGCTCAAATCGCCAATGATTATACAGTCATCCGACCCTCGCTGGAGGAGAGACAGCGGGGTGCCTTCTTGAAGGCTCTCAGAGAAAAGAAATGGGGTGACTTCCAGGCCATTTTCCGTCCGTTTTGGAACACTGGAGGGGAGATGGGACGATGGGATGCAGAATTAATCCCACTCCTGCCCCCGTCATTGAAGGTGTATGGGAGCGCAGGTGCGGGTTATGACTGGATGGATGTCGATATCTTGGCCGAGCACGGTAAGTTTATTTTAGGTTCCTCGGATATGAATCGTCTTATAGTTGCTCCAAAATAGGCATCTTGTATTGCAATGGCGCACAAGCTTCAAGCGAGGCCGTGGCAGATATGGTACATCTATCTTCCGATATTTCGAGGTCTTCAGCGCACATTCTATCCCAATATTAACATGAATCTAGGCTATCTTCCATATAATCTCAGTCTTCCGAAACATGCAGTGGTCTATGGATGGTGCCCGCTCTGGCGACCCTAAGCTCTGGCTCGAAGCCCACCAAAACACAGCAGCCACTGCGCACAACCCGAAGACTCAAATTCTGGGAATAATCGGATTAGGAAATATCGGCTAGTATGCAACCACGAGCAAGTTCTCCTTTCGACTTATGTCTAACCGAGTCAGCACGATTGCACGTAAGGCTTATGCCTGCTTCGGAATGAAGATCTACTACCAAGATCTCTATCGCAAATCGAAAGAGCAAGAACAAGCCATCAACGCGTCGTTTTGTGAAACTTTGGACGAACTACTGGCCATCTCGGACTGTGTAGTCCTGGCAACCCCGTTCGGTGGTTCGAAACTCATCACGAAAGAAACGCTGGCAAGGTTCAAAAAGGGGTCCAAGTTTGTCAATATTGCGCGCGGTTCACTTGTTGATGAGTCTGCTCTGGTTGATGCTTTGAAGTCGGGACATCTGTCCGCCGCGGGGCTTGATGTTCATGAGAACGAACCAAACGTTAACAAAGATCTTACCCAGATGAGAAACGTGACGTACGTTTTTTGTCCCATCTATCTCCCCAGAAATTTCTGGTGTATACTATACTAATGGTGCACATGTTTTAGATTGACCGCTCACACAGCCGGAGGAGCGGCCGAGACTCAAATTGGATTTGAGAGGCTATCTATGGAGAATATTCAGCGAGTGTTGACCGGGCAGGAGGCGTTGACTCCTGTTAACAAACAATTGATGAAGAAATAGATGTGCCAAGATGAAATCCAAGATTCTCTTTATGGAATAGAGATGGTCATATTATACAGCTGTGTAGAAATTTTGACTAGAATCATCAGATCTCAAGACATTCCGGGAATGCGGCCAGATATGCACTTTCAATTTCTCGTCCCATGCCACCGACACCTTCGAAGACAATATCAGATTTCAAAGACATTCCAAGAGACTTCACACCGTGACGTAACTCCTCTGTTAACCTCTCCGCATCTGAAATCTCCGTTTTCGTCTCAGCTTTATCAAGTAAATGATAGCAGTTAGTTAGACGATCGGTAGCAAGGCATGCACGGACTTTATGAAGTAACATCAAAAGAGTATAACAGCCCTGCATTGCACCACAGACGAAATATGGGAGGGTATGGGGCCACTTGCGGGTAGGGGCTCTTTCGCAGGGCCCTAAACTGGAGGTAACTGGATAAGGAAGATTGCGAAAGGAGGTTGCAACGACCAGAGATGCTTTCAGACATATTACCGAAGACTCTTGCTCAGTGAAGGGGAAGGTCGACTCGCGATCAGCCACCCAGACGGGTGAAGGTGTAGAGGAAAGACCGTCACTGTTGATAGACGTGAGGTCGCAGTATTTGTCCAAGAATAATGGGATATCCATGAAGGCTCTGAAACGGTGAAGACGAATTCGAGCGCTGAATTTGTATCAGTATTGAAAATGAGATGAAGATGAGATAAGTCAACTCACGTGTAGATGAGGATGCGACTGATTCTCCACATGTTTTCGGCAATCGGCTCTTCGTATTCAGTACCAAAATTTGTTTGAAGACAGTGGTCTGACTCCGTCATCGCAGACGTAATAGATATATCCAACTGTTTAATTTGTGTCCCAATATCAGCCGGCCGAGCTAAGTCGGCCGAGCTTTCGATCTTCTTGGCCATTTGATGAGTGGCAAAAAGCGTTCTCTGCGCATTTATCATGAGGCCCCAGGGCTTTTTACATGTCAGTCAGATGTATACGCAAGGCTTTAGGGAAATGCTCACCTCTAGATGAACATCAAATCGAGGATAGGGTGTCGTTATTCTTATATCATCAGAGGCGATAACTGGTGGCTACAATCCAGTCAGTCGGATACCTTTCAGGCTACTAGTTAGGGTATCTTCAAATATCAACTCACCGCAAGATGAACATTAGAAGACAGGTAGGAAACAAACATCTATTTCGCTGTTAGAGGAGTTTCAGATTGTATGCATCAAACTCACAGTTATCCACCAAGCCCTCCTTTGACCCTCTGAAGGCCCATTTGTAGTTTCACCCAGCGCATGAAGAGAGATATCCATAGCGGTAGTCACGGCTTGATTGATACGAGCTCGCATCCGAGACACGTTGCCACGCTGAACGTACTCATAAATAGCGAGGACTACCAGCGCCAGGATAGGATCAAGCTGTATTGGTAGATCAGGATGAAGGGGAGAACTTCGGAATATAGTGTTCTCGAGGTGAAAGCTTGACGATGGGCCTAGATTGTCAATTTCCTTTTCAATGTTGACAAGAGCTGATTGGGCAAACAGCTGTGCATAGGATCTCCTGAAGGCAAAATTGGGTTCTTCAATTTGGCTGGAATGTTGAGAGGGGGGAATCAGGACTAGGATTGCGGATATAGCCAGGCTCAAGGACGATTTTGGCCAGTAGGGAAGGTCGGCCTTCCTCGGCTCTGTAGATTCTCCCGGTGGTTGAAGAAAGCTTGGCTGATCTTCATGGTGCGGAATAACCGAAGATGGTAGAAGTGGAAGATAGGGGTGAATGTAGATATAATAGGCGTTGGTACTTCCAAGGGTCACAGGTCAATTGATTACCACGAAATGCTTTCTTTGACCTCTCAACTTACATCTCAGCTTCGCTTCCATAGGCTCGAATAGAAGCCATTTCCATATCCGAAATTGATGATGGGGCAAATGGCCCGTCACTTGGAGTTTTTAGGGCCCATATTTGTCGGCTTCCAGTTGCATCAGAAGAAGAATCTGGAGATAGGTCAAGGTTATGAACTCCTGCAAAGGGAGAGACCAGTCCCATCATATTTTCTAGAAAAGGTTCTGATGATTGGTTAGTTCCGAAACCAATACGCTCAAGGGCAAATAGAGCTACCGAATGGAATGATAAATATTCCACTCACCGAAATTGTCCATGATTTCTGAAGGTGAACATTGTGATGGTGGGTCATCGTTAGAACGATGCCGTTGTGCTTGTTCGTAATGAAAGCCACGGCGCGGGCCACCCCGACGACTAGGTTGGTAGCTACAAGTACGGTCTTTGCCGGCGCACTTTTTTCAAAATCATGTTATTAGCCTTTTTACCAAGTAAAGAAATAGATCCGAAAACATACATTTCTACATGGCTGTTGGCCGTCACAACGAGTCTTGGAAGAACGGCTGTACATGGAAAATTTCAGCAATTGCCCCCTCCAAGTATATAGTGGGTCCGTACCATGCTAGACAGGCTGCCTTTACAGGCGGTTTCGTAATTTTAGGCATTTGGATGATTTTATCTGGAGGTCAAGGGGAGGTGACCGCGTGTCGGCGGATGGAACGTCACCAGACACGTGATCTTTGGACGACGATGGGAGATACCAGCAATAAACTCTATTCCCGTCGAGAGCTATGTAGTAAAGCAAGATGGAATAGATCAGTAATTGTATTGACCCCACTGCGTGTAGTGCAAAGGAGAAAAAGGTGGTTGGCAAATCTTCTAGAAGGTGGAGAGATTTCGGCTTTTGGTTGTTTCAAACGCCGAAATTTCGCCGCTTTCCACGTGGACTCGGCCTTTGAAATGCTACTAGTAGATACATATTCCTTTATACAATTAGGGTTGGGTATTGATAGATGCTAATCGTACTATCTCCTCCTTGATCGGACAGAAAATTGAAATAACAATGCACTATCTCCGCAGACAAGTAAGCAAAGTTTCGATATTTGGGGGGGGGACCGCCGGCTTATTCAAATTATTCACGCATCAGGCGGGAGATCAGTCTTGAATTCCAAGGTGAACAGAGATTTACTGTAGATGCGATAGAGAAATTAAATTCATAAAATGAGGGACTTCCACATGTCCTCAGGTGTACTCGTGTTCGAATTGTAATTCATACGGATATCAGCTTCCACCTGCAATGTTACCCCAATATTCAACCACAGAAACAAACATCATATGAAGAAGATCAAAGTGAGGGCCAACGATCAGATCCCCGGATATCATTCACCGCCTGTAGCTCAAACAGAAGCTCAAATGCTACACTCTAACTAGATTCACAGTATTTACCGAACGTTACTATAAGACACATCTCCATCAACAACAGCCACCTTTCGAGCATCCGGTCGTAACCTCCGGCGCCTTGGAAATATCAGTTCGACAGAAACAAGAAGACTGCACCGGGACATCAGCCACAGCAACAGCAATTTTCAGCTGCGGCTCAATGACCTGCGCCTCGGCCGTCCGACCCAATCGAATCAAACACTCATGATACCCCTGCAAAGCCCACACGTTATTCGGGTGCTGACGCGACCGCATAACGGAATTATCAAGACCCAGATCGGCGCGGTATACATCTGCAGCATCTTCCACGTGCCCTTGCTCCAATAGGAGGGCTGCATATGCATGGCGTGCGGGTTGCATCCAGCTCCACGGCTCGCTGTACCCGAGTCCATCATCGACCTCAATAGAGCGGCGAAGATGTTCGAATGCCTGCTCGTAGTTACCACGTCGGTACTCGATTTCTCCATCCAACATGGCCGAAGCAACGCCGAGAATAGCCACGACTTTATTGGGCCAGTCGAGGCGCGTTTCTGGGACGCGTTTCTCGGCTGCACGGTAGAGCTCACGTTCGGCTATGGCTTCGGTGACCCGGTTCGTTGCTGCGTATGCTACGCCCTTGGCGTAGTGGGTGATTGCCGTCGTGACGGAGTATAGTACTGGATCACTTGGGAGCGATCGCTCGATAATTTCTTCCCACATACCAAAGCGAACCATGACGTGCAAGCGAACCGACATGAAAATCTCCATATAGTCGGCCATTGTGATGAGGAGCTCTTCTGGAAGGGTCGCTTCCATGCGGTTAACAGCGTTCAAGCAGACCTCCTTCTGGCCTGCAAACATCGCCGCGTAAATAAGAGAGTGGTAGTTGTGCATGCGATACACGGAGTAAAAGTTGAAAACGCCTTCTTCCTTGATATACTTTTCATCAGCAACGCAGGCATTCAGATTGGCGCGGATGGCAGCGCGATAGTCGCCCACTAACACATCCAGATGCGAAGGCATGTGGCGCATATGTCCTGATTCTGGAATCAAGTCTCGCAGGTAGTCTGCTGGCACGAGCCCCAGTTCGGGGGTGGGTGACATTTCGATAAGATGAATATAATGGTGCAACAGGCCAGGATGTTGGAATGCATCCTGTTGTTTCAATGCCCTTTCAAGCACATTCTTGGCCTCTAGGGTTCTGCTTCCTGGACTGGGCTCACCAGTCACCAAGTCCCATAGTTTCCAGGGAGTGATACTGGTGAGAGAATCTGCGAACAGAACGGCTACGTCCAGGTCATCACTGAAACCTTTGTAGGCGATTTCCATGGCATCTGCATAGGCTTTGTTCTGAAGTGCATATTGTTCCATGCTAGCAGGTTGATCGCTATGGTACCGTGCTTGAATTGCGGTAATAAGTGCCTGCTCAACTGGTGATGCGTTGGCAGCGAGAGACTTGGCCTTCCGCGAAGCGTCAAAGGTGCGCTTCACGACTTCGGCCAAGTTGGCACCAAAAAATTCCCATGGTTGATTATAGTTTGGACCCAGAGTATATGCCAGACCCCAGTAGGCCATGGCACAAGATTCATCTTTCGCGATCGCATTTTCAAAACATGTTGCGGCTTCTTTGTGGTTGAAGGCGTAGGCCCAGATTAAACCTCGGTCGAACCATATTTGAGCATCAGGACTGTTGGTAGTAATTTTACGACCAAAAGTGCCCAAGTCGAATGCATAACCCGTTGTTTGAATGATGGGGGTATTTTCTGCCATGCTGGGGGTTGAACCAAATGGGATGATGCAGGGTGCAGATTCAAGTTTGGGGTTGGGAGGGGCTCGGCGGAGGATTGGATCGTATGAGGGGACACTCCGACATTTTATACACCGCACAAAGTACTGCACCGCACCACTTCCCACGCCACGGCAGAACTCGATCTTAGCCCTGACATTGGTATAAAATGGGGGTTCAGGCCCCCGAGTGCCTAGTACCAGATGATGAAAGGTTCTCTTGGAACCCCGGATTATCGCATTTTCTTGATTTCGCATTGGCTGATGCGCGCCCATCTGACGAGACTTGGAAACATTGTTGTTTCATCTACTAACGCAATTAGGAAAATCTAGAACTCGCAGTCATCTTCTAGTCAGATTTACAATTTTCTTCCCCAGGGGTTCACTGACTGTAAACGCATTCTGAGGTCAGACCAGGTCGCGCGAACATACCTTGGGAATTTGTGCCAATTGCATGGGGGCTGAGGTCACTTTGAGGGTCTACCATACGCAGCGCGATGCTAGCATCAAAGGAACATGTCATTGGAGGCGATAAGAAAACAACAAAAAAAGCAGCAAGGGGAATCAGAGTATATCTCCTCCACATATGTACTCATGGCTGCATACATGCATGCCTCGCTTGTTTGTTTGTTCGAAAAAGAAATAGCCACACAAATCGTCGCTAGCAGTCGAGCAGGACTGCTTGGCATGTACGTGGAAAAAAGAGGAAAACAGAGTGGGAAAAAGGAAAAGGGAAAAAGGAAAAGGGAAAAAGGAAAAAGACGCAAATACGTTCAATATGTACATAACCGTGACAGTTGGCCCACCTTTAGGTTACGATCGAGCCAGAGACCGATCCAGAATTGGTCATCGAATGGATGCTACTGGGAGGGGCCGTTGTCTCGCCGTTTGTGACGTTGGGAGTGGTGGGGCCACCCGTCGCGACGTGACTCTCAGGGATACCCATCAAGGATGGTGGCGGTCGAATCTCCTTCTTGCCGTTCGTCTTGTAGTGAAGGATCATATCACCAGAAGTGCGCCAGAGATGTGTCCGCATTGTCGCTAGAGTCATGTTGGATGGCACCAGCTAAATGGTCATGTCAGCAAGGAAGACGGGAGGGAAAAGAATTCACTCGAAATGATCATACCATCTTTTGACAATACAGTTCAAGATATTCCTCCGGCGGCATAACGTTGGCCTCGGGCTCATCCGGGTTAGGAGGGTCGATACGTTCAGCCACGTAAGCCAGGACCTTCTTCGCCCGAAGCATACGATTGGCATTCAGACGAGAACTGTTATTTCCGTTGGCAGGAGGAGGGCCCCCATTTGCCGTCGGTCTATGGGAAATCTTATCAGCTTTGAAACCAATTGAAGGGGAATTGCCTGCAAAACCTACAACTCGGGCTTCACAACTGGAGGCAAAGAGTCATCGAAAGGTTTCAAGACAAAGGCGACCTTGACCTGTTCCTTGAAAGGAATTTGGTTCTAAATTCCAGTTAGAAAAGACTTCCTTAACAACAGCAGCCGTGCAACCTACTTTCAAAAGAAGTTCACCCAGCCAATAAGGTATGGCCTTTTCGAGTCGTTCAATATCCTGGCCTATGCTTTCAAAACTTCCTCGGTACAGATCCGATGCTACGGCGGTATCGCCGGTCTCCTCCTGGATGAAAATCGCAGTACGAGGAGGAATGCTCAATCGAGGAGTTTCGGTCTCAAGGCTGGGGATGATTGCTGTCGCCAATTCCTTGCCCGGGTTTGCGGACAGGAACTCGTCATAGTCGTGACGGATCCGATCGATAACACCACTGATGTTGGCCTCATATGTCTTCTCCTCTTTGATATCGGCAGATTCAGACTCCTCAATCTTTTCCTCTGGGATGAGAGGCTTCGCATCCGTCGAGGTTCGGCCCATTCTCTTTGGGAACTCCATACGAAACTTCTTTCCAAATAGCGAACCACCTTTCTTGCGCTCTTCTTTATCCGGCTCGGCGGGAGACTGGGGCACTCCTGATTCCGATGGAGACTGAGGTGGATTAGATGGCCTTGTAGAGAAGTAATCAGATCTATCGGAGAAGGACGATGGTACGGCATCAGGATTCCCAGGCAAAGACCCCGCAACATCTGGTGTTTCGGCGTCAAATGCAGGGAATGGCGAGTTACTCTGCATAGAAGTGCTGAGATAATGAGCCGATGATGGCGTGCCAATATTTATCCCGAATCCGGTGGTGCTGGGGCTTCCGGGGAAGTCCATATTAGGCCGCAAAGTCGTGGAAGAGGGATCATGGATGGGAATTCCCACGCTTCGTGGAATATCATCGCCAGGTGCAGATGTGCTCAGTACTGGGTTAAGCTTGGCTAGTTCTTCGGCCTTGGCCACGGCGCTTTCACGATACTCGTTATCGCGCCGAACCTCCTCGTCGACCAAGGAGGCAAAAAGCCAACGCAAGATCCATTTTCCAAGATTGACTAAGAAGATTGTTAGCCCGAGAAGGAGAGAGTGATTATTTGATTGATAGGTTCATCTGTGACATACTTCTCTGATCGTCTCTGAAATTTACCATATCAGCCTCCGAAAGGCCGGCCTCGTCTGCGTAGACTTCGGCATCAAAGCAACGATTCGGCTCGACGATGACAGACAGCCTGCCGGTTCGAACGTCGATTGTGCACCAATGGGAGATACTTTCTGTGGTATTGAGCTCGGTAGCCACATCATCAAGATGCCGCTTGCCGAATTCTTGGACGGGAACACACTTCGATTCGGTCAGTTTCTAATCACTCAAGCAAGGCTTCCGAAAGGTAGACTTACCTTCAACAAATCCCACAACACGACTTCTCCCGCTGAATCTTGCGTGAGGGTTCGCTTTCGATCATTCAGCATCAAGCACTTAATCAGACCATGCTGGCCCTCGATGCTTTCTTCGGGCAGAGAATGCACTGGAATCGTGAGATCATGCTCCAAGCCATTCTCTGCAGAGCGTCCATTCGGAGGACCCCTCAGCAACGAGGAGGTAGCGGATAACTGTAAGGTAGCGTTGAAGGGAATCTTCTTCAGTCCAGCTTTTGGAGCGTTCTCCGGCGTTTTCTCTGACGTCTTCTCCGGCTCAGCCGTCGCTGACTCGATAGAACGCGCTGGGTCAGGCTGAGCCTCGATTTCGAGCTCCGTATCAACATTGCGCCAGCGATTGATGCTGGACTTTGGCGTGGCTGTCCAGATAAAGTCACCAGCCGCCACGACCTTGACAACACCCTCGTGCTCTTGTAACGCTGCAACGGATGTCCCTTGTTCCGGGTCTGGGGAATTCCGAGTATCGGTCTTCGCGACCAAGCCCGAGCGATCGCTAGAGTAGAACACCGAGAGATCAGGATGGTCAGAGTAGAGGGACCAAACGCTATCATTATGCATTGTCAACGTGTTCATACAACGGCCGGCAGTCAGCGACCAGATCTTGATGGTTTGATCCGATGAAGCCGTCATAATGGTGTCCCCGGACTGATTGATTAAGATATCGCGCACGTTATCTGTGTGACCGACAAACTTGGTAACCAACTTGCCAGACTTGGGATCCCAGACGCGCACGACGTTCTCCGGTCCACCGCTGGCGAGTACTGAGGACACCGCACCCAACGCATAGACCGAGCCCTTCTCGGTAGTATCATCGCCACCAGCGTCGATGTTCAGGACCTCACCACCGCCATTCAGATCCCATAGATAGAGTTTATGGTCCAAACCACCGGATGCGACCCAGCTGGCCTGCCCGCCGGGACTTGCGACGGCCTTCACATAGTCGGCGTGTTTACCGATGCGCTCGGGGACTTCTGTAGACTCAGAATGCGGGCGCCAGAGCCGCACGGTCGTATCCGACGACGCTGAGACAAGGGCGGAGTTGTTCTCAGTTAAGACAATGTCGTTGATCCAGTGGCTGTGGGCCTGGACCTGTGTCTTGAATCGAGTCGGGCCTGGCTTGCGATTGGCGGACGAGAAGGGATTCTGCGAGGAGAGAGGATTGAGGGGAAAGTCGAGATCCCAGGAGCAGATAACACCGTCGCGACCAGCGGAATATCTGGGTGAGGCGCAAACAGACGTCACGTTAGCAAGTCGTGCAACCCGAAACGACGACGCAGACACCCGACGAAACGGCGAAAGAGCTGAGGAGGTGATCCTGAGGTAGATGCTGGGTTGTCGTTTATTTTCAAGACAGAGTAGATCACTTACAGGATGGAATTTTGACGGTCAACGGTTAGGCCATTGACCCCCAGCCGGTGCCCACCCGGGGCATCGGGGAGAGGAAGCACTAGAGGGGAAAGATCAGTCAGAATTGGAAGGTCTAGACATAGACTGGACTCTGTAAGGGGTAACTCACCATAAGTGACCCTCTGGTGGCTCAGTTTCCGTGCCATACATGCAGTTTGGGGATGGGAGGGTGAAATTGCGGAGGAGATGCGGAGCTTATCTGCCTCAATCGAGGGCCGATCACACGTTGTCCGGAGAGGGCGACGTCACAACACACCCAAGGGTAGAGAAGAGTTCGCTTGTACACGTCAAGAGAAAAGAAGTACCTAGGTACTAGTAATATGGGAGGAGGGCAAGATTTCATCAGTGAGGGGAAGGGAAGTTGGGGCGATCCGCCAGGGGCATTTCGGTTCACGCCATAGCGCTGCATCGGCTGTGGTCCGGTGCCTGGTCGTATTACCCGGATTTCTTGGTTTCTTGGTTTCTTACTTCCAAGGCTCGAAAAGAGCTTACTTCTGGGAATAGTCACTGTTTCTCCATGTGACTACTAGTACAGAGTTGAAGAGGGTTCATCGGTCATTTTGACATACTAGTACTCATCTAACAACTATCATCACCAGACGCTATAGGATAGTATCCTATATGACTACTATCGCTATCGCCATCACTGCCACTATCATTACTAGTACTACTAATTCTACCTACCTACCTAGGTGAAGACCTGATAATAGCCCTGGAGTGCTTATGGGTTAGGGTGCTCATTAACCCGCTCAACCGTGACCCCCACCCCCAAGGCAGTAAATCAAATCACTCATGCAGAACGTCACAAAGTGCGGGGGCGTTGTATAGTACTAATTGTACTAGTACTAGTAGTATTCATGGCCATTCACGGTGAAATCTAGGCAGACTCGGCCACGGAGATATTTGTAGTGGGCCCGAATACGGAATGTGGAATGCGGGGGAAGTTGGTGCGTGGAGGCGAGTATAAAATCAGTCCGAGATTCAACGTAGGATCAAGTGTAGCTTGTACCTAGGTAGATCCGGAGTAGTATTTAAAGCCCTGATAGAAGGAACTTGAAGAACACAATCAACTTCCGGGAGAAACAACCACTTCTATCAATCCAAGTCTATACATCTAGATCCTCTATGACATGGTAGTAGTAATATACAAATAGAGTAGTCCAACGGGCAAGAGCCCAAACAACAAAGCTATACAAAACCAACACCGTCTCACTCACAGCTTCTCATCTTTCTCCTGCTCCAATCCCTTCCCCTCAAGGGTATTCCAAGCCCACTGATAACTACCCAAGAAAACAGCCCCACCAATTCCAATCCAAGCAACACGAGGCCCAATCCCGCGCCAAAAAGCGCCAAAGCCCTCCTGCGCAATGCCCCTCACAATATCCTTAACCCGAATCGGCCCGTCAAAGCCACCATCACCACGCCGGGCAAGCATCACCCGGGTCTTAATAACGTCAAGCGGCGTAGTCAATCCCGCCGCAATCGCACCAGCGACACTGCCAAACATCGCACTAGTCGAAGCGGGGATTTGCTCCTGCTTCATCATACCCGTGACGGCGTCCTTTTGCCGGAGATACCGCTGAGCGTAGTTCTCCTTCATGGTCTCCCACATCGTGAATTGGAGGACCGTGAAGGGGATTTCGCGCGCGATCGTGATTCCCGCGCCGCGGTACAGTTCCCGGAAGACTTGGCCGTATCCGCCCTTCGAGGCTCGGGGTGGGGAGCTCGGGCTGGAGCCGGGGATGATGGCATTTGTGCCTGCGGCGGGGATTGTCGGGGTTGTGGCGTGGCGGAGGGAAAGGATGTCCTTTAGGGCGAGACGACTCGAGCCGCCGAATAGACCGGCTTGAGCGCGTTGCTTGATGACTTCTGTTGGGACGCGGACGGCACAGGCGGCGATTTCGCCGAGGGAGGAGGCGATTGAGTGGGTGAAGATGATGTGGGTGCGGGAAGCGGGTGCGGAGTCTGGGGAGGGGAGGAGGGAGCGCTTGACGCCGTCGTAGACGATGAAGAAGGATGCGGCGGAGGGGGCGGAGCCGAAGAGGACGGATGGTAGGCCTGCGTAGATTCCGCGGACTGTCTGGCGCAGTGTGAGTCGGGAGGTTTGCGGTGCGGTGTGGTCGCGTGCTTTTTGGAGTCGGGTTTTGATGGTGTCGAGGGGGTAGAGGGAGCAATCAACGGTAAGACCGGCGACGGCACCGGACTGTATGGAGAGTTAGTTCATTATTTGTTAGGGTAAAATTGGAATTGAAGGGTTGCTGTCGTACAAGGAGGGATCTCGTCCAGAGGGAGGCCGGTGCCTGTCCCTCGGCTGGTTGGGACATGATGCGAGGTGAGATGTGTGATGAGAGTGGGAGTGTGTGGAAGGTACGTTTTCTACCGAGCAAGCATGCTGTGTTTGCCAATTAACGGTATCAGGAGAGGGAGGATTGAAGTAGAAGGTTGGTCTTGGAGTGCCCGGTGAAGCGCAAGAATGCCGTGAGGAGAGCTCCGCAATTGACGCAGATCCAGCAGTTGCAGTCAGGCCATTCCGATACCGCCGGACCGGACTTTGACTATTGGGCCGATCACTGGAGAACCACCCCAATTCTGTTTAATTCTTTGAGTACTAAAAGCAAAGCCTCTTCTTCTTTTCTAATTTCAAAAATACAGACTGTATATTGGTATATTCAGGGAAATATCTACTGAATTGGGTTTCACTATAAAAAACAGAGAACCCACGCAAAGGCCCAGCCACCAGAACATGAGAGACTCGCAGAAAGAGCCCGTGTTGGACAGCCCGCCACATATCTAACAAGAACAAGATGATAATCTAATACTGGACAGCTGGGGCGGCGAATATGCTTCGCCAACAGACCCGAGTCTCTCCGGAAAACGCCCTGGGAAACGCTGCTTCACCGTGGTACTCGGCCGTTAGCGAAGAAAACTAGCGACAAACAGGCAGGGGTGTGTTCAGATCGCACAAAATTAGTCGGACACATAATATGGATAATGAGTATGGAACAAAATAGGAACAAAAGCCACATAAGTGTCAATGCCATTTGCAGTGAGCGTGTGTCCTCAGATCACCCCGAGAATGGGGGGGCCTCGGTTTGAGGACGACCGCATGGCGAAAGGGCGAAGAAGAGAGCATTCTGCGTTGGGTTGTTGGATAGGGGAATATGCACAGTTGAAGAAATTGATACATAGATGGTGAGATTATTTAGCCTTGGCACCTTTACTGGCAACGGCGGGGCTCTGGGAAGGAGGCTCGAGAACGTGCTTGTGGTTTGGAGCAGGAGTAACTTCTCCGGTGCCATCTTGCTCACATGTCAAGATGCTGCGCACCCAGTCATCGGCGAGGACTTCATCCAATGTCGCTCGCTCTTTCGGGTCGACCTTGAGCATTCGACCAATGATGAAACGACTTTCCCGCGGCAAAATGCGGAGGAGTCGCCAGGGGCCCTTGATGACCTCCTGTTTGGGGGCTGGCTGCGGAGCACCCGGTGGCAGAGGCGGGGCCTCTTTGCTAGTGGTTCGCGTGGGTTTGTTGTTTTTGGTGCTTGTCTGGCTAGTCTGCTTCTGGGCTTCGATAGGGCTATCGCTTGACGTTGGCGACTCAGGCTTCTCCGAATTGTCCGACTTGGTACCATTCTGCTCCGCCGCAGGGACAGAGAGTTTGGCTGGTGGCTGAGAAGTTGGTCCATTTGAAGTGGGAGGGAGCTGCTTCTGCTCGAGCGGTTTGTCTTCATGGACAGTAGATGGGAGGTCGGGGCTAGACTTGGGCCGGCGTCGAGGATCGATCTCGGGAACCGGTGTGCCAGGCGTGGGAGTGGAAACGAACAATCGGTAAGAATTGTCCGTGCTGCGCGGCTGCTTCCACGGGAAGCGACGCAAAGTCATACAACAGAAGATGATCGCCAGCGACCAAACATCCGTGGGGCGCGGATCGTACTTCTTCTCATCATATACCTCGGGGGCCAGGTAAGGATCCGATCCCACAATGCCCGAGGCCGGAACAATGTCGTTCTCAAAGGGGTAGCGGAACACAACTGCACTTCCGAAATCAATCAACTTCATGATACCGCGATTGTTGACGACCACGTTGTCCAACTTCAAATCCCGATGGGCTAGACCCATTCCATGCAGATAGGCAACACCGCTGAGGATCTGTTTGAACGAACACGCAATTTCCTCCTTGCTCATCTTGCCTGTCATGACGATCGCAAAGAGGTCGAACGGAGCATACTCCATCACCTCGTACCAGTGCTGTCCTTCCTGGATGATGTCGAGGGTCTCGATGATATTACCATGGTGCAAGGTGGAACCAATGCAGAACTCAGCGGTAACCTTCTTGGAGTACTCCTTCAAGCTTTCCCAGCTGTGTCGATCCCGGAATTGTTTGACGGCGAAAGTGACACCATCGCTGTTCCGCTTCAAAAGTCTCACTGAGCCACCCGCTCCAGAGCCAAGGACCCGACCCATTTTGCCGTACTTGGAATTCAGCCCATGGTCATCGGCAAAAGGAACATTATCCGGGGCCATTTGATACGGGGTACTTTTGCCCGAGGACCGACTTGACCGTTTACCAGATGTAGGAGAATCGGGGCGTTTGCTACGGTGGCCCATCTTGAAGAACCGCTTGAGCTCGGACATTGAGCCGTGGTGGCCATGGCCATGACCACTCTTTTGGTCGTGGTCCTTTTTGCTGCTTCCAAACATGCTCTTCTTGTCGCTCGACTTGGTGACATCGCTTGCACTGGCGGACCGTGGTGTCCCCGGGCGAAAGGTCCGCTTCGAGTCACGACTTCCAAAGATGAACCGCGGATCTAGCTGAGCAAGATTCTTCGACTGTGGGGGTCGCTTACTGCGAGCGTATGGGTCATCAGGCTCGCCTACCGGTGTGATGGTGCCGGGTGGCGTATGGGAGTCGCGCGGGGTCGGAGGAGGGCTCTCTTCTTGAGAGGCGGCATCATTGCCAATGAAAAACTGGGCGCGGTGCTTCGGCAGAGAGGTAATGATACCTGTAGGCTCAGAGGCACCACTCTGTTTCATGGAGAGACGGTCGGTGGACCCAGGTCGTGAGGACGGGGCACTTTGGTATTTGCCATTCTGGTCGCTAGAAGATACGGGAGGTGATGTTTCGGGGGTGATAGCCGATGCCTTGGCATTGCTCACGGCGTTCAGCGATGCGGTGCTTTCACCGACTCGGGATTCACGGGATTGGGTGACGGCGGGAGTTAGGGGAGGCGACTGTACAACGGAGGCGGGGGGAGAAACATGAGGTGAAGTCAAATAGGAGCCAGGGCCTTCTCGAGCACTCCGATCGCTTGACTCTCGCGACGCAACCTAGAGGGGAGGATGCAAGTTAGCATCATTGACCCTGGAATTGGGGTTCTACCAGGCTGATAGGGCTCGCAGGTAAGAGGAATCCGAAGATGCAGATGAAAAGTTCTTCCGCCCATGGCTGGATTCGCCACGGGATTTGAGAGCTTCCATGATCCAGGGTAAGGTGGGTGAAACAATGCAAAATGGATGCGAACATACCCTCGAAGAAGGAAGCGACATTGGCTCGAAGGAGAAATTATTGCGTAGACGAGACTCCTGAAGCTGGGAGCTCTGCAAGCTCATGGCCAGCGACCGCAGTTCCTCTTCGTCGGTCTTTCTGCGAGAGTCGGTCGGAAATTGGTCCGGTTCAGGAGTTGCCTGTGCGTGAGATGGTTCGATCTCCTGCGTGACGGAGGAGAAGCGAACTTGGCCGGGCTGAGATCTTGACTTGGCGTCGGAGTCACCGGTCTCCGCTTGAGCCGGGATCTTGGCGGGGGAGTGCATAGTGGGCGAACCTGTCGAGTTGGAGCATGCGGAGTCAGAAGGGATGGAATTCAAGATGGGGAATATAATGTGGGGTTGAAAGGGAGGGGGGGAAAGGGGGTAGTTGTATCAAGACCAAGACATACCTGAATCCATGTTGGAGTTGAAGTTGGAGTTGGCGCTGGGGTTGCCGTTGACGGTTGAGGGCGAATGGGTCTGTTCAGACGTCATACTCATTCGACACCAACAATTCGGGACCTAGTGGGACGGCATGCCCCCTCAAGGATTTGAACTGCGGAGAGGGATGGTGGAAGGTGAGTTCTCTCTCTTTTTTTTTTTTGTCGTGAGGTGAGATCGAAGAGTTGGGGGAGAAAAGCCGGAAGCAGGAGAAGTGCAGGCCGTTGATTACGTGGAGGCAAATCTTTTCTGTAAGTTTTCGTTTGGCCGAATCCGTGCGATAAGCCCGCGACGAGAATCTCCGAAATCTCGAGAAGAGGGAAGAGGGGTGAGTGGAGAGGGAGAAGAGAATGGAAATGCGTCAATCAAGTAAAAAAAAAAAATCGAAGTAAAAGAGGAGAGGAGAGGAGGAGAGAGTAGAGGGGGAGGACAGAAGAGAGAAGAGGGGTGTTGGAGAGTCTGGACTGGCAGTACTCTGTAGGACTGGGAACAGCCAAGAGTCACTCTACTAGAACTTCCTTCCCTCTTCAGCTCCCTCCTCTTCACATACAGACTACTGTTCTCATCTACTCTACTATCCTATTTGGTCTTAATGCCCTCATGATCCTCCTCTTATTCATCAAAGAATCAAGATCAAAGGATCTAATATCTCGGAAGACCGCGGAGCAGCCGAGTGAGGAGGGGGACCGGGCCTATGATGTCGACCTCGATGACCGTGCCGACTTCCCGCGAACACCACCTGCGCCAGTCACTGGCTGCCTGGAAGTGCTCTGGAAGATTACCTGAATCGGTCTAGTCTCTCTCAGAGCTCATCATTCATTCTCATCCTTGTCATCCTTACCATCGCAGCGACTATCATTCCGTCCAATCTTACCAAGCAGTACAAGTTACCATCCCCCACCATCACACTCGTGCCCAGCCATTACAGTCACCGGGTGCCATCAAGTTGACTTGGCACTCGGCGCAAGGAATTCCATTCCATTGCTCCGTGTAGTTTCGATCGGAGGATGGCCATGTGCCGGCCTGCGTGGTCACACAGCGCCGGACATGCATCCACGCTAACTCCCCAACCAGGTATGGCTACTAGTATGCATATTACTAACCAGACGTAGCTGTAGGACTGCGTAATTCGTTCACCGGGGACTTTTGAAGACTCATAACTAGTTACGATTCACATCCCTGCCCGCGGGGCTCTGATCCCCGCCGACCCAGTTTCTTGCCGTTTCTGGGTCCGGGGTAGCTGCTTCAGGACGACGCATTCCTCCGGCATTTGTCGGAAAGGAGACCGCCTATATCGACAAGATACCTAGGTAGGTATCTCGTCATGCCAAGATGCCAGGTGACTAATAGTATATCAATTGCCCGTTGCATGACTACACGCATATTCAACTTGTAGTAGGAGTAGCCTTGGTGACCATCCAGATCATGATGTTTCACTATGAGAAGCCGTTTATAAAGTGATACACTGGCCTTACAACAGTATTTTACCTACACCCTGGAATGAATTGAAGTAAGCCTTGAAGCCGCTCTGTGTTTCAGCATGCTCTCTTAATACTTATGCCCAGGTACACTTCGAGTTCAAACGCTTGGATTTGAAATTTGCAAAGTATCTTGTTTAATCGGGTACATTATGTCTGGCCATAAAGTATTGTATCCTCCCACTGCCCAGTTAGACATAATAGGACTCGAAGTTCTGAAGATCTTCAAGCCTCCAACTTGAATTCAAGTTTGAAATTAAATAGTACTAGTAGTTTGGGTAGTGGCGGAGGTGTACTTCCTTAGTATCCATCTCGACGTACCCTTGGGGGTATTATACATGGACTACGACTAGTAGTACCTACCTAGGTAGGTATTTAGCCCCGAAGATCGTGATACCAATGACTTATAATCTACATTTCCTGCTTACTGTAGATTCAAGAATGGATAATATGACTGGCCGTGCCAGATGTTCCATTGTATATGCATACATCGCTCGAGTCGCATGCATCAAATGATCAGGTATATAATACAGCAGGGAGCATGTCCTTTTTCGCCCATGGATGAGAACGCCAGAAAGACCATAAAAAGAAAGAAAGAAGCAAGACACAGCCAAGGATAGCCGGATCCGATCTGCACAGTGTTGCCGAGCAGACATACTAGGACCGGCCAAGCCGTGTTCGTGGTGTTACAAGTCGAACTCAACCCCACCAATACAAGATGCCATCACCCCGTGATCATGGGATGACCTTGATACCAATGGACTTGGCCTGCGAGATGACACTCTTGCACAGGCCCTGCAGGCTCAATCCGGACAATCTGGTCTCGGTGTGCTTGATCTGGGCAATCTCGTAGATATGCTTCAGAGAGATCTCGCCACAGGTCTCGTGGCCAGGACGCATAGAGCCGCGGAGGCGGTTCTTTCGGGGTTCGACACAGGCGGCGTTGAGCAGGAGGTAGGTGGTGGTTGGAGTGCGCAGATCAAAGGCAAAGGATCGGTCGGGGCGGACGGTGACGCGCGCGGGGATGGGGACGCCGACATTGATGTGCGCAGTACGTGCGTTGAATTCCTAAAGCAACCCATCTGTCAGTAATCCTGATTCCGGCCATCATATCCAAGTGCATCGATGGGGGATTTGGAGAGGTAGCTCACCTTGCAAAAGTCCATACTCTTAACACCCTTACTACCCAGGGCCGGACCGACGGGGGGACTGGGACTGGCTTGTCCAGCCCCGACGATCAGCTTGACGAATTGATCCTTAGCTAACACGTTCTTGGCCATTGTGGAAAGGGATTGAAGGGGATGAGGGTAGTGTCTCTAAACCAAGCGGAGAAGGAGAAGAGCGGCGAGTTTGGCTGAAGACGGAAGATTTTCCTAACCGCGCGCTGATTGGCCGAGAATCCACCAAGCGAGCTTGCAAGCGCCGTCATCGCGCTTCTCTCTCTGCTTTTTCCCTTTTCTCTGGTGACTTTGGAATTGGATAACTCAAAGGAACAAACTAAGATTGTTGTTTTATTTTTATATCTACTTTCTCGTGACTTTTATCCAAAAAAAAAAGAGTATCGTTGGTCCTATTCGTGTTTGTCACCTCACTCGGGCGGCTCCCATTCGCATCCGAGCTAACCTTAGGAAACTCTTGGGCCCCGCGTCGATCTCCCTCACCTCCCCTTTCCCTTTCTCTCTTCTTTTTTTCTTCTCTGATCGCTACATCCATATTGAACCTTTTTTTTTATATCTCCGACCTCCCTTCACAATGAACTGGCTCAAGTCAACGTATGTTATTCTCCAATACTTCTCATTATGTGGTGGGGCAACTAATCATCAATGCGGGCAGTCTTTCGGCGGCCGTGGGTACGCAAGAACCCATCTATGGCCCTGATGCCATCCAGTCTGTCGCCCAGCAGGCTCAGGAGACCCCTCACACTGTCCTCACCAAGGATGATTTGCGCTGGAAGGCCTACCAATACACCAATGTCGAAACCCAGACCTTCTACATCATGGCCGACAACGGTACATTGGTTATGGTCCAGCTGATCTACAGCAACATTGCGTAAGTTGATCGGATGCATTTCCACCACTGTCAATAGGCCCATGGCTTTATATTTCATTCTCGGGACATAACTAATTGCTTGCGCTATCCTCCGAACCGTGTAGGGGCATCCATACTACCGCTCACTTCAACACCAAGATCTTCAACCTCGAAGGCGACGGCGAACACATCTGGAACACCAACCCTCTCTCCAACATCATTTTCGACGAGAAGATGCTTTCCTTCGCTGCTGATAACCTGGCCATCACCCTGAATGAGGAGGGTGACTCATACTCCATCAAGTCCACCGTCAACCCGGATAGCGTCGTTGACCTCAAGATCACCCGCAAAGCCCCCGGCTTCGCTGTCGGCAAGAACGGCACCTCCTACTTCGGAACCGACCCTAAGAACCCTTGGGGCTCCATGACCCATTCCTTCTGGGCCCGATGCGCCGTCGAGGGTTCCATTACCACCAAGGCCAAGACCTACGACCTGGCAGGCCGCGGTGTTTTCATCCCAGCTCTGCAGGGCATGAAGCCTCACCACGCCGGTATGAAACATACACATCTATGCACACAATAATCGACTTAAGCTAACACATTATAGCTGCCCGCTGGAACTTCCTTAACTTCCAGACCCCTACCTTCTCCGCTATCATGATGGAGTTCACCACCCCCCCCATCCTACGGCTCGACCAAGGTCACTGTCGGCGGCATCCTCAAGGACGGCGAGATTATTTACGCTGGCGCCGACAACAAGGTCACCCACACCGCCACAGAGCAGGACCCCGAGAGCGAGTGGCCCCAGCCCACCTCCATCAAGTGGGAGTGGTCCGGCAAGACTGCCGATGGTCAAGACGTCACCGCCGAGGTCGACGGCCCTCTGGGCAAGCGCCTGGACCGTGTCGATGTGATGGGTGAAGTCCCCGGATTCATCAAGACCATCGCCGGCAGTGTCGCCGGTACCCGCCCGTACATTTTCCAGGTATGCTCTCCCCTCATCCTGCCCTCTATCATGCATACTTTGAACCCCTCTAACTCTACTCCCAGTACTCCCCCAAGGAGAAGCTTTCCCTCAAGCTCAACGTCGGCGGCGTCGAAACCGTCGAGGAGGGCATCCTCTTCTCAGAGTCGACCTTCATCTCCTAAATCCGATAAAGGCAGCCTCTCTTCACGACCTACGTACATAGGAACATCACCTCATGCAGGGACTTGTTGGCGTTTTTGTTCGAGTCATTCTACATTACACTGAGGGCAGTCGAGATTGGCTCCCGCGTGAACCAGACATTCCACAGATTGTATACTGGATACTTAATGCTATTAACTAAATTATTTTACGAGATTTCGCTGCTCCCACTTGGACTTAAAGAACTCTTCTATTATGGCGCGTTGGATGCATATTCCACACCTCTTTGAAGAAGATGGAGACACCAGTAGAAATGATACACAAAGAGTAACCTTGGAATGTGTTAAGAAATTATTATGTGGTAAGGGCATATAGCCTCGAGGACTTCTAGGATATAACCTCTGTACAAACACCATTCACGATAAAATACATCTAAAATTCACAAGAGAAATGAAAAGAACAGAAAAGCATCCGCCAGCGGTCTTTGGGGTATAAAGTGCATGCAATATCCCACGGAACCATAGTCAAGAGGTGAGCCACCTCAACTCCACCCCTTGAAAAAGATAAAAGGATAAACGAACGAACGAAAAGACAGAAAGAGAGGGAAAGGGAAGGGGTCAGGGTGGTTAATTATCAACCATCAGCTGCTCGCCCTCATCTAGAAGAGTAGTAACGCGAGACAGGTCTCCGATCATCTTGCGGCCATGACCAACCAACAGCAGCTTCTCGGCATTAGCAGGGAGACCCAGGTAGGTGGGCGGCTCACGCTCGGGCAGGTTGTTGACCCAGGCATTGAAATCACGCATGCTGGTGCTGCTGGGCAGAACCAGAAGGTGGTCCTTTTCAACACCGGAGACTAGCTTGTATTCGTCCTCGAATGCGGCCGCGGTAATGAAGTTGTTAACCAGGCCTTCGAGTTGTTGATAGTCACCCAGATCATCGATCTTGCCGCCGTACATCTCTGCAATGAGTGTGCGAATCATCTCCCAGGGAAGTTTGTTGGGCGCAACGTTGGAACGGCCTTGAGCGACGGTGTCGACCCAGTGGTCAATGATAAAGGCAGAGCATTCGTACTATTGAAGGAGGGGTTAGCATTGTGTAAAAAGGAAAAATAGAAAGTATGACAAAGGGTACTTACGTCGCTGTCGTTGAATTCCCAGAAGCCCTTCCATCCGAGATTGGGCGCGTAGCGGAGGCGTTCTTGGACCACGGCGTGGAGGAAGGAGAGCAAGATGTAGACTCGAGCCTTCTCGACAGGAGCCTTGCTGGCACGCTCGGACAGGGAAGATAGGGAGTCCTTCATATTGGCGCGCACACCAGCAGGCTGCTCGAACATCAAGACGCGCGAGGCACGGATCAGATTGACAGGAATCTTGGGGCTGGATTCCATGGAAAGGAAGAGACGGAATTCCTTATGAGGCTTGAGAGAATCCAGTCTCTTCTCGAGACTCTGGAGCCAAGAAGGAGCGAGGTGAACGTTTTTGACAAGAACCCAGTTACCCGTCGCGGCAGCGTTGCTGATGGCCTTGTCGGCACTCTCGAGACCCTCGTTCGAACCCATGGCAATGTTGGCGCATGTTGCGTTTGTTCGTTGAACCAGGGCATCGACCTTGTAACTAGCATCGAAACCAGGGCTGGAGCTGAGGGAAATTGGCGTAGTAGCCGTGACTTGATCGACGACATCCTTCAAGTCACCGCTGCCCTCAAATAGTTCGCGGCCAAACACAGCCTCGATGAAGCGCTCGGCAGTAGGAACAAAGCGGTCCATACGGCAAAGCTTGACAAGCAACAAGGATCGAAGTAGCTGGTCAAGTTGCGACGTGCCTTCATCCCAGATTACTGGAACGGCATTCTCTGCAAGCTCTTCGGTAAAGAAGCGATCCCACTGCTCTTCAGTAACATTCGCAAGGTGTTCCTTGAAGAGAGACATGTTGTTCAATCTGCTCATCACTTCGTCACGCGTGGTGCCAGTGGTTGAGAGATCGGCGTCTTCGACAGATTCGTCCAAAATGCGATCGAGGATGGTCCTGTCCATTGGGAATGGTGTTGCCTGGGCGAGAAGAATTGCGAGCGTGATGCGGTCTTTCTGGACGAGACCAAGGGATGTGCGTTGGTAGGTGGTAATGAAGAGGTCTCGAATGATTATCTGCACGCGCGCAGAGTGGTCCTTCTCTTGTGCAAGACGTTTGTTCTGGTAGAGAACAGAGTTGAAAATGTCCACAAAGTATTGGAGAGAGAACTGGTAGAAGTGGTTGATGTGGTGAAGCTGTTCGAGAACCGCAAAGACAGCACTGCAGGCTCGGGCAATAATGCTGTACTGGTTGGTGACACTCTCCACCTCGGACATGACGCCTTCAGTCTCCGACATCTTCTTGGAGATCTCCGCGGCCTCCTTCTTGAGAGTCTCAAGGGTCTCGATGACATTGTCATCATCGAGAATATTTCCACGAGACTCGTTCAGTGCCTGCAACAGACGCTTCTCGAGTTGACGAAGGTGAACCTTGAATTCACCTTGCATCTTGACAAGGTTGTTACGACGCTCATCCACGTCCGGCCGCTCGAACTTCAGAACATCATTCAGTGATTGGGTCTGTAAACTGCTCTGTGTGACCGTAAAGTTGACAAAGGTTGTCCTACTGCAAACATCAGGGGGGAATGTAGCAGACGGATCTCTGGTGGAAAGGAACAATTTGAACGATGGCGAGAAATCGATTTCTTGCTTTCCGAGTTGAATGAGGACACGGCCACCGGTCTTCTGGTACTCCTTGTTGAGAACGTGGTTGAGAATCGGGTCCAGATGCTCCGCATCTTGGATGAGGATGGGGTTTCCGAAACGCAGGGCGCTCTCGAGTTGCTTGACAAAGGAATCATCCAAGAAGCTAGTGACAGTGAGTTTGCGGTCATTGCTCTCCTTCTGCAGGAATTCCGTGACACGGCCAGAGGGATCGACGATCAAGGGGTATCTGTTGAATCGTTTCAAGACGATGGCGTTTTCGGTGCAGAGATCATCGACGGGAAGAGAGTGTTCTTGCCACGACAGGCGCTCATCGGCATTGGACAGGTATTCCGTAATCGGGTTGTGTGGCTTGAATTGGATGCCAGATTGACCCAGCTGGTGCACCCAGTCATCGATCATCGCCTTACGGAACTGTTGATCGTAAAGACCAGCATAGGCCAGGAACGCGGCCGCAATGAGAACATCGCCAACAAGAGTGCTGATTTGAGTCTCGAATGACTTGCTGCCATCCTCCCAACGCACTCGCTCGGAAGCCAGACTGTCGAGCAAGCGAACACTTCGGTTGACCTTGAACTCAACTCGAGACATTTCAGTCTTGATCTCCTGGGTTTCGCTGATCAAGGAAGCGTATTCGGCCTTGTAGCCTGCAATACTGCTTTCGAGGCTCGTGATGGTATTCTCGATGGCTTGAGCCTCGGCCTTGGTCTGAAGAGCCTGTTCCTCCAGAGTATCAACCTCCTCACGCAAAGGACCAACACGATCCAAAATTGCGGAGTAGTTGACCTGCGCTTCAACCCATTGAACGAGGGGACCACATGCCTTACTGGCACGGTTCACCCGCTCGTAAGTGAATTCTTCCTTGGACAGATACTCGTTTTGCATCTTGATGCGGTGGGAACGAGTCATCTGCTTCTCGTTATTGTAATGAACGATACTAGCGATGAAGTCCTCCCTTCGAAGAATGGATCCGACAGCCTTCCAGTCACCAACTACCTTATGACCAAGTAGAGTACAGACTGCCTCCATGGCGAGTCTGACACCAGCTGGGGGATTGCTCATTGATCGGACCTCAGTGAGGTGCTGACGCTTGATGCTGCTGACACTCTTCTGTGCTTCTATGACTGCAGGCTCCGCCCGAGCCAAATCTCCCAAAACAACCTCCTTTCGCTCAGCAACCTCCTTCTCCTGCTTCTCCAAAGCGGCCTGCACCTCTAGGGAAGTGTGCTTCCGCTGTTCTGCTTCCTGCTGGTCAGCGACCATGCGCTGCAGCTTCTCATTTGCCTCGGCATCCTTTCTCTCCAGTTGAGTCTTCTTCTGAGCCAGGCTGGCCCTCAAATCGCTGACCTTGTCGACAGTGTCACGAAGCTTCTCCAGACCAACATTCAAGTGACGCTGTTGCTCCTCGAGATCCTCACGTTTCTCGTTAAACAGCTTGACGTATTGAGCAACAAAGTCAAGGTAGTGGCGGGGAGTGAGGAAAGTAATCCGGCCTTGCTGCTTCTGCAAACGCTGGTTGAAGCGGTGAAGAGAGTGGTGAATGTATACCATAGAGTTGACCACCGTATCGCGATGCGAAGCTGGCAATGAAAGTTCACGGTATGCCACTGGGATGCTGTCAGGCGAGACGAAGTTGGGCTTGTCCAAATCAACCGACTGAGTAAGCTCGGAGCCGACCTGGAACAGCGCCTGGTCAGACCAATCGCCCATCCAGTTGAGGACACAACGATTGAACAGAGCGGGACTGGTGGCTGCCTTCGACGAGAGGCCATCCTCGGGTGGATTCATGGTGAATACAACGTGTAGGTTCTTGACAATTTGCTGGGTGAACCACTTGTATAGCTCTTCTTGGGAGTCGAGGAGCAGGCCTTGACGTTGAGCACCCTCTCTGCAGGCCGTCATCAAGGAAGAGAACTCATCGCCTTCAAAGAGACCAGGGACCTCGGCGTTGGCAAGCAGCGTGTTCATGCGCTCCAAGAAACCGGAATCAAGGACATTTGCCTCGTCCATGATGAAACAAATCTTTTCGCCCTTGCAGCCTGCCCGACGGAGTACACTTCTTAGATCATCGTCGAAATCCTCAGAAGAATACTTTCCGTGAACCTTGATTTGGAAGACCTTCAATCCGTTCATCCATGCAACGAATCGGGACAATGTAGTCTTTCCACTACCACTGACACCAATGAGAATGAGATGACCCTGGGGCTGGCGGAAGACTCTGTCAATGCGGAGCGCATGCTCGAGGACGTCATTGAACAGCACCAAAGGGACATCAACTTCCTCCTCACA